TCCAAGCATACTGGAGTGCTAAGGAGATTGTCGGTAATTGTTTTAGGCCTACAGAGTAGGTGCTGTTAACGCTGTGTGTGCTCTAACAGCCACGAACACTTGCCCTCGATCGCACTCTTGCATGAGTCCGTTATTCGGACCATCGGCTGTCTGCTGCCCAGCGTCTGGTAAGCCCAAGCTTTTACGAAGAAGTAGTTCTCCGAACGCAAATGAAGATACTCCTCTAGAAAAAAAACGCTGGCTGAGATAAACATAGAGCCAACGCGAGAAATGCCTTACTCAAACATGCTTGTGTCTTAAGCTCTTGTAAAACCTTATCAGCACATTCAAGACACGACCCACTGGTGGCTCGTACGTGAACTGCCATTTCGACAACACTCCCCACGATGTCTATTTTTTGTGAAGTTCTGATATTTGCAAGTGCCTAAAATTTAAGATTTTAGCACATATCTGTAGACATCTAGGAGCTTTAGCCAGAGAGTACTACTCGGGACCGTACCCACAAGCACAGAAAATCGCCGCGTTTGGCGGTCACCGTAAAATCTGCAATATTGACTTTTCGCACTCCGCTCGCAGAAGTTTGAAAAACTGAAGGCACGCTTTATCCATGCCGCTCGTTGATCCCCTTTTCTATAAGACTCTGTACACAGAATGTCATTTTTGAGTATAAAAAAAGTGAAAAATCAACAAGCGGTCTTGCATAGCTCGTGGTAAACCTTCTAAAATTCTGCGAGCGGATTGCAAAAACCAGTCATCAATTTTTCTAAAGCGATCTACTCCCGCGATTGTCTGAGATTGGAACGTTGAATTGCAAAATACGCTGTGGGTCAAAATGTCAAAAATTGAAAAAAAAATGCCTGATCGTTAATGTTGGGAGGTCATTCGTTGGGCGAGCTTCTAGTTCTATATAACATACAGTCTTCCTTTTGCTTTTTACGTACCACAAACTTCAATTCTTCTCATTTCTCATAGAGCTAACTTGCAACGAGATGGTTTCTGCGGGTACACCGTGCTTTGGACGAGCTGTCACAATTCAGAGGTTTTACTTCAATCCAAACACCAGGTAGAACAATGGTTCGAATACCTTGACTAAGAAAGTCGGTTGTCCTTCCAGAAAGTGCCAAGCGTTCCAGTATTACGGCTGCAACGGTAACGGCAATAACTTCGCTACATTACAGAGCTGCCAGGATCACTGCCTAAATGCTGTAGATACTGGTATGTCCCAACTAAGTTATTTGCGTGTTCCAGTTAACTCCCATCACTCAGTTCTCCCTGATATACTCAGACTTTTCTATAGCTATGCATGCTCACCTTATACCATTTAATCTCAAGCCACATACCATATAATAAAAAAAGCGATCTCTACAGTTTGTGCTGGTGCCGCGGCTCTTATGGATCCCAATCAACAACCTCAGCGTTGCTCGGGTAATGTGCCTTGCCCGGCCGGGTACATCTGTAACCCAGAACAATTCTGCTGCCCAACACCTGGCAAGTTGTTTTCATGGATAAGAAGGTTGAATCTTAGTAGTCGAAAAAGCCAAATTCATGCCTCATAATATAGCAACCTTACTTCCATTAGAGTAACACAGACGAATCGCCACATCACTGTAGCAGTTTAAAACCGCTGTTATTATTTAGAAACAGCTTGCTCAGCGCCAATGAGCAGAGGAAATGTTTGTTCCGGTTCTCCTCTACGAACTATGTGGTACTACGATCCGTCTCAAGGAAAATGCGTTCAATTTGCATATAACGGTAGGTGATTGAGGCGTAACCGCTGAAGAAACTTCGCCAGGGCTCAGAAACGCCCACTTCCGATGCATGATATATCAGTCATCGCTTCGTGCGGAGAAATGAAAGGAAAATTGTTCCTTCATGTACATTATCAGGCAGTTACGGTAGTATGTATCAATGGTGGTCCCAAAACTTCGGTCCGCGGAGGGGAGCGGCAAAAATTTGTTTCAAATGAAGATGCGTGGCGTAAGCCACGCACAAAAATTTTTGGGGTGCTTCTCGAAATTTTTGCGGGCCCCCATTCACAAGAACTCAGTGGCACTAAAATGTCCTAAGTAGTTTTACTCGAAATTTTTGCGGGCCCCCATTCACAAGAACTCAGTGGCACTAAAATGTCCTAAGTAGTTTTACAAAAATAGGGAAGGTATAAAAAAATTGGATCTCGATGTGCACAACAGCTCACTGTTCTTTTCAAAACTTATATGCCTTTGACACTCTTTCCACTTCTAGGATGCGGAGGTTCGGCAAATCGTTTCACCTCCAAAAAAGCTTGTAACTCTGCCTGCACAAGCGCATCAGCATTCGGATCGTGTCCACGAGGAATGTCGCCGCTAATTGAGGAAGGAGAGACGGTAGCCAAGGTAAAATCACCTCCGGCTGTTGCAAGTACTGACTACAAGTTATTCGAAGGCCTGCACACTCAACGTAGTCGGAACATGTCCTCTTTCGTCTTCTTGCGTCCGATCAACCACCAATCAGCCGATATGCTGCCAAACTGTCACAACATGCCCTGATGACCGGAGGCCTTATGTCATTCCAGGTAAATTTCGTGCCTTCTCGAGGTGAATTCCACATAATGTTTTCTATTGCCAGGATCCACCTCAGTCGTTGCCTGCAATGTGGATGCTGACGATTGCCCTTCCGGAAACACCTGCGTGGAGTCAAAGTAAGCTACTGCGAGGCTTTCCCATTTGAAAATATCTCTTTTAGCTCTGTCCCCGGATTCCACATGTGTTGTTCCACAGTACACGCTAGTCGACGACCTTCTGGTTTTGGCACCTCCCGAAAAGAACCGGACACACTTGCAGCTTTGATCAAAAGGTGAAGAAAAGATCTTTCAGCTCAAATCGCTTTAAAAGACTTTGTAGCATAAAGTATAGATAGGAAAAACTACTATGTATATCTCGTCTTTGTAAATAGAATGCATTTGCGTCATGATGTACCTTAGACCTTGGTAACGTTGAAGATGATCCAGCAAGGATGGGCGATTGCCAAGATATTTGAAGTTTTAGCTAAATTACGTGTTTGATTCAAAATTTCGTTTAATTCAAAGCACCTCGGAATTCTAATTATATACTTTGAAGCATTTCTCCTTGTCCCGGTCTTCTAGCCACAAATGGACAGACTTGCACAGTCAATGCTGTTGGTTAGTATAACAAAGCTCAGTGTTCCCCGAAATATCTTTACATTCCTATTAAGGAGAATGCCCGAATGACCACCTGTGTCTGAGGGATACCGGCTACGATCACGGAACTTGTTGTCGCACGGGCCCACCCAAATGTTCTATGAAGTACTTCGTTCCTGTATTTGTTTCTGGAACGCAGGTGACTTCTTTTGTGAAGATTTTGCGACTGCAGGATATGGAAGTAAATTCTAGGTGCAAATTTGCCAAAGCGATTTGGGTGGGTGTCCGAGACACTCACGATGCATGACTTCTACTATACCAACTGTATCAATCTGCTGTCAGCACTATCAGTTACAGGTCTCCGGAGCTGGAGCAAATGGAGTAAGTCGTATGAATGTCTGGATAAACTCGGATAGAGCAAAAACGGATTTTAGGTGATGGGACAGGCCAAGTGCAGAAGCGGAGAGCGACCACTCACTAATGAAGGCGGCGTTGTCAGAGACTGTGACTTGACATCCAATAATTGTCCAGCTGGTTATAAGTGGGTTTCCACGATGAACAACAAGCTTTGCAGTCTATACTTATGAGCCGAGGTTCAGATGCGAGTTCTCGTCCACTGGGCAGGCTGCATGTTGTGGTGACAGAGATTCAATTCGTTGCCCGGCTGGTACAAGCGCTTTTGAGTACGGTGGAAGACCGCTGGCTTGCCCCGCAGGCAGTACTAAGTAAGTTTGTTCCATTCCACTGCTTGATTGATATCAATTCACATAGTTCAGACTTGATTAGCTCTCTCGATTCACAGTAATCGCATATTTTAGGTGTCCTCATGGATATGCATGCATGGCTTCGATGAATCCACAGTACCACCTCTGCTGTACCACAGCATCGCCGTCGTTCCAGTCCTATCCACAGTGTCTGCGCGGCAACGCTTACGTTGATCCAGGTACCTCCAAACTACGCCACAACCCTTCGCATAGTGTTATAATCTTTCTGTTCTCAGCATCAAATCAAAGACAGTACTGTTCCCCAGTGAGAGAGACATGTCCTTTTGGATATCGATGCATGGAATCCGATTATCCCGGCCAGTACATCTGCTGCTCGCAAGGAAATCTTGGCGACCAGTTCAAAGGCAAGATATTATCTACTTCGATTCGCATCTAGTCTCTAAGATCTTCCAGGATACTGTCCACCCAATCAAATACCATACGTTGCTAGGGAAGGATATCCACCGACATGTCACATGCAGCTTAATCCCTGCCCTACGACTGCACCGTTTGTGTGCATTTACTCAGCTATGAAGCAGGTTTGACTGATGCTAGGATTGTATATATAACGCAAATAAATCTAATTAAGGACTCCTATTGTTGTGCACCTATGGATGCTCCTGGGGTCAGCCAAGGATTCGCGGATATGTCAGTAGCTGCTTCGCCAATGAAACGTATGGGTAAGTGTTCAGGTTCCCTGGATTTGAATGAACGGCAAATCTTAATTTTTGCCTAAATCAGACTTTTGAGTTCTTATTCTTTGTCTTTTGTGTGATTTAGCTATGGTAATTTTATCATTCAGGGAACCAGATGCCAGGTGTTGCGCCCGGGAATCCCTTCGCTGGTTACACTCAAACGTTCCCAGGTGGTAACCCTATGCCGCCTACTCTACCTCCATCTCCAATTGGTATTGCTGATCCAATCCCGGGAGTGAATCCAGAGCAGGTTTACAAAAATTATTCCTAGATGTAGGCCGTATCAGGGAAATCAACACCATTTAGCTGCTTCCACCAGGGCTTTCTGCCAAGCTCCAAATCAGTCGTAACAATAACAATCTCAACTTCAACAGTAACACTGGTTTCCCAACACAAAATGTGAACACTTACTCTGTGAACCAACCCATTGCTGGAGTACAGGGATATTCCATCAATCAGCCATCCGCGGTACTACCAGGCATTCCTCCTAATGCTCAGCCAACAATCGCGGTGCCTGGATACCCAAACAACAATCAACAAGTCGGAATGCCGACATATGCAGTCAGAAAGCCTATGGTGCCCATGGGTGGTACAACGGACATGGCTTCTCAGATCATTCAAGAAGTTATTGGCAAGGCCCTCAAAAGCGGAGCCCATCAAAACGGAGGAAATCCTTACTTTGCCGGGCCAAGTGGTACTGGTCACTGGTCCATGCCTGTGCATCCGGTCACTGGATGTCCCTTCGGATCCAGAGCTTTGGTACGAGCCGACCGCAGCGTTGTGATGTGTGCCGAACAGCCATGCCCTAACGGATTTGTATGTGTGTTTGCTGAGAGGGTAAGAAGTGACGAGCATTGTACAAACCAGAATCTTTTAACAAGCATCATAATTGCAGGAAAACCGCTTCCAGTGCTGTTCATCCTCGCAGATACTGTCTGCTAGCATCCCTGTCGATTCCTCGTCCACAGCAGCTACGGTTGTGCAAGTTACAACCGATGATCCAATTGTTGAGTGCCCGCCGGGATTTTTCCTCATCGAGGGCAAGTGTTTGAAGGGTAAGTGAACACTAATCCCGCAATATTGTGAGACGATTGACCACTGCTTTCCAACTGCTGCACTCAGTTGGGAAGTTGCCTATTTTTTGGTCATAGATATGATTTTTCAACAATTCTAATTTCTTCTGAAATATTACTGAGTAAGCTCACTCACCAGCAAACAGTAAAAAGACTGAAGCAATCAATAAGAGTGAACGAGTCATCTTTCGAGAAGTGCATAGCTAAATAACATAACAAATAGGGATGTAGCTAACAGCAAGTACAGCAAACTTCCAAAATCTAAATATGTAGGAAGCTGATGATTTGTAGTCCATTTTTCTTCTTTATGACCACAAAATTGATCTGCTATTTCGGGGAAATATATGGATTAAAGTTTTTGATCTTTATTGGCGGCCCCTGCTGTAATAACTCGCACCGTAAACGAGTCCTCTTTTGTTATTTCATTTTTTCGGAACCTTCTAGACGTATGCTGCTACTCTCCACGAGAATTTTTACTCAACAGTCAATTTCAGTGTTGTTTGCTGGACAGAAAGGATGCTTATCTGACGAGCAGTGTTCAACGAGGGAACCGAATGCCACCTGTGACAGTGGGTACTGCGTTTGTCCAGCAACCAAGCCTTTGGTCCATGGTGGAAAATGTGTTGAGGGCTGTCCGGAAGGATTTGCTAACATTGCCGGAAGGTCAATGCTTTGAGAAGTGCATTCGCTGTGATTAAACCTTCTTTACAGATGCTACGATCCAACAACCGTGATCTTTATGGACTCAGTGGATGAGAGGAAGAATGGAACTATTGGAGGATATTGCTTGGATACAGTGGTGGAAGAAAAAAGGCAAGGTCGAAGTGTTCATTTTTGTATAAGTGTTTTGAAGTAAAAGTATTCAGATGTGAGGTGAAGAACAGCTACTGCAGCGAAAAGACAGTAACTTGTCAGTGCAAAGTCGGATACACTCTGAGCATGGATTTCAAAAACAGAGCCGATAAAGTAAGCGATTATCTTTGATCCGAGATAAGAAAGGAAATAATGACAACTTTAGGGGTCTTGCAAGCAAGATGAATCATCCAAGTTCCACGCTGAGCCTGAACCTCAATCGGAACCAGTAATCGATGACGAGCTATTTTTTGTCGACATAGGTGAGATTATTTGATACATAGCCTCAACTAAGTTCGCAGTATTTTGTAATCATCTCGCCGTACCAACTACTGTTTCCAGGTTCGAATGCTTCGGACGTAGACTCAGTGAACACGACGAATCCGACCAACTCAACATCAGATGACGATGCCGATGATCTAACCAAATACCTCTTCCAAACAGACGAGCTAACTTCATCACTCGCATAATTGTTGACACTTGAGCTATTATATGATTGTATATCGTTAAACTCAGCATGTCAGTGCTCAAAAGCTCTGAAGTTGTGTTTTCTCTGTTCAAAAGAGAGCGACGTGTTTGTACATATATATGTCGTTTAATTTATTTCATAAACATTTAGAATGAATGTAGAGAGAGTTCGTAAACGGAAAAGCACCAATATCTCGCTTACATTGTACTTAATGTAGGTTGCAGGAAGTGCTACAATTTACTATAAATGTTTTCTTATTGACTGCACTCGTATAATAAACTGCTCAAAAATTCCAGAATTCTGCTGGTAGACCTCTGTCGCCACTTAATTGTCATGAGAATGAATTTCAATGAAATTTCGAATTCTAAGTTCAGTGGCGTTTTATGTCCGATTAAAATAGAGACTTGTATTTGAGGGTTTTTAAGCACGCTGTTTCCTAATATGCTAGTGGTTTTGCTCAATACTTTCAAATTTATAGCCTTTTTGTAAGTTAACCTACGACTTCGCTTCAAACTTAAAAACCGGGGTAATAAAAATGGCGACGTGATAAAAACGAATATCGGCCTTTCAAATTTGAGTAAAGACCTAAAAAACTTTATTTTTCAAAAAGGAGAGAAATTTGGAAGTATTGAGAAAACCACTAGCATATTCGGAAACAGCATGCTTTCAAGAACCTTTGAAAACCCCTAAATACAAGTTTTTACTTCAATCGGACATATAACGCCATTGAACTTAGAATTCAAAATTTTATTGAAATTAAGTCTCATGTGGTTCCGGATGAGGACGAGAGTGCTGTATGCACGGATTGGCTCTGCATATAGTGCTGATTAGGTACCATTGCTAACTACTCATGAACTCTATAACTACGCTGCGGCACGTGCTTTGGGTATATAAATTCCGTTCCCTCAGTAGGGTCCCTTACTGAGAACCTTCTTGTCAGGTAGATGGATGGTATGCGTCTTTTGACTTGACTCGTGACTTTTGAGAAATCATCCCATTTGAATCGTGCTTATGTGTGAGCGTTCATACTAGGTTGTCGCGAAAGATCTGACCCTTTTGCATTTTTCAAGTGTTGTAGCTTTCTACATAGAAAGCCATTCACCACTAATATTTTTTCTACTGATTAACTTTTGTAACATTGTTGAAAGGACTTAGACCTACAAAGGACGCAAACGAAAGAAAACGAAGATTAAAAATTTTGATTATCTTTTACAATAAATGCTTTCGATTTGGTGATGTCACCACAAAGTTTAAAGACAACAGCCAAACCACTCCGTTTCATGTCTTTTTTTGGCAACAAACTTTCTTTGAACGCACGTACCTTTTGGTTTTTGCATTTTTTAGATTGATGTGCGTCCTGGTTTTCTTGCTTGACCGTAACCCCTACAGCATTTATTACTTCGTATCTCGCTATGTGTAAAGTGTTGTCGTTAGTAAGCAGGTACCACACTTTTTTCGACAACGAATTTGCAATAAGAATTCTTGCTAACCAATACTTCGAAAACTCGATCGCAAGAGCGACTTACTTAGATCTTCCAAGGAACAATACGGACGGGAAAAAGCTTAATATACCAGAGTAATGTCTTAGTGAGTGTAGAAATCTTTGAGAAAGGTCAGCCGAATACAAAAAGAACACTGTTGCAACGACTAGTATGTTCAACACTGATATAAATGAAATTGTAGTTTCTCGATTACGAATCACTGAGCGAAATGATTCCATTTATCAATTATTTTCAAATGGAAACCAGTTTCTAATTCTTCTGCAACTGATAACGATGTAGATGGACACTTGTGTTTTTCACCGTTTACCATCTAATGTGAAGTTATATGTTATAAACACGTCAATTTATTCTTTTCAAAAATCACAAACTTCGAGCTCATGGTGATCTCCCATAGTCTGAAATTTGTTTTGACTACTTCAAAAGATCAATCAAATCATTTTTTCAAAAAATTCTGTTTTGTTACTATGTTTTTCGTCGGCGAGTTGTTATCTTATCAACTTGTCAACTACAAGCGCAGTTTATTGAGCATCATCAGATAATGGGTAGTTGTGATCGTCCTCAGTTTCTTCTTGCAGCATACTCATTTTTTTCTAGCTATTTGCAGATGGACTTTCAAACCATCATGTTTTATACTCATTTTAACAACTTTGGTAATTTTCTTCAGCCATCAACATAACAGCTGTAGCCATGAAATCTATCGTTGATGATTTAAGCTCGCTATTCACCGTTTTCTCCTTGTATCCATTTCGTCTGGACTAGCTTCTAATTAGTCTCGTGCAAATTAGGTAGTCATTATTGAGATTACTGTGAGAAAGACAATAACTTGTTCTTATTCGCTGCTAACTTCTTTACTTGTCTTGTACTGCTGAAATAATAGACTTCTTCTCTATATCTTTCAACCAGAAAAAATCCTGGTAGCATTTGCCTTGAAGATCCATAGAGCAAATTCTTCAACAAGGGCGGTAAACGCCTTCTCTTCGAAAATAAACAAAGTCTAGAAAATTGTTATATTGGTTTTGCTGCCTAATGTGAGAAGCTCTAAGCTTTTATCACTCCACTATAGCAAAAATTATATATAATTATTATATGTAGACATACGTAGTTTGTGCACTACAAAATCATAAGAAATCTGAACACTCAACAGATCTCCATCATAACTCTTGACTAAGTAATAGGTAAGAGATTGTTTTTAGCTCGGAAATTTGTAAGATGTGAAGTGTTCGTGTTGTAAGAATAACAAAAAAAATACTATTAGTTCTTTGTATTTATGACCTTGCCACTTTATAGTGTAAAAGTGTGTGGAATTCTAGGCATACACAGGCTGTGATGTTTTTCTCAATGAATAGCCTTTCTAGTTGAATGAGATCGTGCATGAAAATCACTTACACGTTTCAGAAGAAGAGCATGAAATGCACTACTATTCACTTCAACGTCAATGGAAAATATATTCACGCAGATCATGTGGATCCTGAGACGACACTGGCTCATTATCTAAGAAACGAGCGTAAGCGATTCCAAATCACATAACTTCGTTTTATTCTCGCTCTTGCTGAGTTACATTTAGTGGGCCTGACGGGAACCAAACTCGCATGTGAAGAAGGTGCATGTGGTGCTTGCACGGTTACAATAGGAAAATGGGATCGCACATTGAACAGAGCTATGTAGGTTCAGTAAGTAAAGACTTGCTCATCTATGTGAAAAAACGCACTTTAGTTTGTCCCGTAACTGCATTTTTTCCGCTCTCGCATTTTTATCTGCTTACATTAATATTAAGTGCATACGAAAATATACTAGCAGAATAGCACCAAAGGTATCTCTACAGATACGTAGCTGTGAATGCTTGCTTATATCCTCTGTATATGGCACATCATCGGCTTGTCCTGACAGTGGAAGGAATAGGAAATGTGAAGAGATTACATCCCGTTCAAGAACGCATTGCACGTGGTCATGGAACTCAGTGTTAGTTGGCTGAGAATTGCGCTTGAAACCTTTATTTTCTCGAATCTGATGGTCTGTATTCGAGGTGGATTTTGCTCGCCAGGATTTGTCATGTCTGCCTATACGCTTTTGCGAAACAATCCCACTCCATCTATCCGCGAGATAAATCAGGCGATAAAAGGTAAGAATCTTGTTTTTTTAAATGTGAGCCTTCTGACCATTGAACATCGTAAGTATTGCTCAATGAGCTCTCCTCTAATACATTGACTACTACAGATTCCCTGTTTTCAAGGAAATCTATGTCGGTGTACTGGCTATCGTCCAATAATTGAAGCTTTGCAATCGTTCTCGCCCAGTGGTTGCTGCCGAGGATCTGGGGTGAGTGTTTGTTCGCTTCACGCTAGATATATCAAAAGTTTGAAACAGCTTGTGATCCTCATCTTTGAAAAAGTTTCATCCGTCTGAAAATTTTGATTCTGTAGGGTAAATGCCCTTGCAAAGAACAAAGCAATGGTTTGGATCGTGAAAAGCTCGTTACGTTTGATGATTTTCCGAAACTCGGCGAATCACAAGAGATAGTATTCCCATCAAAATTCATCGTGAGTTGAATTTCGAAGGGCGCTTGGCGAAAAAACTGATGCAAGCTCTTCAGATGGAATCCGAAGACTCTGATGGTGAAGAGATTTTCCTGGAAGGACGTCGAGTAATGCTGCAGGCACCATCTGATCTCAAAGTGTTTGGAGAACATTTGCGGTCCAATAGTGAAGCAAAGATCATATCATCTGGGCTTATCACCAAATTGAGTTAGTATCCGAGATTCTGCCCGTATTCGCTTTAGCGAAGTCCTAACCAACGTAGCTATGATTTAGTTGCATCCCAGTCATCGTTTGACAAAAAAGTCGTGTGGGTCAGCACGCATCGCTTGAAGACCCTCTGCGATGTAAAGGTATTCGACAAGGAGATGTCCGTTGGAGCTAATCTGACGATATCCGAGTTTTTGGATGCAGTTAGCCGACACTGTAAATCCAACATCTCTAAACCTATTAGAAAGCTTTTCGACAAATATTCATCGCTGCAAGTGGCCAATGTAGCTGTACGTTAACTTCAAAAATTGCTAAAATTTTTACTAATACTGTGGATTTTTTCAGAGTTGGGCAGGTGGATTCTTCAGCGGCTCTTCGGATCTATCCGCCCTGTTCTTGGCGCTCAATCCTAGCTTGACCATCCGTAACGCGGCCAGCGTTCACGAGTACCGGCATGTCTCCGAGTTGGTCGACGAGAACGGAAGAGCCAAACTGGGAAAATCTCAATTCGCCATATCCATGTCCTTCCCTCGATCAGAGGTAAGATAATTAGACAAATAGTTGTTCTACTGTGTGTGTTATCTCTTCAAAATCTAGCGCACGCGGAAAGCAGTTCCTAGTTTATGTAATGAAGCTAAAAAATCTTGTTCTGAGGTTTAGGGGTTTTCACAAGCTGTTGTCACAAATTTAAGAAGAATAATAACCAATTTGAGCAACACCAGCTGCATCTGCGCTACATGGCTCTAGAATGACAAGTTACTTACTCATTGGAAGCCAGGGCTAGGGGTTTGTAGGAGTCATCTCGCAACCGTAACTCTTAGCAAGCATACTTTTTTTAGCTATTACGACAAATGTGGTATTCTTCGAGGAGTGTCGAAAATTTTTAGCGAACCTGTGGCAAAAAAGTTGCTTTTTCTTTTTGTGTGAGCAAATTTCATACATAATGATATTCATCTACAAATTGTGACCACATGACTTTTGAAGCTGTTCAATGAGTTTGGCAAAATATCTCAGAGGTACTCTGAATTTAGTGTTGAGGATGATGTCTTTCTTTCTCCATCACTAGTGTACACAGCTTGGTTTGTGAAAAAGTTCTACACCCCCTTCTGAAAAACAGATGTTCCAGAAATAATCTCGTTTGGATACTGAACGTCTGATAGGAGAACGTCCAGATATTCTCCTTAGCCTCATTCTTGCAATGAGAGCTTTTCACTGAACCCACATGTTTGATTCTGAGTGAATAACAGAAACGGTACGGAATCTTGCTTGGTTGTAATGAAAGGAAACATTGGAAAGTAGATGCATGATTGAAGCGACATTTTCATTTGGCCCTTTCTAACTAAAAGTAGAGGATAATGCTGAAGGTAAACTCATAACTATTATTTTTTTCTTGTACGCAAACTACCAACATACACATTTGGTGCAAGCACACCAGGTGCAGTATTCAATAAATCGTCACTTGGGTAGCAGCACTAATAAATGCGATATGTACTCAAACCATCCTCTTAGCGGAAGATGCCCAAAGAAAAGAAGTTGGGAATAACTACCAATCAAGGCTAGGGAGAAACTGCGTACAAAATTATCTATGAATTTGATCCTGAGAGTCCATTAACTCGTAAGCTAATTACAGGATGGTCTGCGGTTGTTCACTTTCAAGCAAGGGGCCCGATCTGGTCCAGATTCTACCGACGTTAACTGCGTGGCTGCGCTAAACGTAAAGGATGTGATAGAAACAGCTCGTGTCGCGATGTCGTTGGGATCCAGGGCCATTCTGTGTGGAAAACTCTCAAAGATGCTGTGTGGAAAGTGAGCAACTTTATTATTACTCATCAAATCAGGAAAGTTACGGATGTACAGCATAAGAAAATTGAGTAAACTTCAAGAAAAATGGAAGGCGCATTCTTACAAAAGAGAAGGGTGATAATAAGTGGAAGCTTACAAGTGCCAGCAATGAAACAAGAAAATTAGTTCAAGATAATGACTGAGAAGCTCCGTTCTAAGAGCAGAACCCTTTTCAGATAACCATAATCAAAATCCTAGATGAATCACATGACTGCGGAAGAATTTCGACTGACTGAGCGATTGGGGCAGCTTTATGCACTCGTATAACATTCGGGCTCAAATCTGCAATTTTCTCCAGTCATGTAGGGAAATCATTCGGATATTTGTTTAACTTATGTAACATAATGCTAAACATCGATTTATAGTAATCTATGGCCTCTATTTACCATAAACTTTTTGCACATTAGCAAAATTCATACTCTATGAAACAATGAAATGTCTCAAATTGTTTTTGATGAATAATTTTCTCTCACAAACAAAAAATGCTACAACCGTTTCTCATGATTTTCTGCATGCGAAAGAGTTTTGCAAGATTGACAATTCGATCCGCATCTTACAGTTATGTTTGGAAGATGGCAGCTTGTAGAGCACATACCCCAGACTTCCTAGTGATGATGAGTCAAAGAGGTTTGCTTTATGTTTCACCTTGACAAACACCATTCGTTGCACGCGCAAATTTCACTTACAAAATTTCCTCTGCGTTCTCACACTCGCAATTATCATAAGATTAGTACAAATTTGCAGCTTTCTTCAAAACGCCGTGGAACTTCTACACCTCAGAAATTATTGCCTGTTCATTTACCCAGTTTCACGATCAACAAGTTTGGAAGGTTCTTTGAAGGAACTTTACTTTTGGTCTTGGTCGTGAAAGTGAGTGGATGGATAGACTTTCCTTCGAAGGATTGAACGTAGCTTGATTTTGGAAAAATAAAATATCTCGGAGATGTTCGATACGAGCCAGATTTCATAATACAAACAATGTCTGCTCAAAATCAGACGATCGCTGAGAGTATGATAAGAAAAATTGCCATCTGTCTCACTTGAACTATAAGTGCGGCTGGGAAAAACGAACCGAAAGAGCTTTTTGCGACGCGTCAAAATTACCTCATTTTCTTGGTTGCTGCTGCTGTTGTTGTGGCGGTTTCTGCTGTTGCTGCCCAGACTGCTGCTTTGGTTGAGTCGGAGCCTGCTGCTGTTGCTGCTGCTGCTGCTGTGCTTGTTGCTGTTGTTTTTGAGCCTGCTGCTGTTTTTTCACTTCCTCTTCCTTTCTCAATTTTTCTTCCTCCTCTCGCTTTTGTTTCTCCTTCAACATTCTCTCTTGTTCCTCCTTTTGCTTTTGTAACTTCCGTTGTTCCTCTTCTTTCCTCTGTTGCTCTTGTCGCTTCTTTTCCTGTTCCTTTTGCAAATTCTGTTGCCTTATTTTCTCTTCTTCTTCCTTTTGCTTTTTTAATCTCTCCTCCTCTTCCTTTCGTTTTCTCTCTTCTTCTTCTCGTTTCTGCCGTTCACGTAGTTGTCGCTGCCGTTCCTCCTCTTCCTTTTGTTTCTGCTGTCGCTGCCGTTCCTCCTCTTCCTTTTGTTTCTGCTGTCGCTGCCGTTCCTCCTCCTCCTTCTGTTTCTGCTGTCGCTGCCGTTCCTCCTCCTCCTTCTGTTTCTGCTGCCTTCGCCGCTCTTCTTCTTCCTTCCTCTGCTGTTGTTTTTTCCTTTCTTCCTCTTCCCGTTGTTGTTGCTGCTTCAGACGTTCTTGCTCAGCGCGTTCCCTCTCTTTTTTCAGTTTTTCTAGTTCTTCTGCGTATCTGCGCCTCCTCTCCTCTTCCTCCTGTTGTCGCTTCTTCTCCAGCTCTTGTTGCTGCCTCTTTCTTTCCTGATGTTCACGAAGCTGTTTTTGCCGCATTTGTTCCCTTTCATCAACATTACCAGGCTTCTCATGCTGCTGCTCATAGTGTTTTTTCTCCACCTCCTCATTGTGCACTTGGCCCAAAGGCACTCCAAAATCTGCAAACAAAAATTCTTATCACTTTTCTACTTCGAGCTGTCAAATCTGTCAGCTTCATAAACTGAACTAACAAAATACACATGACAAAATGCTCGGTGAAAAAAACATTCTTGCAAAGATGCATGAGTAATGAGTCAGATTTTTGGTTATTATACTCACCTTTCAGCTTATCTTGTATCGCAACCATTATCTCTTGTGCATTTTTGCCTGAATACTGGACACCCTGAAAATTTGATTGAGAATCTATAGATGGTCTAGATGGTCTTGAAATGATACTTGACGGTACGTTTGCAATTGGCTTCATTACTCTTAAGCAGAATTACAAGGTGAGAAATGAATATAACTCACTACGAATATTCCCACTGTTGCCACAACTAGGCCCGCTACGACGAATCGTAAACTGCTCGCTGAAAATGAATGATTGTCTTGTCTTGAAATCCATGAATTGCAGGAGAGAGTGTATGGTTTGTTTTCAAGTTGAGATAGTGGGCGCTGAAGACTGCACCGGGTGTGAAAAAAATCTCGGTAGTTGGTTTTCCAGGTTTTTCATCTTTTGGCATTTTATGAAACTTTACCACTACTTTTGATCACGGATGGGAAAAATTCCAAATTTATAGATCCCGCAAGTCTTTGCTTGTTATAAGCATTTGACAGTAACTCCGTAATCCACTTCATTAAATGAAACATTGGCAAGCTCATTTTTTGAGCCAGAGAACTGACAAGGAGAGGATACTTAGTCGAAAGCACCAATCCAGATGAGACACATATCATCTTAAAGCGCTTGAAACGCTGATTCCAAATCTGTAGTACGTAGCAGCGGAGCTGTTTTGTAGAAGGAGTTATGAGGGGTGTTTCCCTTTAGGGTTGAGGCGCCCTCAAGCGGGTCTCCCCTTACCCTACTGGTACCAACTGGTAGCAACTGGCTAGTGATAAGTAATTTGAATGATGATTACGTTAAGGATTATGATACTCGTATTACTTTAATCTAAGGCCCCGGGCAGACTTCACGCGATTTGATCGTCGCGACTGAATCGCGAGGAGACAACTGTTACAACATCATTCCATGCAGATCAACTTGCATTCGGTTGTGATACTTTTCCAGACCGAAATTTTTGGATGTGAAATGAAAATGAATGGAAATCTTGGCGATTTGGTCGCGACGATTAAGTCGCGTGAAGTCTGACCGGGGCCTAACACTTCCAGTTTCAATTAACATCAATATCATCCGACATTTCAGGCTTTAGGGCTCTAGAATCATTTAAAAGCTCAAGGATTGCGATAACGTTGCATGCGAAGGGGATTAAAACCTTGACACTCTCTTTATCAAGCAAGGCACTTACCACTAGGCCACTTGACACCAGTTGGTACTCCTCTACAGTGCTCATAGATAAGGTGAGACCTGCTGGAGGGCGCCTCAACCCCAAAAGGAAACACCCCTCATAACTCCTTCTGCAAAACCGCTCCGCTGCTAAAAACTACAGATTTGGAATCAACGTTTCAAGCGGTTTAAGATGATATGTGTCGCATTTGGATTGGTGCTTTCGACTAAGTATCCTCTCCTTGTGAGAAAACTGCATTCTAGCGTACCGTCTCAATGAAATCCTACCCGGACTTCCTGCCTCGCACTACTCAGCCGTCAAAAATTAAAAATGTTTCATTAAATAAATTCGTAGTGCAAACCTCCGCAAAAAGAGAGAAATAGAAGAGATGTATCTCTTTGTGCATGCCTACGTAGCTTCACGTGCATACCGCGTTCCGAGAAAAGCCCCCTTCGTTGGCTATAAAAACTGCGCAGTCAGCTTTCTATCGCCTATACAACTGATATTGATTCATTGTAGAAAACGGAACAGCTGCAGCAGTACTAGAAAAGCTCTTTTTCTATACATACTAGAAAAGTTCTTTTTTATGCAAAAGCGGGATAGAGACCACAGCAAATTTGTCAGTTTCTTTTGGGCCGCTAGAAAATTATTTTGCTTGTAATTCTCTGAAGCATTGAACAAATTTGATAAGCCATTTTTTATGATGAAGAAGCACCCCTGCTGCAAAAGTTCAAGATTTTAGCTGCATAAAACTCCAAAATAGATATCAACTTTTCAGAACTCAATCAGGGCTCAGCACGAGGTGGATAGACGAAAATGCAAAAAACGAAGTTCCCCTTGACTTTCGCGAATTTTTACGAAGTCCCCTTTGACTCTAAACCCTAAACATAAAAAAACCCTCAAAAAAAGAAACGCTGACTAAAAGCTTCACAGTTTTTGTGTCTTTTCGGCCTCAAAAACAATACGCCCTTTGCTTTTTGTCCTAAAAAACGGTATCCAGCTTGCTTACAAGGTGCCGAGCCCTGAATTCAATTTGCTACAGTTGCTAGAGAAACTATTTTTTTGCTCAATTCAATATGATAATACTGGCAATTAGCGTTTCCACAAAGTCAGCAAATTCGAAAACTTTGCTGTTGGCTGTTTACAACACAAATCCTGGCACGAAATATGCAATCATTATAGCACTTTGTGACTTACCCCCTTGCTGCTGCGGCTCGCCTTTCGCCATGTTGTGGCTGAAGTGATATATAGATAAGAGGTCACCTGCAAAGCACTTATCAGACCTCAACGAAAGCTCTAGAAATTTCGAAAAATTAGCAGTGATATGTACGTACAAATGGAGCCGTGAGAAGTGGTAACAGTTCAAGGGTACAGAATGCTACGTGGCCGTAGAAAAATGGCCAGCGTCCACTGTGCGCCTGCCGCGAGCTGCTTAGCTGAGTGTAATAGGCAGTGCCCTGTTACTAGGACTCGAGATAATGTTGAACTTAGAAAGTTGCGGTTGCCCGGATGGCAGTGTAACGCTCGTGAAGAATTCTTGCCGAAGTTTCTCGAATATGGCAGAATGGACGTGGCAGCAAATGCTGAGAATGTCTCAGAATACCAAAAGTGTACAAATATGCTGTAGGGCGCAAGGAGTCATCACTCGGACAATACGAAGCATGCGTTTGTTGCAAAACGTGCTAAATGGTTGAAATTGCCATCAATTGCTAATGTCGTATGTGGTTTCGGATGCACAGTGCTAAGAATCGGTCCGTACAAAGTGTTGCAGTGCTGTTTACTCGAAGAACAGCTGGCGACCTGGGTCGTTTAAACGAATATCGCAGCGAGTGCTTCCTCCTTGCCTCCAGTTTCGAACGGACAATTCTGATCAATGTTGCCGTTACAAAAATCGAAAATGAGAAAATTGAATTTGATAGCTTCTTATTCTTGAGGTCAAAGATAGCATCTGTTAGCCCTCTGCGCACACGTTGTTCATTTAGTCATAACTGTGGTCTACTAACTCGTCTATCATATAGACTTCCTTCACTAGGCTATCACTTCTTTTAGGAAGGTGCAGTAGTTAATCTCATGACTTCAACAGAAAAACTTTTTTCTTTCTTTCCTCCATAGTTTTTTTTACTATAAAGCTTCACGAAATCTGTAACCCTCGACCGTACCTTTTTTCTTTTTTGTGAGTAAAGAGGAGAGATATTTTTTGAGAACTCTAGCCTTACGCAATCTCTCATCACATTTTCACCTCTTCAAAATATTGAGAGAATTAGCTTCATCTAGAAAGATTCCACATATGGAGGTTGGTAAAATTGTGGCTTCTTGACATTAGTAGTTTTGAAAGTAACAAGTTTTTACAATCTTATGCTTTAACCGCCGAATTTTTCATATATTGCTTTATGATGATAGTAGGTTTCTGTAAAATTTTGTTCAGAGTCTTTCAAAGCAGAGCAGAATAGCGTTTAGAATAGCAATAATAATTTTGTTTTTTAGTCATAAAGAAAAGTCTGTTCGTTATGACAAATCAGTGAAGTTCAAGATAACAGACAATGAAAAAGATGAGATAGCAATTCGATATGTACATCAAACAATAAGAGAAAGTAAAGCTAACAGTTTTGAAGAATTATTGATTATACTCTGAAGAGCAGAGAAGATTTACGCGCACTCGGGACCGTTGGATCATAGCAATGCCTAGTTCGCATGGTTCTCATGTTTCGTACGAGCCAATATGGAAGAATCAAAAGCTTCATTCTTACATTTCTATTTGCAAAAATTCTTTTGCAATTGCATTTCATGAAAATAACTCTAAAACCACCCTCCACATTTCAGTGAGGAAGACTCACTTGAGTTATGGGTAAATCTACGCTGAAATCCGGATTATCGAATTTGTAAAGTGCAGGTAGTGCTCGATGGCGAAAAATGAATACGAACGGGCTTGAAAATTAGCGGTTTTTTGGGGGCTCGTTCGTAAGCTAATAGTAGACGTAATTTCATCATGGCAATGTGAATGAGAATCATTCTACTATATAAGCATGATTGATGGATGATGCCAAATTCAAAAAATTCCTTGATTTGATGAAAATTTTACGAACTACGTTGAATTAACTTCCTAACTTTGAGTCGTGAGCGCAAGGAAACAATTCAACAATAGTTTAGAAAAAACTTCAGTCGATAGTGACTTCGACTGTGTAAAGCAAAAAAGATGAAATTGTTGGGAATGGACGGCAAGCGATATGCGAGACGTGCTTATGCCGTGCTCTGTCAAGGGGTGGGGCTCGAGTCATAAACAGATGATGCGCCCAGGCAGCCAGTCCAATGTGGCCTGGTATTTGGGGTTGTATCAAAATTAAGTATAGATTTTAGGAACTTTTGTCTTCGAATGAAAAAAGTTTTTGCTTCTCAGCATCACCCAGTCTATTTATATTTACGGTAATCCATCTGCAACATGTTACTGTGAGTAGATGAGAATGTGTAGAAGTAGAGACCTGCCCAAGTATGCATATGAAGAAAGACACGTCCAGGGCAAAAAGCCAACATCAGTTTCTCAAATAATTGAAATTATGGGTGCGAAAGTAATGTTACGTTCGTAGTAAACACTGGCAAAAAGGGCAGGATGATTTCGTGGAGGAGTCATCTAGTCGCATGTGCTCGGGCCCAGATGTTTCACGATACGGAACTGCTACTATTACGAATGCTCAACTATGATGCATGGTGAAACGAAGAGTGGGCTGTTCGTCTAGGCCTTTTTATTTCTAGCGAAGAAATCTCATATTTTAATCGAAAAGGCATTGAAATTTGTTTATGCGCTCTTAGAACCCCTGATGCCTTGTGAAATCGCATTGTTTTCCGAAGAGTTCACAACCCTCTGAAGATAATGTCTATTTTGTATACATCCGTCTATTGGCCTATTGTGTCCCCTCCCCCCTCCTACCACCAAACATGTTTGAAAAGTTTTTGCTTAGCGTTAACCCGTGCTTGTGGCTCAGGTGTCTCATAGAAGGCAATAAAATTCGTGATGAACTTCATCTGACTGTGACAAAGTTTGATTTATGCAGTTTTGCGAAATTATAGCCCAACAAAGACACAGAAAACTGTAGGATCTTGCTGGATGTGACTCTGACTTCGTAGATAGACAACGGTAGAACTGATGAGTTTAGCTATGTTTTTCATCATTTGGTTTTTTATATCTTCATGTAATTCCAAGATTGCTACGGTTATTGTGTGGCTTATTCATATAAGCAGTTTAAAGCTAGCGATACTTTAGGCTTTTGCGATTCAACTCTAAGTCCACGGTTTGAGATGCTGTTTTTTGGAGGCTTTATCAACGATAAGTAGGCTTCATGAGTGCTTTGCCATTGAGAAGTTCTCAAAAAAGTAAAAGTCATAAGAATTTGTTGAGCGCGAAAAGATAGTGTATGAAAGGATCTTTTTAAACCTCATATTCACTTAAGCAAAGTTGCACTTTCTAGAGGTACAGCTCTGGTTTTTTATAATTAATGCGAGCTTTATTGTTTGATTTTCACAAGAGCAACAAATGCACCACTTTATTTATATTTGCTATCTAAACAGTGATAATTCTGCTAGAAGTAGAAAGCCGTCATGTAATACTGCTCATTCTTTAGAAGAAGATTCTTTCGCTTTGCTTTTTCCTATCGATAAAGCGTATTATCAATCAGCTATCTTGCATAGTGACACTTCGAAAAATGAGACTGTAATGCTGTGCAGAGCTGTCTGTAAAACATACCATAGTTTTGGTCTTTTTCAACCACATCTGATAATTTGCTGCAAGAGACATGAAGCAGAGCCTGACTCATCTTCGGGCTATGTTTGCCTTGCTCTTTTATGGTTTTCAAACATATCATTTCTATGCTTGCATCAAGCAAATTTCATATACTTATAGAGTTGCGACTCATGATATGTTCTTGGTTTTGAGTTCGCGGAATTATAGTGATTTAATAGTGTATAGTGCACGGTTAGCTTGCAGCTAGAATCCTAAAGGTGTGAAACTAGTGTTAATCTTGGTGATGTGCTGCGTCTCCTGAACCATTACCGATATCACGATTACATATTCAAATAGTCTTTGTTACCATATTCTAACGTTTATTACATCTCTCTCAATAAGGAAAATGTCAACCAAAATTATGGTTGCTCACAGTCAGGAAAAAGGCAAAAATTATCTGCCTGTAAATGTTTTATTTTGTGGATTACGAAAACGTTAAAGTCAACCTCAAGCTGTTTTTTTTTCCGCAAACTTGACTCGTGAAGCCTAGACGTAACTCTAGTACAGCAATGGACACTCCAAATGGGAATTCTCGTACTGTAACGAACCCACACTTGTTCATTCTGGGCACGATTTTCTCGTTGCCCAAAACAGTATTGAAGCTATTGTCTAGAGACCATGTTCAGACCTTATGATGGCTTGTCTGAGTACAAGGAGGAGCTACTGCAAGCACTGGACAGCGATATCGCTCGATTCTCCGCAATGCCAGACTTTTCGTACCGAAAAAGTCTTGCTCATGCTGCATTAGCCGAGCTTTTCGAAGAAGCAGCAGGAGGATCTACGAATAAAGAAGACCTGAACGATGAGCCTCCACTGGAATCGCTGCAGCTGTTTACGGTAAGATCTTGCTTTTTCGAATGTAGTTATTATTTACTCCATAGCAATGGTCTCGAGAAGAGTCAGATGCTTGTGGTCGCCCGCTGGCCACTCAGTCATCCGACAGATGCACGACTGGCGAAGCAACCTTCGTCTGCGACTTGAAAGTCAAAGGTAGCCGGTTCACTAATGGATTTATCACATCTGTCAAAAATGCATTCTAATGACTAGGTCTGGCCCATGCTGCGTTTGTCCTTTCAACGCAGCCTCATGCTAAAATCGCTGAAATTGATACTACCCGCGCGCTCGAGCAAGAGGGTGTGCTTGGTTTCATCAGCATAGATGTAAGTGCACATCGTAAAGGGCTGGGCAACTAAAATTCATTCTAGGACATTCCTAAAGGAGGCACAAATAATCCTGGTAAACTGCCAATCAATATTTATGGCCCGGATGATACCCCCATCTTTTCTGGTGACGAGGTACACTTGTTTTCCTCTTTGTAAACAATTATTATCCACTCCAATGACTCACTGTTTTTTAAATATAGCGGCGGGGCATTTGCCACGCTCTCCAAAAAAATTTGGGATGCTTTTCAAGGTTTTTGGGCCTGTAACCCCGAAAATTCAAAAAGGAGGGCATGATAGCAGCCACCCCTATTAAAACATTTTTGCAACCTAATTTGAATTTTTAAAGATTGCAAAAAAATAAATCGTTTGCCCAAGTTTCAAAAATTGGCGAACCATTCCTGACGCCGTCCTCCTTCCGCCCCTTTTGAATATGAACTGTAGCCTTTGTTCGTGAAATCTAGAACTAGGGACCCGAAGAGGAAGTTTAGGTGAATGCTGTGGGTCAAATCATAGGAATGATAGTGGCGACGGATATAATTATTGCTCGCAGAGCAGCAAAATTGGTCAACGTTAAATATCACCTCGAGCTGCCTGCTATTATCACTATGGAGGTAAGCATCTTCAAACAATCCACAGTATCAAGATGACCTCTTCTAGGATGCCATACAAGAGAAGTCTTACCTTGCAGATCCATGGATTTTTGGTGCTGAAGAAGATACCGTACAAGAAGAGTTAGCGAAAAGCAACATTGTAGTTGAAGGCTAGTTTTGAAAAATCATCAATCTGCACAGCTTAAAGTTCAAGCAAGACTGAATCAAAGAAAGGAAACATAAAACTGCTTATAGCTTATATCTTTGAGACTTTCATGGCGGAGCATAACACTCAAACACATAGTTTTGTGAACTTTTAGCACAGTACCGTCATGATTCAAAAGTCACCGAACTCCACCAAAGTTCACCGAAAATCACGTCGCATCGGCATATTTTGCTATAAAGTGGACAAAATCTAAGTGCAAGGGCACCGGTCGACTAAGCTCGGCGAGATACCCTCCAATATGTAGAAGTGGGTACGGTAGGTGCACGATAGGAGAGCAGACCTCACAACTTATAAATTTTTGCTCAAAGGCAGTGTCTTGACAAATTCTTTCAGTTTTTCACCTATTCGGACCCTTCTCGCCATGAGCAACCGGGTGTAGGCCCTTCTGGACCTGCCCTAATTGCGATGGCTGCGATAGGTCAGCGCGTCTCAGAGGTCACGTCTTTATTGGCTGCTTCAATAAGGCGAGCGGTTGACCTGAGAAGGTGCGCTGCGGAAGCGGACGAGTTCCTCACTGATGACCTCCCTCCCTCAGACCCTTGACAGAGATGTCGTAGACACATGATGTCAACCGAATGCTACTATTCTGCTGTCTTACCTAATAAACTCGCTGCTATCCACTAAATTGACGTGCTCCCAATCACAGGAAAACTGTTGGATGCGCTTCGACTGCTGAAGTTTTATTTTATTATAGTTTTGAGCTTAAGTTCTATTTTTGTTTGAGTAAAGTGCGAGCTGTAACTCTTTTTACTCCATGTGTGCAATCCTTACTGCCTCGTGTACCGTCACATTCATTTGTGTATGTGAACTAAACGAAGCTTGCAGTGAAAACACACTTTTTGGTCTGATTATTGCTGATAACCATAGACCCGAGACTCTTGTTAGTGCATTTTGTGGCCAACAGTTTGATTCTGCGCCGATTAAGCGGCTGCATAATTTTATTCATGTAAACCACACAAATACTTATCAGTTTTGTTGTTTTTTCTTGTTGTGGATGTCAAGCAACACTGTGCTGTTGCGCACAAACATGAGTACTTCCAATGAACTGAGCAGCACCATCTTGTTGTGGATGGTGTCAAGCAACTGTGCTGGTGCGCACAAACATGAGTACTTGCCATGAAATTGATCAACCTGTTATGAAACTGAGCAGCACCAGCTTGTTGTGGATGGTGTCAAGCAACTGTGCTGGTGCGCACAAACATGAGTACTTGCCATGAAATTGATCAACCTGTTATGAAACTGAGCAGCACCAGCTTGTTGTGGATGGTGTCAAGCAACACTGTGCTGGTGCGCATACTTGCCATGAAGTTGACCAACCTGTTATGGAACTGAGCAGCACCATCTTGTTGTGAATGGTGTCAAGCAATACTGTGCTGGTGCGCATACTTGTCATGAAGTTGACCAACATGTTATAGAACTGAGCAGCACCATCTTGTTGTGGATGGTGTCAAGCAACACTGTGCTGGTGCGCATACTTGTCATGAAGTTGACCAACCTGTTATGGAACTGAGCAGCACCATCTTGTTGTGGATGGTGTCAAGCAACACTGTGCTGGTGCGCACACACATGAGTACTTGCCATGAAGTTGACCAACCTGTTATGAAACTGAGCAGCACCATCTTGTTGTGGATGGTGTCAAGCAACACTGTGCTGGTGCGCACAAACATGAGTACTTGCCATGAAGTTGATTAAGTTGATTAACCTGTTATGGGTGAGCAGCACCATCTTGTTGTGGATGGTGTCAAGCAACACTGTGTTGGTGCGCACAAACATGAGTACTTGCCATGAAATTGATCAACCTGTTATGGAACTGAGCAGCACCATCTTGTCGTGGATGGTGTCAAGCAACACTGTGTTGGTGCGCACAAACTTGAGTACTTGCCATGAAGTTGATTAACCTGTTATGGGTGAGCAGCACCATCTTGCTGTGGATGGTGTCAAGCAACACTGGGCTGGTGCGCATACTTGTCATGAAGTTGACCAACCTGTTGTGGAACTGAGCAGCACCATCTTGTTGTGGATGGTGTCAAGCAACACCGTGTTGGTGCGCACAAACATGAGTACTTGCCATGAAGTTGATTAAGTTGATTAACCTGTTATGGGTGAGCAGCACCATCTTGTTGTGGATGGTGTCAAGCAACACTGTGTTGGTGCGCACAAACATGAGTACTTGCCATGAAATTGATCAACCTGTTATGGAACTGAGCAGCACCATCTTGTTGTGGATGGTGTCAAGCAACACTGTGCTGGTGCGCACAAACATGAGTACAGGGGTTTTCAATCTGAGTGTCACGGTCGACGTGGCTCACCCCCTCGAGACCGCCTCGCTTGGGTCTCTCACGTGGTACACTACCGCACCAGATAACGCGAAGGCTTTAGCGGATGCGGCATTGTGCCATGAGAGGCCCATGCGAGGCGGCTCACAAGGACCTGAGCCACGTCTACCGTGACACTCAGATTGAAAGCCCCTGTACTTGCCATGAAATTGATCAACCTGTTATGGAACTGAGCAGCACCATCTTGTTGTGGATGGTGTCAAGCAACACTGTGCTGGTGCGCACAAACATGAGTACTTGCCATGAAGTTGACCAACCTGTTATGGAACTGAGCAGCACCATCTTGTTGTGGATGGTGTCAAGCAACACTGTGCTGGTGCGCACAAACATGAGTAGTTGCCATGAAGTTGACCAACCTGTTATGGAACTGAGCAGCACCATCTTGTTGTGGATGGTGTCAAGCAACACCGTGCTGGTGCGCACAAACATGAGTACTTGCCATGAAATTGATTAATCTGTTATGGAACTGAGCAGCACCATCTTGTTGGGGATGGTGTCAAGGATGTGTTTTCGTGAGCTTTAGAGAGCTGAGAAGTTCTAGAGTCTAGCTCAGAAATTTGATCTACAAGCAGTGGCTTAAGAACATTCAAAATTCCATGCACAACCCCGAAAATTAGCGAGAAATGAGCAGCGTTTGCAAAAACTAGATTCTACAATAGATGCCTTTATATTGAGCGATAGTCATTTAGAGCAAACTATAAATTACTAGGTATCGTGCAAATTCATAGAAAACCTGTACTGTTGTATCTGTTGTACTTTGAATTGTGGGTCGGGTCGTGTGTGCTTTCCTTTCGACGCATCATGCAGTTCACAACGTTCGAACGTGTGACAATGCATGAAGTAGAAAGGATGCACACAGATAAAATGTGGCAGCGGAAATGATCAAAATAAGATGAGAAAACCATTCATATAACTAATCAAGAAATTCAAAATCACGTTTCTAGAAACAAACCTGATTGATACTATTACCATAAAGTTAGGCCGTATAATAGCAAAATGCAGCGAATAGCAGCTTTTCAGAAATGGGATTGGATAAGCCGAGGATAATCCCTGCGTTCAGATTTGAATGCTGTAGTCTTCAGCGCACCTTGAGGTGAAGGTTTTTGAAAATAAAGCGTTTCGCAGAAGACTCGTCCGCAATGGCCGCAGCGCAGGCGCCCGCGTCCTACTTGCGAGTTACTGTAGTAAACGGTGGGTTCAGAAGGGCCGTCTCCCGAAGTTTTCCGCACCCCACCCCCTCGTTTCGGGCTCCGCACTGTGAGTAGAACCAAATGAAATCAGGATTCATCCACTCTGAACCAAAATATGGCGATGTGACGTAGATTTCGATGAACTCCGCTGGAGTTCGGTGACTTTTTTTGAGAACTATGAGCAGTACTGTAGTTTTGTGCTATTGAAACGAGTACTTAGTCCCTATGATTATTTAGGGCAAGCTCAAATTGGAGCGCAAGAGCATGTCTACATGGAAACCCAAAGTTGCGTCGCCATTCCTGGTGAAGATGATGAATGGTAATTTTGTTCGAGTTTCCAACAAAATAAGGATTTAGCTTTGAAAATGGAAAGGGCACGCAAATTTGAGTCTATACCTAGTATAATCGCGATCGAGAATGGAAATAGTAGTGTTGAGTATGTGCTGCACGTAAGTTCAAATAAACATATGCTCACAGTGTCTTCTCTCTCATAAAAACTTGAGCACTTACGCAACCACATATAGTTGAACCATCGAAATGGACATTTAGATTTTGGGCTTGTCGTAGCATAGGAATCCGCCTTCTTCGGCTCAGGGCTTCAGGTGCCTAATTCCGATAAGAAAGCTCTTGGACCTCTCGTACGTCCGAATCTCAAAACTCGCTAGAAAGCTTTCGTATATTTTACTCAGTCATGGTGCTCTGTAGATCTACGCATTATGAATTTTGTGAGAGAAGCCGCAATCAAAAAGCTGTTAAACATCTTTCAGAATCTCAATGTCATGACCCCGCATGCGGATTGGTCATATGTTACTGCAAGTCGATTTAGGGTTATCCATACATCCAGTCAGGCTCCAGCTGCCGTTCAGCTGCACGTATCAGCTGCGCTTGGAATTCCAGCTCATAAGGTTATAGTTAAGGTGAGAATTTTCACTGTGGAACAAATGATGCTTTTGGTAATCGTTGTAAGGAGTCGTGAAGGACAGAAACATGTTGTAATAACCGCACATTTTGTCTCAATCCAGCCAGGTATGCGCTAGGCAATCTCATGGCGAGGTGGCTCTGAACAGGTGAAAAACGAGAAACGAAAATGTGCCGGGATTGTCTCTTACCTGAAAATTAATTCTTGCACCTTCATAGTGCACACAATTTGCTGAGAGAATTCTATCAAGTGTTGTTTTTTGAATTCAGAAGACGTCGTCAAAAATATTGTCAACTCCATTCAAATCGTTAAGGTAAAACGAGTTGGTGGTGCCTTCGGAGGTAAGGCTTCCCAAAGTATTCCAGCGGCAGTATGTGCTGCCGTTGCTGCAAATGTGCTGAAAAGACCTGTTAGTGTCGTAATGAGCAGACATGAGGATATGCTAATAACTGGGAAACGACATCCTGCTATGATCAAATACAAGTTTGTTATACTCCAAGATAAAACTAGCAAGAACAAAAAATAACTGCAGAGTTGGCGTCGACCCCCGAGGCCTACTGAAAAGCGCACATCTTCAATTTTATCTTGATGGAGGCTACAGTTTGGATATGTCAAATATGGTAAGAAAATGCTGAAAAATAAATGATTTGTTTTTTTTTTGACTACTTTTAGGTAACATGGCTAGCAGCAGCGTCATCCGATGCATGTTTCTACATTCCCGTAATGAGATCCGAAGGTTACACATTGAAAACTAACAAGAATAGTAACACTGCTTTTCGGTAGATGGTGACTACCCGAAACTTTCAGCACAGTAACTTTCCTTGTTCTAGCGGTTTCGGAATTCCGCAGGCCTACTTTGCCATGAACTGTATCCTGGAACATGTAGCACATGCTGTTGAAAAGCCGCTGGAAGAGGTACGCAGAATTTCTTTTCAAATTAACTCAAACACATAAGTGGCACAGATCTCCCTTTCGACGTTGGCAATGACACATAATAGGCATGCCTGAGCTGTAGCAATCACCCCTTAATGAAAATCACACTTTTACGTAAACCTGGTTTTTGTGATGCACATTTCATACTTCGCTACGTACCCGTTGAAGTTGGCCACGTGATGCTGCCTCTTATTTTCAAGCATCAAAGATTTCCGACTTCGGTCGTGTCAGATGCTTTTTGGCGTGTATCATTGTGTCTTGATATTCCATTGTTCTAAAACTCCATCTTTACAGATCCAGGAAATGAATTTTAATCGTGTAGGGGGAACAGCTTTGCTGGGATACGAAATCATAAATGACAACCTTCTCGACTGCTGGAAAGAATGCCTGAAGTTAAGTGCTTTTCAAGAAAAGCGGGATGAAGTAGACGAATTCAACAAGTAAGGACTTATTGCGACTATGTTACACCACAAATGCGATATTTTTAAGGAAATCTACAAACATCAAAAGAGGGATAGCTCTTGGAACAACCAGATATGCACTAACACATGCAGGATCTGCTGAACAGGTGCTTTATTTTTCGAAATGAGGGCGATTAAAGTTATAACGATTCAACTGCTTCGCCAGACTACTCCAAAGTCCTAATCTTATTTCCACCCGAAACATTGTAGTTGTTCTTGCAAATGGAAAGAAAATTCAAGGTTTTCTTTAAAGTTGGCCTTCTTTGCTCAATCGTTTGAACATAGACAGAGACACTACTGACTGAGAGGAATTCCTTGAATAATTGTGCTTTGCTCACACCAAGTACCTAGAACATCAACTCAATAAGTTGCCTGTGCGCTGTTTTATATACTCTCTCAGCGCAAAATACACGTGATTAATCCAAGACGATCAATGGCTAATTTCCAAAGTGGCTACTTATAAAATATTTTTGACTGCATTTTTGAAGAATTATGGGCTTGGAACCGACCTCGGAGCGTAAGTCTAGGTCTAGGTTTTCCTAAAGCTCTATTAAAAAATCTCAATTCAAACTACCCATTTTTTCAATACTTTCAAAGTAAAGCTCTGACATGGTGTCTTCGCGTTGTATACAGTAATGTTGATGTACTTCTAAATTGTCACAAAATCTATTATTTAACAGAAACTAAGGGTTTTCTCGTTGTTGAAAAGTTTGTACAAGCTTTAGGCATCTGCATTAGTCCAAATTTACCTGGACGGAACGGTCGCCGTGTCGATAGGAGGCGTGGAAATGGGGCAAGGGCTAAACACGAAATGTCTCCAAGTTGCTTCTCGTGCTTTAGGCGTGAGTATTTTTCATGTTTGAACTTGGAAAAACTTCGTTCTTGCTTATTGTTAACTACCGCTCGGAGCTTTTCAGCTTCCCCTTGATATGATAACTATAATTGATTCTGGGACCGATAAAACCGCCAATGCTCCTGAAACAGGAGGTAGTCAGAACGCCGACACCCATGGCAAAGCTGTCAAGGTGCGCATTCAGGCTGTATTTTTAGAACGCAGAAGGCAGTTACAGAAGTGATTTAGGTTTGCTGCGAAAAGCTGTTGGAAGTGCTAGAACCCGTGTTGAAAGAGGAACCAGACTGGAGAAAGGCAATAATTAAGGCATACGCTATGAAGCTGAAACTTCAAGTATCAGAACATATCACGTGAGCTCTCTCTACAATTCAAAGTGCGGAAAGCAGAGTGTGGAAGAAAATATGTCGCAATTATTGAACATCTCATAATTTTATAACCTGTTCTAAATAAAAGCTGTCGTAAGACTTTTCTACTCAAAAAGACCGTAGTTAGATGGTCTTCATGCAGATTATAGAGAGGTAACAATGAAGAGGTGTGAAAGGACATCATGAAGTCAATCTTACGAGTCAGCAAAATCTTATGAGAAGCGAGGGACAGAAGAAAAACAGATTAGGAAAAAACATATTCCATTAGGAAAAACATATTCCATAACTATGTGTCCTGTTCTTGAATGTGTGATATGGTGAATATTCGTTTATATTGAGGCTTTTCAGTATTGAGCGAAAGAAATATGGAATTCCTGAAGACTCGCCTACTTACCAAACGAGCGGAGCAGCCTGCGTGATGTCTGAGGTAGACTGTCGGACTGGCGAACAAAAGGTGTAGCTTTCAGCATTATTCAAGCTTGCAACTAGGCCTTAGATGGAGGTGCCCCAAGAAGGCAAGCTAGAAGAGAATAAAAGAATCTTTCTAGCTTTTATCGGTTGATGTGGTTCTGGATGTAGGACGAAGTCTAAATCCTGCTATAGACATTGGCCAAATAGAAGGCGCTTTTATGCAGGTATCTCGTTAACTTCAACAAATTCCTTACTCGATTTCACCAGTGCTTCCAAGGGTTACGGTCTCATGACGAGCGAAGAATTTGCTTACGATGACAATGGCAAGCCTATTCAAGACTCAATGTACAAGTACAAAATACCAACGGCTGCCACGGTACCTCGAAGGTATGCAACCTAATCTCGGTTCAGAACTAGTAAGATAAAGAACATTTAAGAAACGCCTTGGCCAAGACAGATTCATTTTTATCTGCTCAAAAGACAAAGACGGAGAGTTTGTTTGTCTCTTCCAAAATTAGGCTTATTTAGCTTAAGAAAAGTGATTGGGAAAAATAAAAATTACAAATATTCACAATGGTAGATTTAATGCCAATATGTAGGAAACAAATGGACTATGAGTCGGTTTTACTTTTGATATTGTCCTAACACTGTCTATCCCATCGAAGAGGGAAGCAAAAATTCAAAACTTCTGAGACTAAGACATATTGATTCACATGAAATGGAGAATAGCTATGCACAATTATTCGACTCTATATTTTTTCAGATGGCTTATAAAGCGCGAAAATATCAGCATACAGAGAATCGAAATCTCTCTCAGCCCTGCGTTATGCAAGCATTTTAGAATTTAGAGTTGTTGAATGTAATAGCGATCAACTGTACTTTTACTCTACATTAGTGTTGGAGTCCAATAAAATTTGCGCAAGGGTCAAAAATCTTATTTACACCAAAGCAATGTGACCGTTGTTGCAGAAACCCTCCACTCACTCAGATAAACATTCCATTGACTCTGAATTAATCAGAGAGTCACTAAATGTTTTTCTACGGGCTTATCTAGGTTTCTTCTCCTTTTTAGTATCTTTTTCAAATTAATTTCTGACCCCCTTCCAAAAATGCGCTGTTATAAGCCGCGCCAATTTCAGTGCTAAGCAGTTATTGCATGTTTTTCTGTTCTTTTAAGGCAAGTCATCAAGCAAGTATTGCAAAATTTGCGCTGTGTAATTTTAATTCCTCAAGAAACTTTCAACGATTTCATAATTGGTGCAAAGTATGAATAGGAAGTGGTCTGAAAAAAAAAACGGTTTAATGTGGTGTTCTACCTGCCTACATTCTGTCCGCAGGACTAAAACGAGAACCTTGAGAACTGGCAATATTTGAGCCGTGGAATTAATGGAATAATCATTGAAAGCATAAATGTTTATTATTTGCTGCGGTATACATTTTAAATTGGATTGAAATTTTCACTTGACACTTTGCTCTGAAGGAACATTATCATGGTGATATTGAGCGCTTCAGAGTGAATCTCTTCTCCGCTCTACAAAATAATGTCTTTATTACAGGTTCCGAGTAAAACTTCTGAAAGATTCGGACACGTTTGCTGAGCAGGTCTATTCTTCAAAGGTAACGCTCGTTCTCTTTGTTGTAGTTACTAAAGTTTTCGTTTTAAGGGAATAGGAGAACCACCGCTCATGCTCAGTGTGACTGCTCTCGCTTCATTGCGCTATGCTATAAACGCTCGTCGTCGAGATTTAGGATTTTCTGATTTTGTAGAGTTGTCGGCTCCGCTGACAACAGCAAAAATCATCTCCTTTTGTAATCCATAATTACTTTACTGATTTATCTATGTTGCTCAACATATGTGCTCACTGACTGTCAATATCTGCTCAGCTATGTGGATTAATCTCTACTGCATTTATTCGCTTGCGAATGAAGAATTTGAATGCAGGAAGTGTCTCCCGTCGTTAAGAATATACTATTCACACATGCTAACATCAAGAGCGATTGAGCTTGAATTTAGTATTAAGTCCAAGCTTAGGAGATTTCCAAATACCGCTAAATTTATAATTACGATTATGAGGTGAGCTAAGTAGCAAGTTCGGCCTTTGGATCATAATTCATAAGCGGAGGGCTTGAGCCTGTTAAGCTTTGACTAGACGATAGTGTCAACCTCAAGTAAAAGGGGTCAGGCAGATGCCGGCTCTGAAGTGAAGGGGATCAGAGAAACTTCTCCACCTATCGCATCTATAGAACCCTTAGAACTCTTCCTTGTAGTTCAAATCTGTATTTGATCTCACCAATGCTTCCAAGGGTTACGGTCTCATGACGAGCGAGGAATTCACTTACGATGACAATGGCAAGCCTATTCAAGACTCAATGCACAAGTGCAAAATACCAACAGCTGCTACGGTGCCTCGAAGGTATCCTTCTACATTTCAATCTAGAACTTGAGAAATGCTCCTTTTTCTTAACCAAGATATGATTTTTACTGCTTGAGAAACAAGGCGCTAAGTACTAAGCTAGAGAAAAGTAAATGTGGTTCGGGGAAGATCCACAGTTTGCTTGACATGCTTGCGATGCCGATTTTGGATTTAAGTTGCGATAATATTAACATGCAGAGATTCGAGATCCTCTCTTGGTCCTGCATTACGCAAGTTTCTCAGGTTTTTATTGAGCTATTGAATGTTAAAACCATCAACAGTACTTGTACTCTTCCTAAGTGTCGTGGTACAACGAACTTTGCTTTGCAGCTTCAAATATCTTAACAACAAAGCAAAGTGGCGTTGTTTCAGAAATTCTACAGCTATTCAGTAAATAAACGTTTTACAAAGTCCAAATTACTTAGACAGTCCTCAAAGTGTTTTTCTAAGCGCCTACCCAGGTCTTTTTCCATTTTCAGTATCTATGCTTTTGAATTGATCTCTTCGATACACTTAAGAAGATATACTACTGTAAGCCGCGCCAATTTCGCTGCTAAGCATCTGTTGCAAATTCTTGCTGTGATTTTTCAGGAAAGACAAGTCAAAAAGCAACTATTGCAAAATTTGCGCTGTGTTATTTTAATCCCTTGAAAAACTTACGATATCATAATTGGTGCAAAGTATGAAATGGACGTGGGACCTGGAAAAAATGCCAATGTGAATTCTGTGAATTCGCTTTTACTGCTTACATTTCGAGAATGGGACCTGGCGTTAGTTGAGTGATAAATGTATTCACTCATTGCTGCGGTATAATAAGCGTTACAAAGACTGAGTTTTGAACGTGGTACTCTTCTTTTCAGGAGGAACAGCATCACGGTGATAATATATAGCCTCCACTATGTTTGTGCACCGAATTTTCTCCGCTCAAAGGGATTTACTGTCCACATTACAGGTTCCGAGTGAAAATGAGCAAAGTAAGAATTTTTTGGAATTCTATGCGGGAACTAGGGCAAGCAAGAAAAAAGAAACTTTGCTGCGCAAGTGCTGAAATTTAGCACTGAAGGCATTCTCTATTATCAATCTTGTGGAACATTCAAATGACCGCAACAAAACTGATGTGCCAGTATAGATAGAATTCAGTGGTTGAAGCTGACCTGGTCTGAGTAGTCAGATCGCTGCACCATCTTATGGCCGTGTAAATGACCCTCCCCAAAAGTCTTTATACCATCTACAAGTTCCTTTAGGCAATTTCATGATGTATAATGTGATAATGTGAGGGTGTTAATGTTGCGAATACAGCTTCATTCATTGACCTTTGAGCATAAAGTATTTTTCTTCCGTTGTGATTCAAAAAAAAACGCTTGCTAGTGACACCGCTGCACAACACAGGCAGTGGATCTCGGCAACGTTGTTATTATCTAAAGCTCATCGTGTGCTGTTTTTAGTCTCCCATATTAGACAAATCCACAAAGAAGAGAAGAAAATATCATAGTTCTGTGTTGGGTAGATAAATATGTTCGTTATGAGAGGTAATTAGGCAACTTTGAAAATACTCGGGGAGCAGCACCAAGTTCGCTTTTTCTCACAGGAGCATAATCGTAATGCAGTTATTACCTGCTATCGCATGTAATAACTGCATTACGATCAAACCTCTACAGTGTAGTTTGAGTGAGTGAGAGGTCTGAAAATCGTATAAATCACAAGTTCCTCTGTGAGTAAGGAATGCGCAGGATGAAAACAGTGCATATGGGCAGAAAAATTTCATGCACCAGCATCACTTGTGCATGAAGTACATCTACTTACTCCTTCACAGTTGAACTGGGTCCAATTTATTCCATCTTAGAACCAATTTCAGAAAAAAGTGGATTTTGATGTCTTTAATATTTCAACTATTTCATCACCAAGGTCTTCATCATAGCTATATACTTCATTTTCAAATATTACTCATCACGGTGACGAAATTCAAACATAACTAAGTTCAAGAGCTTCTATATAAACTAAGAACCAAAAATTGACATGTAGTAGTTACATCTCAAGGCTATAAGCACTGTTGTATCCGTTATGGTCTAGCGGTTAGGAACGGCTCTCACCCGTAAGGCCCGGGTTCGATTGCCGGCAACGGAAGGCCTTTTGCAAATTGTCTTTCATTTATGAGTCATTGGCATTACTTTGAAAACTTTTTGAAAATTAATTTCTATAGATTCGTTCCAGTTTCACATGATCAATATCATAAATAGAAAACCGCAGCATGGTTTTACAAAAATAACCACTGTTGACGTAGAAAAAATTCATAAAAATAAAGATTATCATAAAAAAATGGAGAAGTAAAAAAAACAATTGAATGAAAGGTAAGAAAAACATAATATGAGATTCCTATGAAATACTACGCGTGGATTTATTATATTTTACGCAGAAGTAATCATAAGGTGAATGATGGCGTGGATCACCTCACAGCTAAAAGCATGGAAATATTCAACCAAGAACGTCGAGTGCAAAATAGATTGATTTGAATCTACATAATCGGAAGAATGCTTATAATTTTGCATACAGCTGCGAAGTGTTCATGAAATCCTGCCAAGAGAGAAAGCTATGAGATCTCGAAAAGCGTTTCCGTAGAGAACACTAGTATGATCTACTCAGTATATTGCGGCCCCGCACCCTCAGCCTTTGATTTTGATGTTGAAGAGCCGTCAACAACTCTCGCGTTGATGGGCATATTTACAGGTTAGTTTTATAATTTCTATGATTCAAATTACACCATGGTTCGGCATTTTCATTTTTGACTTGGTTTCGCCTCGTCCCCGTAATCCACATGAAGTCATATGCCCGAATCTGAAAGCGGTTCAAAATTTAGCCTAGTTGTCTATAGTATGATGATAAGTGGCTTGCGTTTTTTTGGAGGAATTATTGGGTAACTGGATACATTATGATTTTAGCTCTCAACTCAAGTATATCACAGTTTCTGAGTTAATACGGCAGTTGTCTATTAGACCTTGCTCTGCTTTATCAAATAGCTCACTTCATGCATTTTCAATATTCACACTGCGGCATCGTATAAGGAACGCTCATTCTTTTGCATCCACCAAATATAATAATTTGCATTTCTTCTGCTTCTAGCGGATCTTGAAAAATGCGAGTTGTGTTGTCTCAGCAATATAATCTTCTAGTCCACATCTTGTACCTTGCTTGATGTTAAGCGAGAGGATTGAGTTCTTGCTCTGACCCTGGGATTGATAAAGACGATTAGTATTTTAATCATGCGCATCATTAATCCATTGCTAAACCTATCTTAATTTTACGAGAATATAGAAGCTGTTGTGCATCGAATATAAACGTAGTGTAAGCGTTATCGTGATTTCCGAGTGTATTTTTGTTATAGTTTTGGTAGCAGTGTAACTATTAAATTTTATCACTTTTGCCTAAGCTCTGCTTGATTTCAGCGTGCTGGGGTTGTCGCAAGCGCAATCCCGCAAATGCGAATCCACAGCAGAGCGCTGGAAACCAGGATAGAGGCGTCAGGTTAGGAAAGCTTCTTCTCGTACTTATATTATTAGATTGGAGCATTATTAGAAATTTTTTGTTTTTGAAAATATTCGAAATTCGATTCGATATTTTTGATTTTCAAATGTATTCGATTATTCGAATTTCGATTATTCCAAAATATACTGCGCAGGATGCTTTGCTATGTTTTGCAGATTTATCTTACTTTAGAAGCACAGGGCAAATCTTCTCACTTACTGAAGCGAAACCTCGTCCGCTTCGACGTATGACCGTACCCAGTCCTTTTTCTGAAAGTGTGGTTAGCGGTGTGTGCAAAAAAGTCTTTCCACATTACATTGCTGTCTACGTCTTCACTAGAGTTCGACGAAATGGAAATGGTTCTTCCTCAGTATCCTACAAACTTTTCAAGGAAAGGGACAGTAGAAGATGAGGAGGCAAAGAAAACAGGTAGCCTACAAATATATCAGCAACTGCAGTCGAGGCTTTCCCTTCCTTCCCTAATTTCTCTCAGAAGGGAATGGTCAGAAACGGAAGTGGCCAATCCAAACAAGCTGCATACCATTAGGTGCAGCATAAAACCTTGACACTGAATCTGTATTCTCCCTTACCGGCTCTAACTTCGCCCACATCAGCGCTAAGCAGGTATTCCATACCTGCTTAGCGCTGATGTGGGCGAAGTTAGAGCCGGTAAGGGTCTCTATTTTGCTAAGAAATCGTGCATGCAAAGCGCAAAGGCATGTTCAGATAACAGAGCCATGTTCAGATAAAAGCTGAGCCAAATGCGCCTAGGTTACTTTATTTTCTTGGCCTGAAGGTGACTGAAAGTGCAACAATTCAACTTCGCAATTTCTATGTACGATTTCGCAATAAGGCTGCTGCCCATTGTAACTTCGTCCACAAAGGCGCTGAGCAGATATGGAGTACACATTTGAAGTCAGCGTTTCATGCTGCATCTACTGGTATGCAGCTTTTTGGATTGGTTGCTTTCTCACCATTCCCTAGTCAGAAAGATTGATCAGTGAAAAATCAAAAATCGCGGAAAATCAAACGGATCCTTGGACTTTGTACGCGATTAGCGAATTCCTAATGAAACTAAACTGACTAAACTAGTATACTTTACATGTCTTTTGCTTTAATGTAAAGCATAGTTCGATCTGGAAAAATTTAGCCGCCCATTAATTTTCCACGCTGTGGTCAATGCTGAGTAGATTCAGATTTCTAAACAATTTCCTTATAACAAGTACTTTATTGTATTATTGCTCAAGATAAATGATACCGTTTGAGCTGTTCTTTAGAGACCCGTCATACTTCGCCTGAAAAAAGAGCCGAAAGCGCCAGAAAGAGCCGGAACGTCTCTTTGCGTTTTGACCCTAAGGCATGCGTGTTGATTTCGCAACCTAGTCTTTTAGCTTCATTTTCTGTCGTCTGCACATCACATAATGTCAGAATTCTACCAAAAGTTCGCTTCTGCGTTTTGGCTCTTTCGAGCTTTTTCAGGCTTTTTCGGGCTTTTTTGGGCTTTTTCGGTTTTTTGGGGTTTTTTCGGTTTCTTGAGCTTTTTTCGGCTTTTTCGGGCTTTTTTCGGCAAAGTATGACGGCTCTCTTAGATGGCTCCACCAGCACCATAAGGCTAGCTCTAGAAGAGACACGACGGGATCATAAGATGAGCTCATAATCTCAACGGCACCTGCTCAGCTCAGATGAGCTCAGCAGGTGTCGTTCTTGAACTTAAAGGCACCGTCCACCCTAAGTTGAGGATGTTGAGCTTTTAACAGCATATGATAGTAGGGCCCCCTATCAAGCCAATGCCCAAGTCGCGGCGCATAATGCTTTGGAAGCAAGAAAATTGCTCCGGAATAGCGAAGATGCACGTGAACCCCCATCCATGCCCGCCGCTCCCCATCCATGCCCGCCCACCTGTGGGCGCCCAGCCAATCACCGTTTCGGAAAGCCGGCCTGAGGGTTCTCCGGAACGGGGATTATTGGTATTTTTGCGGATTCTAGACTTCATATTCGGAATCAGGGACATAAGAAGGCCCCAGAACGATCAAAACATGGAAGTCGAGAATCTGGGTGGACGGTGCCTTTAAGTCCCGATCAACAACGTATGATTCGTACACTCTCGCAGCCAAGTGTTTATCAAGGTGCATACCATTCATTTGTCAGTCCTCGAACAGTTTCATGTGTTATGCGTTCAGATCCGCAAATGGCTCCTGCTTCAGCAAGAGCTGGGTATGGAACACTGCCACGTAGTGTCAACGCCCAATTTTACAACTGTGCACAGCCTCAGGGACATTACGCGCAGCCACAGCAGGTAATTTTATTTTTACCCCATCACATCAATTTACTTGATAACTTAGTTGTTGTTGTGATAATTTAGTTGTTGTTGTGATATGAATACAGTCAGCATTACTGTGATTTTTCTTCCCCTACCAGCTAGTGCGCGGTTCAGCTTTGTTGATTTTATCACAATTGCTCATCGTGAAGCTTGAATAGCAACTTAGTGCTATATATTTGCATAAGTAATTTGCATCACATTTTAGCTGCGCGCTTGTCTTTCTGACGGCATGCTGAACTATCTAGTACCCGGACACGCGCCGTCATACGGCGAGTACCCAACGGGCCTGCTTCAGTTTCCCATGCAGCCGCCTCCTGGGTATACTCTTGATCCATACTCGTCTGATCCCGGCTTGTACATGCAAAAACAATTACAGCAGCTGAATTATCCTATGGTGAGTAACTGCCACGTTGCTTTTTAACCTTCCTTATCCTCGTCCACCATCAGTCAGCCCATGGCGTTACCGGCTTCTCACTTCATCAACCTTCAACGGTTGGTATCTCTATGATGACTCCTCCTGCATCTGCTTATTCGTCCGTGCAAGCTATGCCACCGTCACTAGATCAGCACAGTTCCTCACCCTCGTATACCCTTCAGCAACCTCCTCAACCTACTCAGCTGATGTCAACAGCTGGAATGATGAGTGCACAGCATCAGCAGCAGCTCTATCAGCAACAGTATGCGCCTTACCAAGGCACACCACAGCTGGAAAATCAACCTCCACTGGAATATGAATCTCACGAGGGTGCGTCTACGTTCCGACTGCACAGCAAGGATGTAGGTTTCTGTCCCCCTTATTTGTTGACCTTCCTCACCAATATATATTTTATTTTTGTGAGAAATTTTTCTTCAACTTCTAAATAGGTTTTTGTAAGTATTTCACTTTCAGGCATCGTCTAGCCGCATCGATCCACCACTAGAGATCAATCGTAATTTGACAAACGGGGGCATGACATATCAGAAGGTATCGCTTTATATGCTTAATCAACATGCGTGCTCGTACTTTTTTTTCCGTTTTTTTTTGTGACGCTAGCTTCATGATTTCTTCTTTGTTTGTGAATTCTAAAAGAAGGGATAGTACAAGCTAACATAATGACAATGGCTTTTTTTACTTACAAATAACCAGAATCAGATGCAGGGTCATACGGGTCGTCCGCAAAGAAGGACAGGGGAGAATCAGACATTCATAAAAAGTGAACAGGATCTAGTCAACCAGCCAGAACTTGTGCCGACAATTCCTTTCATTCCCATTTATGTATCATCAAATTTTGTAAGCGCTTACGGCAGTTAAGGACCAAGTGCAAAGGCAGTCGCCTTGCCCAGTCGGAGCAGGACCAAGACGGTCGAGAGATTCTCGTGAAGGGGAAGCAGTTGCACCAGAACCGGAGCGAGTGCGAGTGCAGGGTGAACTTTGTCATTTTCTTTTCGCGCTTGACTTCTTTGAGCATGAGTATTCGGAATCTAAACAGATTCAGAAACTACAGTTGCTTCACCGCAGCCATCAGCGTCTCGTGATCCATCGAACAATACTAGCGGCGCGTCCACTGAAGAGAAGTTGGAGGCGCTATACTAATGTTGTTTTAGATTGAAAAAATATGTATTTGCAGGGCAACTGTTCCTCCGGGAGTAACATTTGAGGTTACTGATGACCAAGCAGCGGAAGATTTCGATAAGATTGTAAGTTCTAATCATTTGCTGTTGACAAGGGTCGCATACATCTTCTTTTCCGCTCAATCCTATGTTCGGTGCGTATACGTTCCTCAAAGTAGAAATTTTTCACTGCTTTATTATCATGAGAGTGAAATGAGGTGAATGGTTACTTCCTGTTTACACCTTGTAGGCTGAACAACGTCGTCAAGCAAAACGGGCAGCACTGCTGACAAAAATGATGATGCGCAAGGAGGAAAATAAAAGAAAGGTTTGTTATTGTAACTAATCGAAATGAACTCATATGCGTCGAGAATACTGAGCTTTTTAGCGAGTCTTTTTTTTGTTGATAGGAGCATAGTCAATATTCTTAGCTCAACCAAAATGTAAGGTTCTTTAGGTCGATCAAGGAAAGCAGAGAAATGCCGAGAAGAGACTTGCTGAAATCGCACGTCGGATGGCAGAGCAGCGGAAACTAGAGAAAGAGCTGCAGCGGTGAGTATTCATATAGCTGTGTAGCATCGGCTTCTATCTTTGAATTGTAGACAGAAGATCTTGGACGACTTCAGACGGCGGAAGATGGGAGAAGAGTTGGGAGTTAAATTCAGATCGAATTCGGCTCGAAGTTGTCGTGGACACTCACAACCACCTTTTGTCCGTACGAAATCACAGGTGCGTTCCTAGTTTCCCATAATTTGGTCTGTTGGCGTCATTATTTTCTTCGATTTAGATGTCCGAATCAGCAATGGGTGCCGACAGGAAAAGGGGCGAAGAGGGGCGTCCACCTAGGGCACGAAGTCAATCCGCGGTTGACCGACGTAACTCGGTTGCAAGCTTGCAGGAGCCAAGTTGGTGTTAGAATCCTTTTCTTCCAAATTTTGTGTTCATCTCATCACAATTTTGCAAGCTATCTTGTTTCTCACCAGCTTTTTGTTTTGTTTTTGAAGTGCTCTTCATCAGTCATTGTGTAGACGTGCGTTTTTGCACCCGAAACGTTTTGGAAAATTTGATTGTGCATCCTTTTACCAACAGTTTCTCACTATGTAATTGATTGTTCTAGCTCATAAGTTGTTTGCCAAAGCTGCACTGAAATCGAATCGTGGTCTGATAATCAATGCTCTGCAATATAGCGTGTTCCCAGGACCTGTCGACGACCTAACGAGAATGAAGGTAAGTCTGTAAGCGGTACTTTTATGCGTTGTTATCTTTTATATCATAGACAATGACTGATCTGGCTGCTTCGGATGCCAAACACTTCCTCATTCTTTTCCGCGACTACAAGTACCGAGGCCTTTATAGTTGGGATCAGGTATGTCTTTCTTAGTGAAGTCTCTTCAGCTTATACTGCAGTATCCAGCTCGAAAACATACCTCTAACATAAGCTCATTTAGATTTCCGACACCGCTATCAAAATTTCTGGTCAAGGGCCTCCGAAATGCTCCGAAAGCATCATGAAGTTGATGTTCAAGTAAGTGAAAAAGGGAATGCAAGTCTTCTGCAATTTTTGATTTACTTGTTATTTAGGTACGATTCGGGTGCGAAGAACTTCTCACAGATTCCTACAAAACATCTCGGTGCAACTATTGATGGTTTCTGTATCCAAGATCGGTTTTGGCAAATGCCGAAAACCCCTTGTAGCAGCGCAGCATCTCATCGGATTGACTGATGGAAACATTAGGAAAGCCTAGATGTGATTTTTATTTGCTGTGAGCGCCTTATTTATGGTGACGTCGTCCGGTCAAAGTGTTACCATTTTAGGTAGTTGTTCTGTTTACAGTAGGCAATCGTTCATAATATATTTCGGTAATCTGACGCTAAATTTAGCTGTAACTACGCTTAAATTGTTATGCATCAATGCCTTTCGTTCCTCTGCGTTGTACTGAACCAGCCATGCCTATACCAGACTTCTTTTGAGTTTGTGAATTTGTGCGTTGTTGTTATTCGAATCTCTTGATTTAATATCGGTCAAGGTTTGTTGAAACTTGGTGTTTCTTATTGAGAGATTTTGTTGCGCCGTTGTTCGCTATCGCTGTTTCGCTTGTCTTCCAGGAATTCAAATATAGGCATTCATCAGCTTATGTTGATACCCGGTTTTTTTTTGTCATCCCTGATTTTCACTTCTATCTTCAAATGTCATTTTTTTGTAAGGCTTAGAGTAAAGAGATCTTGACTTGCATGCTCCTCCACTTTCGTCCGCACGACTGCGTTAACTTTCACTAGACTCTGTTGTCGTCGCTGCCGTATTGAATACTAGCTGGCAAATCCGGCTCCGCCTGGCCCTATCAACAATGTATTTGTAATCAGCATTCTCGATTACCCCCCTGTGCCAACTCCCAAACCCGTAGCCCAAATGCAAAAAATCGATAAAACCGATATCGAAAAGTAGCCTATGACATCCGCCCCGCCCTGAAGTGTATGTGTGCAAAGTTTGGTCCCGATCCGTTTTTTTTAAAATTTCTATTCGGAACATACGCACAGACATACATGCAGACAGACATACAAAAAACAGACATTCAGCTTTATATATAAGACCAGTCCAAACTTGGACTGGTTGTGTGTGTGAAGTGGGATGTGTTTAGAAGTTAGAATCTCTGAAGTTTCTTGGTGTGCCTTTTTTAGTCAAAATGGCAGCATTGTTCTTCCAGGCATGCATACCTAATGTTAAAATGCAGCAATCTGTGATCTTTTAAGCGCGTAATGACTTTGTAGAATGAGATTGTTCCTGACGTGGCTACTACTGTCAATAATAGGATTTTTTCCCAATAGTCTTCATTAGCTAAGGGAGAATACATGCAATATATTCGGAAGCTCGGTGCACGATGATAAGTAAGATTGTATAAATAGCAATAATTGATCGCCGCTAATGTTCGGATTTAATAAAGGATAAAGGATTCGGCGTCTTCAATACCCTCTGAGGGCATGCGCCGAACGCACACACTAACTTCATAGTCGAAGAGGCAATTGTATGCGTGCGGGCCTATTACAATGACTTGCGGGGGCCAGCCGTTTCCAAGTCAGTGCTTTTATCCTCCCAGATTAGGTACCAATTTACCGGCCCCGGAGGGTGGAGGGCTTGGTTTGCCCAGGGGCGGGGATCGAACCTGTGTCCGATCTGGTCATAGCGGCGCCTCATACCACTACGCCACTCGTCCCCCATGTTCGGATTTACACAAAAGAATTTGCTTACACCTTGGTTTGTGGGATGATGTTTGAAGGTTATGTAATAACCAGCCGTTCTCTGCCGCTACGCGGCAGGTTCGGCTGATACTCGGTAGTTTCGCTTCCCTGTATATCTTTCGTCCCACTCTGTATTGTGCAAATGTGAGTGGTAGTAAACCTGTTAATTTACACAAAACACCAACTTAACCTATGTAGGAGGATGATCGAGGACGCACTTTGGCCTCTCAATCAAATTTGTGTTAACATTCCAAGCAACAGACAATGCACAGTCAACAACACAGAAGAGCTGGATGTGTCCCACTCTGTGTAAGGTCTGTGTCCATGTCACAGACATGTTCACTTTTTCATTTTCATTCACCTTACATGTGTTCCATGTTCCATGTAAGGTGAATGACGGTATCACGGTGTTGGAAGTGGAAGCATTCAAAGGAAGTAAGACGTGAGAAAAGCGTCATAGCATGAAGAAAAGATGGGGGATATAAGGATGTTGACACATCGGACTGATATGGTCGGTGGTTGGTGGTCATGCTCGATCCTGTGGGTGAGTGAAATTTCTGTTTTTGATAAGCAGGTCAATCTGAATCTTGCTGAGAAAGGGATTGATGCGTAGTCATATATCAGTCAGTTGTCGAGAATGTTAGATGAAAAAATATTGAATAGATGGAGAAAGTCAATAATTGAAGCAATAGATATTGTATTCGTAAAAACTATGCCTACCTATCCTTTCCTTGCCGCCAATTTTAAGCCTCAAGAGCGTAAAGTAAGAAAAATTAGAAAATCGATTTAACCTATATTAGTGGAAATAGCTTGCTAACGAAAGACCCGTTCAGAAGTTTATGCATGCTAAGTTTGATTCAAGTCTCATAATTTTTTTCTAGCATTCTAGGTCAGTCATAACAAATGGCTAAGCAAAAAACGCTGGAAATCAGTGAATCAAAAAGGACAATAGATTATTTTTGTATAAGCTTAATGACACCGGTCCGCCACGAAATTTATGTTTGTGAAGTTCGGTTCAGACCTCATAATTTTTCCAAACATTTTGTGACGGCAAAACTTCTTTGAGCGAAAACTGCAAAAAATCAATAAATCTATCAAAGCAATCGGATGTTTTGGACAAAATAACTTATAAACACACTCCTGCGTCATTCAAATGCGTTATACGCTTCTTGTTTATCGACCTGATACTGGATCAAAGTTGCTAATAAGACATTTTCCTCTGAAATCGAATCTCAATAAAAAAGATAGAAACGCGCAGCAAATTGCCGCCTACGCTACTCTTCGGTGCTCAGAACACATGCGTCTTTTGAATGAGTTGAAACTTCTTCTATTTTTCAGGGCGGAGAAAACTTGATAGGCAAAAATTGAAAAAAAAATCGATAAATCAGTAGGGGCAACCCGTGTGTCCCGAACAAAAGGCGCGTTAACACACCTCCTCCCCATACATTGGGTCTGCCAAATTTGGTTCAGATTCCTTAGCTTCTTCTATCCTTTTTGGGCGAACATACAAATTTGAGCAGAAACTGCAAAAAATCAATAGATCGATGAAGTCAAACGGTGGACCCAGAATAGAAAGGCTTATTAACATACACCCCACCCGATGCATTATGTCTGCCAAATTCTGTTCAAATTATGGTTTCTTCTATCTTTTTTGGGCGAACATACAGAATTTTCTAAGCAAAAACTGCAAAAAAACAATAAATCGATGGAGTCGAACGGTGAGTCCCAAACGAAATCGCTTATTAACATAAACCCCATCCCATAGATTATGCCTGCCGAATCGTCACGATTTTATAAATGAACTATACAAAATGTTCCGAGCAAAAACTGCAAAAAATCAATAAGTCGATAGAGTGGAACGGTGGACCCTGATCAAAATGGCTTATGATATGTCTGCAAAATTTGGTTCAGATTCCATAACTCCTTCTATCGTTTTTGGGCGAACATACAAAATTTCCTAGGCAAAAACTGCAAAAAATCGATAAATCGATAGAGTGGAACGGTGAGTCCCGAACAAAATGGCTTATTAACACATGCCCCACCCCATACATTATGTCTGCCAAATCTGGTTCAGATTCCATAACTCCTTCTATCGTTTTTGGGCGAACATACAAAATTTCCTAGGCAAAAACTGCAAAAAATCGATAAATCGATAGAGTGGAACGGTGAGTCCCGAACAAAATGGCTTATTAACACATGCCCCACCCCATACATTATGTCTGCCAAATCTGGTTCAGATTCCATAACTCCTTCTATCTTTTTTGAGCGAACATACACAGAGTGGTCAAGCCAAATATATATAGTATTGATTCTGTAATTATGCTGCGCTAACTTTTACACTATTATTATATGTCAAATTTCTGAATAACACGGTTTTTTGAATTATTTCTTGGATCAAAAGGTTGATGAAATCCCAATTGAGCGAATGGTTCCATAAATTCCAAATAACGTTCTCTTCTGCAAAGTAATTCTGATGTAAGAACCCTCACGTGACCTTCTTACTTAAGCTGAGAGCTGATATAATCTTCACTGCAAGCATCTTTTGTAATTAACTCGATGCACAGAGAGTACTTCTTAGTCTGGTAGTTATCCTCATATCAGTGCTCAGACCTGTAACAAATGGTTTTTTTTCTAAATCTTCAAGCACAACCATTGAGTATTGCAGTCTTTGACACCGCATTCCTCTTCGGATCTCTCTTTTTCAAAACTCTGGCAAGCTGATCCGCAATTTGGAACCATAATTCACAAAATCAACATCTTTGAGAAATCATTTGAAGATATTTTGATGAATTAAGATATAGCTGGAAAATTTTGAGACCAATGAGTAGTCGAAGGGCAAAACATTATTATGTTTATGCAAAATAGATCTTAATAAAAAGTGATCGATTCCCCAATAATTAGGAACTTTACTTTGGAAAGACATAAATTAGAGCAAAATCTAATACATACAATGCAGAGAACACGGAAGATATCTGAGCAGCTATTAAACATTGATTGCGTATGCAGTTGAGATAAACTGGAACTAACTTTTGAAGTAGCTGAGCGCAGCTCCAATGAGGACTCACCGTGCGCGGTTTTGATAGGTGTAATAAATAAATAAATTCTGAATATGTAAAATGGTGAATATCCCTTTATATTGGGGCTTTCCAGCATTGAGCGCAAGAAATACGGAGTTCCTGAAGACTCGCCTACTTACCAAACAAGCGGAGCAGCTTGTGTGATGTCCGAGAAGACTGCCGTACTGGCGAGCAAAAGGTGTAGCTTTCAACATTAAAACCTACAGCTAGGGTTTGGATGGAGGTGTTTTACAAGAAAGTAGGTAAGCTAGGAGATAATCAATGTTTTTTCTCAGCTTTTATCGGTTGATATGGTTCTGGATGTAGGACGAAGTCTAAATCCTGCCATAGACATCGGCCAAATTGAAGGCTCCTTTATGCAGGTATTCCTTAAACTTCAAATCTGTATTTGATTTAACCAATGCTTCCAAGGGTTACGGTCTCATGACGAACGGGGAATTCACTTACGATGACAATGGCAAGCCTATTCAAGACTCAATGTACAAGTACAAAATACCAACAGCTGCTACGGTGCCTCGAAGGTATCCTTCTACATTTCAATCTAGAACTTGAGAAATGCTCCTTTTTCTTAACCCAAGATATGATTTTTACTGCTTGAGAAACAAGGCGCTAAGTACTAAGCTAGAGAAAAGTAAATGTGGTTCGGGGAAGATCCACAGTTTGCTTGACATGCTTGCGATGCCGATTTTGGATTTAAGTTGCGATAATATTAACATGCAGAGATTCGAGATCCTCTCTTGGTCCTGCATTACGCAAGTTTCTCAGGTTTTATTGAGCTACTGAATGTTAAAACCATCAACAGCACTTGTACTCTTCCTAAATGTCGGAGTACACTTTGCTTTGCAGCTCTAAATATCTTAACAGCAAAGCAAAGTGGCCGTTGTTTCAGAAATTCTACAGCTATTCAGTAAATAAACGTTTTACAAAGTCCAAATTGATTAGGCAGTCCTCAAGGTTGTTTTTCTAAGCGCCTGTCTAGGTCTCTTTCCATTTTCAGTATCTATGCTTTTGAACTGATCTCTTCGATACAGTTCAGAAGATATGCTACTGTAAGCCGCGCCGATTTCGCTGCTAAGCTGCTTTCGCAAATTCTTGTTCTGATTTTCCAGGAAAGACAAGTCATCAAGCAAGTATTGCAAAATTTGCGCTGTGTTATTTTAATCCCTTAAAAAATTTCCAACGATTTCATAATTGGTGCAGCGTACGAAATGGACGTGAGGCCTGCAAGAAATGTTAGTGAATTCTGTGAATTCGCTTTGACTGCTTACATTTCGAGAATGGGACCTGGCATTAGTTGTGCGATAAATGTATTCATTCATTGCTGCGGTATAATAAGCGTTACAAAGACTGAGTTTCAAACGTGGTACTCTTCTTTTCTGAAGGAACAGCATCACGGTGATAATATATAGCCTCCAATATGTTTGTGCACTGAATTTTCTCCGCTCAAAGCGATTTACTGTCTACATTACAGGTTCCGAGTAAAACTTTTGAAATATTCGGACACGTTTGCTGAGCAGGTCTATTCGTCGAAGGTAGCCCTCGTACTCTTCATTATTATAATTGAAGTTATCAATTCCAGGGAATAGGAGAGCCACCGCTCATGCTCAGTGTGGCTGCTGTCGCGTCATTGCGCTTTGCTATAAACGCTCGTCGTCGAGATCTAGGATTTTCTGATTTTATAGAGTTGTCGGCTCCGCTGACAAGAGCAAAAATCATCTCCTTCTGTAATCCATAAATACTTCTCTGTTGGCTATGTTGCCTACATTTATGTGCTCACTGTCTGTCAATATCTGCTCAGCAATGTAGAGTAATCTCTACTGCATTTGTTCGCTCACAATAAAGAATTTGAAAACTAGAAGTGTATCACTTACTTGTTAAGAATATACTATTCATTCATGTTAAAGACCAAGAGCGATTGGGCTTGAATTTAGCATTAATTCTGAGCTTAGGGGCTTTCCGCTAAAAATTATTATGATCATGAGGTGAGTTAAGTAGCAAATTCAGCTTTTTGGATCATAATTCAGAAGCGGAGGGCTTTATCCTGCTAAGCTTTGACTAGGCGATATCATACAAGATATAGTACTAAATCATACCGATATCAAGAAGATGAAAATGAACTACAGTGGTAGATCATTTAAACCAGTTTTACAATAATAGATCAAAGCGTAACAATGACAGTTCGATCCAATGGAGTGATAAATCAAAACAATAGGGGGTAGAACGACAAATTTATATGAGAAAATGATATAAATCAGTGCAACAATGGTGATCGAAGTATGAAACATGGAGATTAGAACATCACAGTTTATATCTAACCATGCTCTCGTATAACTCGAATAGAAAAACAAGAATATCTCGAAAATTTATTCCAAATTCATTGCTAGTTGAGAACTTAGCATACTATGACTTCATCGCAGGTGAAAATGAGAGCTCAATTTGTTCAGAACTTGGAAATCTTTACTGCTTTCCTACGCGTCAATTCTGCACTCCTGAACTGTTTGTCTTCATTTGCCTGTGCCGCCGTGTACAACTGTTATCACCGACTGTTCGAAAACGCATCAATAATCACTTATAACAGCTCAGACTATTTGTGCTGTCATCTAGCAGCTTGGCCATATCTGGATAGTGCCGACATCAGATAGCCCCAATTTGCCATACTCACTTTTGATATAGCCATGTTTCCATGAATCTGTGTAGTGTTGAGAAAAGCATTCGATAGCTCTTCAACTCTCCGCCCTTGTCATTCGATCTAATCAGTCCATTGTTCTAATCCACGGAAGCAAAGTCTACTTGCAATGATGATTAAAGTCCCCTATGAATCAGCATTCTCAGAAGTATTTTAACAGAGAACGGATCAAAGCTCCCTGAAAACACGATTTTGAGTTCACTCAGATTTCTTCAGTATGAGTCACAACCACATGCACATTTGCTTTCGTTTAGTGAATATGCTTTAGTGAGCCACTCTTGGCACTTAGTAGCTAACTCTTTGACTACTAGAACAGAAAGATTTCACCCTTTATGGCTGCTTACATCTCAGAGTTGTATACCCCCTGTATTATTGGGTAGTAAAGAAAGCTCTGCCAATTCTTCTCTTAAATACCAAAAACGAATGCGAATGCAAGGGGCTGGTTTGAAATGTGTCCCTAGTGTGCAAGGACCCCAACTATTTAACACGCTATTCAGCCTGAAAAAAATGACGATAAACTATCTAAAATGCCCAAAAAAGAGAAAAATTCGTTGCGCCCAGGTCTGCGAAAACGCACATTTTTCAAATTATGGACGCGCAGAACTTCCAGAAACTTAATTTGAAAATACGTTTTAAACCCTGTGTATTAGGTAGGTGAAGCAGTATCCGACTATTATTTGCCCCGGTATTTGGGTCTTTTTGCAAGCAAGAAATAATTCATTGAATTTGGGACTCAAAAAATCGAATTCCTCACATGTTTCGAAACGCAGCCAGTGCGTTCTTTGGAAAAGAGCATCTACGACATAGCTAATCAGTGCTCTAAGGTTATTAGCACATATGATCAAAATATCGCTAATTGACAGCCACTTATGGTAAAGATATAAATAAAACGATTCAGCTCAGCGTCTATTGGCAGAACTTTCTTTACAACCTAGTATATGCTGTATCTCTAATTTCGTAACGGTTTATGGAGGTAGCATCCATCACAGACGTGCAGTTTTGCAAGAGCCCAACGCTGCAAGGTATGGAGCTGATTCAGTGACGATTTCATTTTACTGTTTCTTGTAGTATTTCATAATTCTATTTAATCACTTTTGTGGCAATTATCAATTTTTGCGAGAATCTCAGATCACTTGCCTCGGGTATATAAAGCTATTCATTCTCATTATCAACTGATTTACAAAATCTGGTACTCGTAAGCGTGATACTTTTTTGTATCCCTCATGAGTTTTACAAGTATGACAACTGTTCGTTAGTTCTGCTGCTTCAGAAATACCTGTTCTAAGAAAACATAAATTCCTATGTATAGAAAATTCTCACTTTTAAAGATTACAATTAAGTGAATCTCTCCAAACCTTACAACGCTAGCTAAACTGTGCACAAAAAGCGTTTTGCATGTATGTCTGATGGGTAGCAGTGATATGTTCCTTGAAAGAAAGCTCGTATCTATCAGAGTTTTGTTTTCTTATAGAAAAAGTCATATAAATTAACATTCATGCCTCTTTTGTTTCCTCCACAATATATTTATGCTAGAATTGCTCGCGGTACAACTTGATCTTTTGAGAAACCAGCACATATTATTAGCCAAATTATTTGTTTCATATCAAGACAATCTGCGTTACGTTCCTGGCCTTGCAGGAGATGAGATAAATAAGTCAAAGAACATATCATGTGTAGGAACTACGACCCAACCTACCATATTTCCGTTATGCCGATTTGAGTTCCAATTTACGAAGAGAGAATAGCAGTATAAAGACAGTTTCAAATACAGGAAGATGTTTGAGCCATAAGCTGCAAAAGTGGTTGTTTCGGGCGGTCGTACTTACATACATAGACCTGGCGACTTATTTAAAAAAGTCAATTAAAGCTCTGTCTGACAAATTGTTTGTATTAGGTTGGCAAGAAAATAATGTCGTTTTTTCGGGTTAAATTAATATTACTCGAGAACTAGCGCATATCCGAGGTCAGAAACTTATGGTTAAAGTTAGGAAGCTTTGTAGTATTCAGAGGCATATGTGGGAGGGGCCCGTACTACTAGGGGCGGAGTCTGCCAATTTCCATTTTTCAATTTTTTCTCGGTTCCTGAGCATGGAAAAAATATAGGTGTAGCTATGGATAAGTGCATGTGTCTTTTACATGCAGGAGCAAGTGAGAAATTTACACGATTACCTAGGGCGAAAATCCAATTTTTGGCATCACTCTCATGTTTTGGCTCTGAATATTGCGTAAACAACAAGTTCTGTCAATGTTCGGATTTCATCTTGTAGAGCTTTCTTTGCTCTATCGAAAGGTACCCTAACAAATTCTTTTGGACTTGTCGTATGGCTTTGCTATGAAAAACGACATTATTTCCTTGACAAATTAATACAAGGCTGTCAACAAGGAAGTATACGCAAAGGACACCATAAGCCGGTCAAGCTGACCTAAGGCACTAGTCCTTGCTTGTCTCACATGGTTCATCCCTATCACCCGCAGTCAATGTTGTCAGAAAAGCTTATGAAAAAGTAAGGACATAGCGTGTTGATAGGAGTGTCTAATACCGAAAATGATAACGCAACAACAATAGTGTTGTGAGTGGTAATTCCGATAAAAAAGCATTCTATTTTTTACCAGGTAGTTCAAGCAGACCTTAAACAAACCTAGTGACAGTTTTTTCTTGTGATTGCGCGAATTATTTGACTGATGAACTTTTCTATGCTGGAAAAAACCGATTAATGTGTGACTTAAGCTTATGCTCAAGGAATTATAAACTCTCATCTAGGTTCATAATATATCCTTTCTTCAACATTCAATTATATACACTCAAAGATAACCCGAGCGAGGCAAGAATAGGTAGCGCAGATGTCATGTGAGGGCATAATCCTCTCTATTCTTCCTTTGATATTAGCCAAAAAGATAATAATTGTAGAAAGAAGAGGGATTGGAGGTTATCAGTATACACCGAATGCAGTTTACTTCACTGCTAGGACTAGATTTATAATCCGAAATGCTTGAGGATTTCAGCCAATTACGAAATTACTGCTCCAATTCTTCTGGACTCGTCTGGCGGGGGGGGGGGGGGGGAGGGCTGTTCCATGTGCGAAAGTCGAACCTTCAACCAACCGATTATGGCGGCGCCTCATGGCACTACGCAGCTCCTCCCGCCATCTCCCTTCCTCAAAAATTGTTCGCTACCTTTTTTTGGACTTCTCATTGCTCTATTATAACTTCTGATTTCACTGCCACTGCTTGATGTAGGTATGTTTACTATTTGGCATGGAGAAGATTTTTTTTGACGTGATTTTCTTGTGGTTTCGATTCAAATGCACTGGTGGATGATGCTGAATGTATGAATGTGATAGCTTCGTTTTTTGTCGCTGGTTTAGTGTAAACTAAATTCAGTTGATTTCCCTTAAAAAAGCCTTGATTGCAGTGACCACTCGGTCATTTTTTTTCTGTATTCTCTACTGCTTTAGATAATTATGGCGCGGCACAGGACGGGAACTAGATGTTGCAATGCTTATCATTCCTCAGTAAGTTTTTTATAAAGTGCAAATAAGTGCTTTTATGATCTATTCTCCGAACCAATTTAGTACAGATCTAAATTTTGACTTGTACTTCGAAAACAGTTAATACCCTCCAAATCTCTGTTAATTTTACTATATTCCTTCTTTGAAGCAGCGAGAACAACGAGTATGTTGCCATACAAGATTTGGGCAGTATTCAAAAATTAGAATTAATGAGTTGAACTATTTTTAAAATTGTTTTATCCATACGGTTTACTGAGCAACATATTCCTCAACATCAAAGAATTCTGTTCTGCTTATCATAAAGGCGTTCATGCATCACTCTATTTATTGCAGAAAAAAATGGTGCTAGATAAAGGTGTACAAACAATGATTATAATGTCCATTGTGAATGCATCCAATCTCTTATTAGTAATTGTAAAGGTAGGTTGAAAGCAATTTTCGTTCCTGCGGATTCACTTTAGCAAAATTCAGGGCATTGTCGCCTATCATACGGGCAGCTTCTCTATAGCAAATTCTACATTAGAAACTTTTGGTGACGTATTCGTCGGTTTCCTTCTTCTTCTTCAGCGATTACAGGTAAAAAATTTCTTCTACTCTCTTTTAGCTTACAAGGGAATGGTGTATTCAAGTCTCCAATCCAAGCAAGCTGCTTATCATTCGATGCAGCGTTCAACGCTGATTTCGATTCTGTATTCCAAATCTGCTTGGCGCCTTTGTCGACGAAGTTATGAGCAGTTTTATTGTGAAGAAATCGTACATAAAAATTGCAAAATTGAGCATATTGTTGCACATTCGCTCACCTTATCAAGAAAACAAAGTAACTTGCTAGGGAAACCACCTAACTTAGCTCGCGCTTTCGGAATGAGACACACATATTTGGCATCAGCGTTCCAAGCTGATGCCAAATATATGTGTCTTATTCCGAAAGCGCGAGCTATGTAAGTCAGGTAGGTTCCCTCGTTAGTTGCATGTTTTGGCCCAGCGTTTAGCCGAACATGCCTGTACTGCCAAATTTGCGCTTTGCATGCACCATTTCTTAGCAAAATAACGATTTTCAAAAGCAGTTTCGGAGTAAAAGTCGATTTTGAGGTTTTATGCTTACCTGGACCTGTTCGCTATGCTGTTTCTGAAATCCGCACCGGAGAACGCGAAAACGGGGAAAAGGACTCCGACTCAGGAGGGAAATCCAGCGGGATCTTCATGTGAAGTCACGCTCCCAGCTTGAGAAGCGACGTTCCCGGTTACGATTTCAAGTCACGCATTCGCACTTGGCCGGTGGCGATGTCAGGGCGACTGGCAGAATAAAGGAGATCGCTCAAGCTGGGAGCGTGAATTCACGGTGAGGAAGACCCCGCCCACATGCTGATTTCCCTCCTCCGTAGAGCCCTTTTTCGCCGTTTTCCCGCTCTCCAGTGCGCATTTTCGGATTCAGCACAGCGAATAGGCCCGCACAATCAGCAATTAGCGGTAAGCACAAAATCTCAAAATCGACTTTTTGCCCAGACACTGCCTTCAAAAGGCTCATAAATTCGTCCACATAGGCGCTAAGAAGATATGGAATACAGACTCGAAGTCAGCATTTTATGCTGCATATCAAATTATGCAGCTTGTTTGAATTGGCCACTTCAATGTCTGACCATTCCCTTGTTAGATGAACCGTGCTCTCGCTCAATGGCAGTGGACATAAAATTACACAAAAGCTTCTTCTTAACGACTTCTTTGTGTATAATTTTGTTCGAACATTGCATCAATTCAGGCAAGAATCGTGAATCGCGACAAGTTTCCACGCGGACGCGCTACAGAAGCGCTTGCAAATGTTAGTGTTTTGGGTTTTCGCTCTTCCCTTATTATTCGCTTTTGTAAAATCGTAGTGGACAAAATCCAAATCATGTTCTAACAATAAGAATAATCTCCTTCCAAAAAATCGCTGAAATCTTTCGTGAATTTGCCTGTCTAGGTAGTTGCTTCAGTAGTGATGATCGTCCTAGCAGGAGTGAATGCTGTGCTCAATATCGATAGGTTCTTCGCAAATAAGTAAGTTTTGAGATATTTGGTTCAGCTCAATATAAAGCTTCCATTTTGAAACGTCCCTGTTTTGCCAAAAATGGCATCTGACTAAAATTTTCCTTCTATTTAAAAACTTCTGCCGTTGCTTTTTCTAAGATTTTTCATGTGTTTTACTCCGTTTAAACGAAAGAGCAGAGCTGCTTACTGTCATCTTTTAAGGTTCGATCCCCATCTGGAACTTGAGGACATATTTGTGGTGGCATTCAACATACTACTCAAGATGGCCTTGTTTGCGATCTGTTATACGTGAGTGAAGTGTTTCTTTGACTTGTTTAAAACAATATTTTTTCTTTCAAGCAAATCACACTCGTGCTTGTGTTTACTTGGTAATTCTGTGTACTTGCACTTCTCATTTGGCTAATGTTTGAGAGGAAAGAAACAAGTAACCCAATTTTGGGACCAGGGCCCTGCACGAGCGAGATGGCTTTCGGAAAATGCAAAAAACGAAGTCCCACTTGACTTTCGCGATTTTCTACGAAGTTTTCCCTTTGACCCTAAACCCTACCCGTAAAAAAGCGCAAAAAGGTACAGATTTTTGCGTCTTTTCAGCCTCAAAAGCGATATTTCCTTTGCTTTTTGTACCCGAAAACGATATCCAGCTTGCTTAAAAGCCACCTGCGCCGAGCCCTGAGACTGCTGAAGACTTGTTTGATAGTCGAAAATGGACGATATTTGGGAAGCAGCGGCAGACCGACCGTATGGTTTGCTCGTAGCCAAAAGGACCAACTCTAAGCTTCAGCCCAAACTGTAGTTTTTCGCCGACTAATCAGCGCCCTCGATTACGGTAGAAACTACGATCTCCTCTAGAGTTGGATTTTTCGACCGCGAAAACGTATGAGCTGCTGCTTGAGCTTGACAATGGCTAAGTTGAGCCTCCTGATGAGTTCCGACAAAAGAAATACAGCTACCTAAGTGCCAATAGGTTTCTATCCAATTCCCAACAATTTGTCGCTTCAAACCAAACCATGAGTTTATCGCTTCAACGATGTCGAGTTATTGGTGTCGAGTATTTTCAGACGAAAAGATGAAGAGCAAGTGAATGTTCTTCTGAAGGACCAAGGTGTAGACGTAATCACAAATAGCACAGCTGTACTGTTTGCAGTATTCACTAGATATTATCACAAGGTTAGTTATCAAAGGCTCATGCAAGTCCAAAAATGATTCATTGTTTGAGAATTGGGATATCGTTGGAGCCACCATCATATTTCTTATAATATGCAGAAACTGGCTCCCCATCCTATTCTCCAATTGCAATAGAGTTCACGGCATTGCACCAACGACCTCAAAAATGGATGCTATCTCAAACGTGAGTCAATCAAAACGTTACATTTTTATAGTTTCTTGGCTGCCTTACTGTTTCGCACTGCGCCCATCATCTTTTTCGTTTTATGAAATCAGTGTAGATTGATTTACCTTTTATGTTACAAAGTTTTACCTGTTATCAATGTATACAACTGAAACTACAACTTACAGGTCGTGAATGGACTGCAAGGGATCGAAAAAGTTCGAAAGCTTGTTGCTTATCATCGAGGTCAAGCTGTTATCGTCGAAGTGAGTCGAGTTTATTGTGATACTCCTGGAAGAGAGCAAAGTAAAAGATGAATCTTGAATTGGATATTTTATCATGTATATTAACGCTTGTTATGTCGACACCATTTCTACCAGCCCCTTAAATAGTGCATCAGCCAACATCCTTACAGCAACAAAACGGTGGTGACAAATTTAGAGAGTTGTAAAATTCGGAAAAGTTGGATGCCATCTTTGTAAGCGTATCCTTCTCGCTTCTCTCGTTTGAAATTTTCCACTTTACGTCAGTTATGCCACATAGACGTTGCAAACCAAAATTTATTCGGTCCTATCGAGAAAATTTTCCGCGAACTAACACCAAGTTGAGCAGAAACTCGTGAATAGTCTATATCACTTTGATGCACTCCATTATTTCTGGCAGCAGCTAAATGAATCGGTTGATTCGAAAGGCTTGATATAGTTGCAAGTCATTGCATATTGTTTAACCCACATTCCAACATTTTTTGAATTCCTGCAAAATGTTACTTCATCAGTTGATAGTTCTAATCGTTGGCACTATGACGTATAGATGAATTTCTACTCATTACATCTTGCAGGACTAATTTCGCAAAACTAGCGTCAATTTTGAAGATGCAGAAAAGCTTGTTCCTTTCAGAGTTCGAGGAAAAGTCCTTGCTCTAAGTACTACTCTACTGCTAGTCCGAAATGTCTAGGTGAAAACCCTTTTCTGCAAAGTTATATGTCCCTAAAACATGTTTAAAACGAACAAGTCTTGGTAAAAGTAATTATGGTTATTCTAAACTTGTCACCCAACAACCAAACACTTCAGTCCGAAGATTGTTATACAGCACACTTTCAGCTGTACGCTCAAGTCAACGAGTCCCTTCTGGCCACGCTTGAAGCTGAACGTTTGAATGCTGCACAAGCTTTGGAAGAAATTGAGTTCGTGGGCACTGCGTATGTCTTTTACGATATAGGAGAGGTAAATATCAAACTTCGCATATCCTTTACTTAGGAGGTATCATGAAGTGGGACCTTCTGTGAAACACTCAAGTATTCCCAATTATTGGCTAACAACAGTGCAATTGAGTAATGGTCTTATTACTTTCGTAAATCTAAATTATTTGAGATTGCTACCACAAACGTTTCGAAGACGGATCCGGCATTACCAGGGAGTCCCGACGAAAGCGAAATCAGTGAAGTAAAGGATGAAGACACTCTTCTTCGTACAGTCTAGAGCAATTCAAGGATCTCAGTTGCACATAAGGGTGAAGGGATTCGCATACATCCATGTATAGTTTATTCGTCACAAGCGAGATGTGTACATAATAAAATGAGGTGGACTAGTGAAAACAACGACTAACACTGACAATACAATCGTCATTCACCTTAACGTTCAGGAATTGAATGTGAAAGGGTAAGGGAAGGAGGAGACGGGGAGCAATAATACGAGTGTCATTTGATGACGGACGAGGATAATATGATGCCAGTCAGTGTATATTACGGTGGTCTTCGACCAAATAGAAAGCAATGGCAATTATGCACCCTATATGAGGCATGTACAATCAAATTTCGTTGATTAAACCGATATATGGCTTAGAAACTAACAATATGCATCAAATTATGCAATAATTAACATAGTAGACCGACAGGAAAGAAAGGAGAGCTACTGACTTATTAAGTGATTTGAGATGGGAAAGCTGCAGTCGCACCGCATGTTGCAGAGTGAAATATTTGTAACAACCAATGGAAGGGTGGATTACGGTAAGTCTCATCAAGGGCTCAACGGTTTGAGGTAAATGGCTGATTCACACTGGCAGAGTACGGTGGCGGTGGCGTTCCGTGACGGATCGGATCCCATCCGGAGCCCATCCGCAACGGCTCGCTTCGTCGTCTTCGCTGTGCCGCGCCCAATAGCTGCCCGACTGGCATTTGAGAAGATGAAGACATATGCAGCTCTCTTGGCTCTAGCGATCTCAAGGCATATTGTTGCTTTATTATAAAAAAAATTGCCGGAAAATTTAAGAAATCACCTCCGAACTTGTTCAACTCGATCCCTTGAAATTACAGCCCCTTCGTACTTCATATACCTCACATCTTCTGTTGCTATAGCAGGCACCAACTCAGTGATTTCTCTAAACGAGTTTCATGTGCAGGGACCATATAGAGATTTCAACAAAGTGCTGGGTATACCTGTGACATCCAAAGATGTTATAAGCTCTTTCTGTGTAATCCACGTAAGAGTCGGCGATACCCTGAAAGAGAGATGCTATCTTGGCATACGTTTTAAGATTGGACTGACACACCTTCATTCCATGTCGAAAACGATACATTTTTACGACTTCACATTCAGCCCTAGTGTCTGCAAGTTGACGTTCGGCTTTCTCTCGCTGTTGAATTATCTGCAACAGCTAAAACAGGGCTACTTTTTTGGTGGTTTGGTTTTATGTCTCTCGCCTTTCAGTCATACGAAATAGTTTGTACCCGCTTCTTTGTGTGATTTTACAACTTTGTTCAACTTCAACGAGCAATCATTGGAAATAAATGTGAATACGGTATAAGGCAGGCCTTTTTTTCGATCTAAGATACTCAATAACGAGACCAACTTGTTTTCAAAAAGAATCGCCTTTGGCTTTGTATAAAAATCTCAATTCAGAGAAAACCCCTCCTCTACTGATATACAGGCGCTATCACAAGTCTTTCCCAACAAGTAGAGTTTACCTCTCGTAGATGATGTCGTATGACCAGGGTGTCACCAGGTTTGCTTCTCGAAAAAAATCCGGGATGTTGAAGTCTGTGCAGCTCCTTTTCCATTCTTTTCTCCTTCTCTAGCAATGTGTTTAGATGTTTTTCAGCATCCCGCACTTCCACTTCGGCTTCTTTCATTTTTCGCAAGTGCTAAAATGATCCGAAGACTAGTTCGAAATAGTAGAGCATTAAGTAAGTAAGAAATAGAAAGCTCCCACAATTTACGCATTATGCAAAGTTCTCACTCGAAAAAGGTCGTGTTATTTGCAGGGTGAAACTGAGTCACGTTTGTGTCTTATCCAGAAATAAATACATCGACGAGGGTCAGCATTTAACGAGTCGCAAGACAAGGAAGAAAGAAAACATGAAAAGCCTTTCTATTTTTTGATTGAAACTGTCTCACGAATCTAGGTAATTACTCGTGGAAGAATTAATCTGCTCGCTTATAGGTTGGCCCGAAAGTTCTTTCGCACCAGATTCAAAAATTCATAACTTGTTGAATTCTCAACGAATCTAAAAGTTCTAGATTTTATATAAGAGAGGAACTTATGCTCTTTGCAACTGTACTTGAACTGTTCGTTAATGTGACAGATGAAGGAGACAGAAGCTCAAAACCAAAATTACTCAAAATCTGAATTTTTCGTGTAGGGTCATAAAAAATCGGAAACTTGCAACGAAAATCGGAGCAGTCAGTAATATAGGTTCTTTCATAAGCTCTTTCTAACAGTGCAAAGTTTGTGCTGATTAAGCGTCTCCATGAAAAGTTATGATTTTCCTGAAAAATGCCAAAATAAATCAAATTCGCCCTTTTGTATTGCTTGCTCGAAAATCATAACTTTTCATAGAGACGCTCAATCAGCACAAACTTTGCACTGTTAGAAAGAGCTTGTGAAAGAACCTACAATACTGACTCCTCCGATTTTCGTTGCAAGTTTCCGATTTTTTATGACCCTACACGAAAAATTCAGATTTTGAGTAATTTTGGTTTTGAGCTTCTATCTCCTTCATTTGTACACATTAGCGAACACTTCAAGCAAAGTTGCAAAGCGCATGAGTTCCTCTCTTGTGCAAAATTTTGTTCCTACAAATTCGTTAAGAATTTAAAGAGTTATGAATTTTTGAAAATGGTGCGAAAGAACTTTCGGGCCAACCTAATATTAACTCAAATGCAAATTTGATCTGCATCAAATTTTGGAAAATTCTACGAAATTTTTGATGCCTAATTTTTGCTGATTCGACTCAGCTTTTTCATGCTTGGTTTACACAGAAAAATTGCCTTACATGCACATAAGTAGCGACTTCTTCAGCCAAGACTGTTTGCTGATCGGCGTGCAGATGCATCAGATCCCTTATTCTTCCGGCAATATCGTCTATCGCGGCATTCCCACCATCATGAGCCCATTGATAGAACCGGTCAGCTCCACGACGTTGAATAGCGGCATTTTTCTGGGTTAACTTCCTTAAATCTGCAGAATATATTACGACCTCCTGCATGAGACCGTAGGAATTAGCCCATACGTAGCAATTTCAAAATCGTCCAGAGCTTCGTCCAAAGTTGAACCCGCGTTTTTGAAAATATCACGAAGCTTACTCGTAGACGCAGTTCGTCGATCCTCTACTGTAGTGCCCTCTGCAAATGCAGACTTTACAGAATACGATTTTGACTTATGCAAATTCTTATCCATTACCTGACGCTTGAGGAACACCCGCGGATCTTCGTCGCAGCATCCTACGTCGCTAGCGAAACTTACCTAGGAAATGCACGGTTTTGGATGGGCCAACTCATAGTGAACAAAAAATCTCGTAGAAATAAAGAGCATAAATTTACACATTATGATGGCGAAGAGACTTCCTAGAAGGCGATCTGAGATGTGTTTTAATTCAGTCGTAAGGATCATCGTGACAATGAATGAGACTATAGCGAGAAATAATTCATTAGATAGTGCTGAACAAGAACAAGAGCGAAAGCAATCAGAATGCCATATGCTTGAAGGGATTAATTGAACGCCTCCGATGCAATATGTATTCAATCCTTATGGATGGTTTAGAAGAGATGCAGGAGGCTATTGTCAAACTTCAGACAACGATGATTTGAGCGCTTAATGAGAATAAAATTGTTTAGTGTTTCAAGACATCCCTTAACTTAGCTAGAGAAAAATTTGCTTACTTTCGCATTTTCAACATAAATAAGTGGACTCGTGCACGGATATACATCAAATCAGTTAGACAAGTTGAAATAAGAACTTCCCAAAGAGTGCTTCCAGTCAAGGCAAGCACAAGTATGACCATGAGTAACATGGCCATTACGATGCGCAAGCATCAAAGTTGTGCTCGCAAGCTCTTACACAAAGGATCCCTTTGCTGAATAGGGTGGAAGCGGAACTAGCTGGAAGCCGTTCGCTAAGCATACAACGTGCGGTGGTTGTATATATAAAAGCATCAATCTTAAACATCGAAGTAGCAGGGTATAGAAATAATGGAGAGCAGGCCTACTAATTTAGACAGCGAACTCATGCAAAAAGGCCGTAAACAAAAAAAAGTCGGTGAGTCAAAGGGAAACCTCGACATCATCGCGCATATCGTGCTGGCGTCGCCAGGCTCTAACCTTGAATTTTCAATGAGAATATGCCAGAAATGCCACTGAGGAAACAGCGGGAGCGAGTCGAGCACATTATTTCACAAACGAGCATCTGTTCGACCCGCTTAGAGCGCTGGTGAACGCGATTTTGAGACGAATGTGCTTAATCGAAACTGGTCCACACGCAACACGCAATCGCTTACGGCTCCAAATGCATCCACATTCATTCAGATGTGTCTCTGCCCTCGTTAACGGCAGAAAGGATTTCTTGTAATGAGAGCAGAATAACTTTTCTAATAGACTTGAAAGCCGGGTGAGATGCTCTACTGACCATATATTGTCCGATGTTAAGGATAGATAATAATGATGTTGGTTCTAAATTACTTGCAGTAAAGAGTGGAAGAATTGGTTAGGGGAGATATTCTTGGCAAACTCTGAAGAAGATATAAACATACACAGTAAAAAGTGAAGACGGATGAGGAGGTGAGTTCATTGTATTTGTCGTTCCTCAGTTTTCTGTGGATGAATTCTGAGAAGTGGTTGAATAATGAAATTCAGATGAGTGAATAATTGGAATCATGGTTTGTTTCTTCATTTCCAACGCCAAGCTCTCATCAAAAACAGATCTCAAAATCACAAGTCAAGAAGTTGAACAACAAGGTCTGCTACTGTGAGAATAAATACGTCGATGAATGGCTCCAGATTACACCAAGACAGAAACACTTGATCAAGTAAGCTCAGATGAGATCAGCTCAGCACCAGTAGCAATTTCCAACAAATCAAAAAGCATTGGTCAGTAGCGCTACTGCTGCTTACAGCAAACACAACTATGTTTGCTCAGAAGTCAATAAACCAAGAGATAAAGCAGATGGAACGCACTGGGTCGAATATTATGCAAAGCTGACAGGGAACAATAATGGAGGCACATGTGAGGTAGATAGGTTAAAAAGTGCTATAAATAATAAGAAATGGGAACAACATTTGAGAAGAGTTTCAAATCATGTAGCCATTCAAATGTAGACGGAAACATTTGCACTGCAAGGATAATTTGGTGTGTCAAACATCTTTGACGTGAACCAATTTAGGATAACTGGAAAAGCAAGATTAGCGAGTTAGAGACAAACATGGATCATAGCAAGTGGATCGATTTTGGGTCATCTCAGTGATCTGAATCCTGGGAGGGGAGGAGATGCCAATCAGACTACTCTTAACCTCAACCCTCTCAAAACGCAAACTCCCACATGACGTCATCCACGTATCGTGGGAATGGGTGCAGTTTTCCAAAATTCTGTAGGTCATTAGCTGAACAATGAGCGGACGCGTCCTCGGTATCGATCTGAGGATGTTGGTTGGAGTCGGATGGAGGTGGTGGAGGTCGTAGAGACTGGCAACGCAGATGTGCGTGGGTGGTCCAGACGCAATCGATTAATGACCCCGCTGGAGGTCAGCTGGCTTTCGGACAAAGCGATCCGTGCTGTAGATAGCGTGATAGCCACAATGAAGTTGGTCAGTGAAGAGTTCGGAGCTGTGGCGAGGTCATTTGTACGATGCGGTTGCTAGTGTCAGCGAACCAGGAATGAACGACAGTTTTGAGAATCGCGGAGCGGAATCATATCACGGCATAAAAGTGACGCAGAAAGATTTGCTTTTATTTTTTACTTAATGTTGATATGTGGGAGTAGGCACTACTCCCGCCGTGCTTTCAATTCTCATGAAGCTTTTGGGTGGAGATTTGGAACAGGAAAACACTCTCTGAATCTAATAGATTTGCGAATCCACGTATGTATGGCACTACAAAACGATTACGAATTTATAGTTTCTCATCATGCGCGCGCTGCATGCAAAAAATGTTGAGGTAAACAATGCGGCACGGCTTGGCGCGAAATGTTGCCATTAACATATACAAAGCAATAGACAAGGCTAATAGTGCAATTGATTTATATTTTTGGCGAAGAGGCGCCCTCTTTGCCGGCAAAACTATAAATTTGGACGAGAACTGTTGAGCGAACCCAGTCAGAGGTCGGTTGTATCCAGAGGTCGAATGTATCAATTTTCTACCAACTTCGCCACATAAGACTGGCATCAGATAGGAGGGATTAGCTGCAAACGTTGAGGGCAATGCAAAGTCTAATCAGAGCTATCTTTACAATCATTTCACTCGTCCTCATCCAAGAATAAATGAATAAACTAGTCGTCTTTTATGAGAATTTGGTGTTAGACTTCGAATATTTTCTAGATCATCAATAAAGTGCAGGGCAAGTAATAGATACAGAATATTTTCATTGAAGTCAAAAAAAAAACTGGCAATTAGTATATGTGCAGAGGCACTTCACTTCTCGAGCAAAATATTCAAGCTGTTGCATCAGCATCTGGACTGTAGCGAAACGGCGATGAAAAAGCGTGAAAGCGTTCTTGATAATAAAAATGTCGAAAGTAGCTCCTCTAGAGCGAACATGAGGAAATTCTAACATCTGCCGTTGAAAGAAATCCTTGTCACTCATTGCGCATAACAATCATGTGTGAAGTACTGGTTCTGACTCCATGACTTTCAAGCAATGTAATCGCTTAGATTATGCGAATCACGGATATAGCAGATGCATCCGGATCTCCTACCGTGTCTCAGTGATCACCTTCACCAAACACTGCAAAGCGTGAGCAATTCCGGATAACCGCTATCCTCTCAAAATTTAGTATGATACCCTATTTGGTAAAATCGGACATAAGGCCGCATGCGAAATAAATGCAGGGTGTCCCAAAAGTATGTATACACTGTTTGATCGTTAATATCTCTCTTCCCTAGTAGTCTTTTGCCCACCTTCAAGCACCATTTTGTAGAACTGGCTTCAACTTAGTTTCATAGTATAGAGGAATCTGATCGTTCTTCATCACAGTAGGATTACGGTAGAAACTTCAGGAAGGGTTTTGAGCCATTGAGGGCCCTATTTCGCCTCAGAAAGCAAACCAAACAACCTGAAAACTCTTACATTAGCTAATCAGAGTAGCTAAAACCAAGTATGAGCTTCGCATTTTACCGCAACGCTTCCTTCATAATTTAATCTAGGTGAACCGCGATAATTGTCTTTACAATGCTTTCTAAAATGGTGATCACATCATCTGAAAAGGTTTACAGACTCCTGAAAAATTGATTAATGCAACCAGTGCGTAAAGTATCTGATACACCACTTTTCGGACTTTTTGAAACCTCCTTTGAAACACGACGAATCCACAATGACGTTGTATGCCAAAAGTTTCTACCGTAATGCTACAGTAATGCAAAGCGGTCCATGGCTCGCTCTTTACTGTAAATCTAACCTAAAGCCAGCTCTACAAAATGGTTTCTGAAGTTAGGCAAAAGACTTCTTGGTAAGAGAGATATTAACGATCAAACAGTGTATTCATACTTTTGGGACACCCTGTATAAGTTAAGGTTGTGCTGCATAGCTTCACGAGAGTAAGCTACCTTATGCTTTCAACGTTAGTGCCATTAACAAACATTCTTTGTTCATACGTTGATTTGACACTTCGAGGAGATGGAATTTGAGTGAAAACTACGCTTGGAACTGACAAGATGACAGCTCTAAATTTTGTTTTTCCAGCTGACTGTGACCATGTAAAATTTAATAACCATGATCATACAAATTATGAGGAATTCAAAACTTACTTCGTGACGGCATTTTTTCTGACAGTTTGCCTGGCTTGACTTGTGCTGATGAGAGGGATTCATGCTATTTCTATAATAGTAGCTCTTGAATCAAATGATCATGAATTGCATATCATGCAGATCCAAACTGTCAAAAAAGTCACTCAGCCATTACAGCTGAATCGCAAAATACACAGTTCAAAAACGGTCACCGGCAGTGGCATACTTTTTGCAACTTACTCCGAGCACGAAAAGCTTGTCCTGATCAAGCGTTGAACTTACGACTTTCGAGAAATTTAGGAATCAAATTCTTTACTTTGCTATGTTTATGTAATGCATAACATTCCTCGAGATGTTCAGATACAGGTCAGCACGGAACTTTTCAAGTTGGGCAAAGTAGGTTGCCGAAGTCCTTATTGCTGAGAAGCTGAATTCTACACATTCCAGTATTTCTTGTGGACCAACTCCAAAACAGGACTCGCATTTTTTTCTGGTATGAAGGCGCTTTGTATGCCAAAATGTTTTCACTTTGAAAGCCACGGGTAGGAGCATGATTTTCTCTCAGAGCAGACGATTTATTGGAACTATGGTCATAGTCTTAAAAATATTGTCCGACTACAAAACTATTTCAGCTCGCACACTCGATACACATGATTTCACTTTTTGACACATCGGGTGCGAATCTGAGCGAAAAAGAAGACAGAATAAAGAAGACCACATAATTGCTGGCCACCTGTTGACAGAAACGATAGTCTTAAGAGGGATAAGGACAACATCGTCGCAGAAGACTGTGCTAAAGGTCACATATGCACATGTGGGAATCAGGGGGAAGGGGGATAATAACTGCTCTAGAATTACTTCTCGAAGAGTAAATGGCAAAACTAGCTGGCCCTGAAGGTCTATTTTTGAGCAAGAGCCAACAGAGGATACAGGGAGTTGAAATCTTTAAAGCAGAGAGCGACATAACTAGAAAACGAAGTAGAACACCTCAACAGAAGTTTTCAACAGAGTCTTGAGTGTCCTTTGACATTGCGGTAACACACTATGTCCACGTGCTGCTACTTGCCGAGTTAGTACTTCCCTGGTTTTCACTCTTACTCTTCAGACGTCCCGAAGTTGGACTCCGGTCGACACCCTATCACCAATGGCGAGCCATCAAAATTATGCTGAAATGGCAATCTGCGGGAAGAAACAAAGAACATGACGGAAGTTTTTCGTGCTAGCACGTGAAGTGGCGACTGTTCGCCTCGAAGCACTGTTGATTACCCTGATCAGCTGAAGTTACATGACTTCACGTCCTTCCCCTCCCTTTCCGAAGCCTTTGGCTTTGCCAAGGACGGTGAGCTACGTAGGCAAAAAAGTAGACAACAAAGGTCATTAGTGAAAGCTGTAGGCGTCAGTTACGGACTGGTCATATCAACGAAACAAACTCCTGATAAAAGCGCCTGAGAATTTGGTCTAACGAAAGAGTAAGCTTGGCAAGCAAGGCTTTAAAACTCTTTTCCTCACCAGTCTTCCCCACAGCGTCTCCATGTGCTGATGTCTAACTCTCTCTACTATGTTCTAACTTGTTCGTAGATGCATGATCAATTCTTCGACTAGATAAGATTTTAACCATCTGTATGGCAAAGGAATCGTACTGCTCTCACTTGCATTCATCCTGCTCATGAGTATTTCTTCTGGTTTTGATCTACCTTTCCTAACGTGTATGGTTAACGAAGTCAGATTTTGAAGTCTTTCTGCAATGTCAATGAGTCCCCTACTCATGCGGATGAATCTAGCAAGGAATAGTAGCCCAGATACCTGCATGTTATAACGTGATTATCACAAACAATAAGAATGTCCATAAAAAAGCAAAAGCACAGCGAATCGAGCCATTTATAAAGAGATTTCTATTTAATATGAGGTATAGAATCAATTTTTTTCGCGGAAAAAATTCCTACTATTCATCGCGAGAAACTAGAAGAGAACCACCGATATATTTGGGGTCTCGCACATGACGTACAGAGACATCTCCAGCAGAAGTCGCTATTTGATTGCTGCTATTAGTGTGGTTTTATGTCTGCAGTAAATCACGATGTTCTGAAATTGAATATTCCTCAAGGTAAAATTTTTTCAGGTAATCATTGAACGACATGGATCTCCCGACAGAAATAATAGTAGAGATACTCAAAAATGTTGCATATTCTGATATAAAAACCTGCCAGTACGTTAATAGATATGTGAGTGTTCCAAAGCGAAATTAGATCCACAAATACACGGATATTTTCAGCTCAATCGCCTTATCAGTGAAAATTCAAAGTATTTACCAAGAAGAAGGGTTGCAGTGAGGATCTTTCAGAAAAGTGGTGTCACCTTTGTATCCAATACAACTCGACACTTTAAGGAAGAGGTAAACATTTATATAGAGGGCAACAAAAATTTCAAGTTCAAGCAACTAAAACTTAAAGGCACAGTCACCCAAAATTTCGACCTCTATGTTTTTGCCGTTCTAGGGCATTCTCATACCCCTGATTCCGAATATCAGGTCGAAAATTCGCGAAAACCACGAAAACCCCCGTTTTCAGAACCCTCAGAGCGATTTCTTCGATATGGTGATTGCTTGGGCGCGCACGGATAGGCGGGACGAACGTCACGCCCTCCTAAAGGGGAGGAGCCAACGTGACGAATCCATCCGAGCGATTTCCGAAGCAATTTTCCCGCTGGCAGAAGCAACTTCTGCCAGCGCGATTTGCATAAGTTACAGTTGGGGGCCCCACTACTGTTAGGCATCAAAATCTCATCGACCCCATTTTGGGTGGACGGTGCCTTTAACGGGCGCTTTTTCGTCACGCATACCTGACTTTATTGGTAAAGGACAGAGCGTTTGTTGTGGATGTACGTACAAGTCTCTAAAAAAAACTGTGATCAACACATGAGTGATTTCTCGAAATTTGGGTTTTCTGAGGTTTCGAACATGGTTTCATCCTAGTCAAGTGTTAGAAAACAAAAATGTTTCCACTTATGTACGGCATCGAAAAGCGTGCGCAAATAGCGCATGTCAGAGCTTGTTATCCTAACTTGAAGTAATATTACCGCACCATAGTAAATAGTATAAACTCACGGTACTTATTTTAACGTGTTTAATGACTAGTTCAAGTTTCTCAACTCTTTCCAACTCTTCTATTTTATTATTGATAATGTTTGATGTTTTGCGATAAGTGTTATTCAGGAAATTAGTGTATCCTTACCATCGTCATTTCATATGACCAACTCGTCCTGCCACAAAATGTTTCTTATCAAGAAGTGAAAGCTCTCGCTTACAGTTATATGGGTGCAGTGATCATGCTACCGACAGATAACGGTGTTTTTGCAACGAAAGCAAACTTGCTGCTCAGCAGATATCATCTTACAAGGGTATTTAGGAATTTATTCACTTCAAAGCCAAGGACTGGAGCAGAGTGGCTGTGGATAGTTTGGTGCTGGAGAATATTGGAATGGAAAGTTGTGAGACGCAGTGGGTACTGCAAAAGCTTCTCACTTGTCTGAAGATGTCAAGGCAGTTGCGAATTAGGTTGGTTGGCCTGAAGAGAAGAATTAGATATTCTAAAAAGCAAATGGTCAAGAATTTCAAATACAGCTGCAAAAGAGGATCTCTTTATATACAATGCAGATCTTTTCACAGTGATTTAGCAAATACTGGGTTGTCCTATAAGCAAGGCCCGGCACGAGATGGCAAACGCAGTTGTAAGTAAGAATGTCTGATGTGGAAACTATTCGCTAAATCAAGTTGGAAGCGTAGGAGTTTTTTGGACGAAAAATTTGATTTTTTCCAATTTTTGGGCAGTAGTCCTTTTTAGATTTCGGATTCAAACTTTGTGTGGATCACACTTGATGTAAATTTTCAAACGTCATCTGATTGCTTTGCTCTTCACAATTTCTTCAAGCATTTAGGCAGGATAAAATTAAGAGTGCTAAGCGAAAAACGCTAAAAATCGATAAATCAATAGCGCTCATTGACGATTTTCGGTGAAAGCCTAGCGATACTCACTCCGCCCCGAAGTTCATACATTTGAAGTTTTTTTTGGTAGTGATCACAATTCCTTAAATGAAGAAATGGCCTATGACAGTAAAGAATCAATTATGAAAATTAAGAATTGGTAGGCTTGACAAAATATCTTCAAAGGTTCCTCGCCGAACTAAAAAGTAATTGAAGTTCAGATTTCTAAAACTGGACTGTGTAGAGATTAGCGACAGCAGCCACCAACAACTGTCTGAATTTTTCCGATTCGTGCTGCCCTACTGTGAGGTTTGTGTTTCACGGATCGAAAAAAAAACTTTTAAAATAAAATCTTCAAGGAGATCCAGATGGTTCGCTGCGTACTGCCAACAGCCCCAACGCCCGCTCAGATAACTAGTTGTAAAGGTATCTCCATGTTTCACTTTTATGCAACGAATGATCTCTATCATCAAGCATTGAACCACTACCGATTGCTCGACAGTAGAAGCGCTCCAATGAATGGAACAAATGACGCTGTGTTGGAAATATACACTCATGATGTTTGTAGCAACTCCGGCAAGAAGTCGTTTCATGCTGAGATGAGCTGTGCGACACCTTCAAAAGTTTGCGATTTCATACAGGTATTCAATTAAAAAGCTTTGAGAAAAGAAAATCGAGACCGTTTAATTAGGTCCATTTGAGGATTTTGTAAATATGAAGAAGAATTAGTAAAGTTTGTCTACTGTATCGCGGTTAGTTGTCGCAGTTAGCGGTTGCCACACATCAAAATAAGTTAGGCGGATTTTGTGTAAAGTGGTTCTACAGGATGGGGCAAAAGTCTGGGAGCCTAGAACTTTTGCAGGAAAAATCAGAAGGGAAGTACCTAGAAACGAAAAATTTAGTGCACACACGATTTGAGCCCTTACAAACACAGAGCAGTTCTTGAATTTTATTGTCTCTTCTGGCTTCGGAACAGCCCTTCGAAACCTTGGCGAGTCCGCTAGTGATAGCACGCAAGCAGGCGAGATGAAGTTCGTCCTACACTTTCACGATAATTGCTTCTTTCACTAGACAAATGTGCAGTTAGAGCAAGTTTTTGGCTACAACATATTACGAAGAACTTTCTTTGCAGAATTTAGGAAAAAAATTTAGGAATTTCAAGTGAAGGTAAGTGTTCTCGCACACTGGAGTATTTGGACGCGTTTGCGCGAAAGGGAGCAAAAAATGTTTAATCTAAGAAGTATTGAAATCGCTTAAACAATCGAATTCAAATGAATGCTATATAGAAGACTGAATGATAGATTATAGCCTAAAATTCAGTACCTGCTGCTCTTCCATAGCTTTCAAATTTATTTCAAAGAAAAATGGCCACTGGTACGCAGGTAATATTCGCAAATTTTCGTTTTACTTTTTCGAAAGAATAGCTTTTGGCAAACGCAACTGCCACGATGTGATAGAGTAAATCTTACTCTACATTATATGCATCAAAGTGTTGTAGAATATTGCCAGTATCTTTAGCTACGAAATAAATTGTGAATACTGAGAATTTTGATCTTCTAGCCCTGCAGAAGCATTTGTTTGATAAATGCAATTCTTACAAAAACATATGGCAAGCATCTTTAGCTGGGTAAAGTGCGATTTGTAGAGGAGATCGCAGCATTATGTGGCACAAATTCGGAATCAAAATCATGGGTAGTTTCGTGGTTTACACCACTGTAAAATTGGCTCCCAGACTTTTGCCCCACCATGTAATTTGCTGTTATAGAAGATTCAAGCTCAAAAGAGAATATTTCATGAATTCTCCTGTTTTTTCCTTTTTTTTCTCTTGGAGAAAAACTTATGGAAAAACATGACATTGTAGGCCAATAATCACAATATCTATTGCTTCGCTCAAATTTCTGTGTAGGTCCGTCTTCGAATATGTCTTTAAAACGATGATCGCTTGGTAGAAAAATCTCCCTCTTTTTTCCTTTTGCAGCTGTTAGCCGATAATAGCTCTCCGTTACAGTCGAGTAGATTTCCTGCTTAATGTAGTGTCCCTGCAGACGCGACAACGCTTATGCGTAACAAATGCCATTGCGATTTGCCGAGTGATTGTTTTCCATTGTTTTCTTTCTTTATTCTTTGCTTTTTAGGTAAGTCTTTGCTGATAAAGGAGAAAAGGTAAGTTAGAGATTAGTTTCTGTTTTTTGAGCAGTTATGATATCGCTTAGTCCCGAGTATCTACCTATCTCTCTATCTGGAAGGTCGTCGTGTCAGTTTCACGTGTATTTTTCGTCATTTGCTTTTCTTTCGTCATTAATTGCCTCTCTACGTCTCATGGTATTTTCTTTGAATGCTAGTAGACTTGCGCTGCAGCAATTTCGGCACTTGTTCAAAAGGAAGTAGGTTCTAATCGAGTAGTTCGTAGGTATGTCAAAGGTGATAGTCCAAACGTAAAAGCCTACTAACCTTTAAAGAAATGCTTTACAAGAGGAAAAAGGGGTAAAGTTACAAGAAAACACACGTGCAACTGACACGACGACCTTCCTCGAAGATACTCGGGAGTAAGCGAGACATACCTACTTGGAAAACAAGAAATACTCCCTGGCTTACCTTTTTTTCTCCTTTATCGGCAACGAATTACCCAAAAAGCAAAGAATAAGCAGAAAACCAGTTAAAAAACACAGGAAAGAACTCGCAATGGCAATTTCCGACGCACAAGCGTTGTCGCGTCTGCAGGGGCACTATATTAAGCAAAAAATCTACTCGACTGTACCTAGTGCTTTCTTTCCTGTTGGCATTACTGAGTGTTGTTAATACTACTACTGGCTCTTTCTGATTTTTTTCCTTCCTACAAATGTATAGTATCTTTCTTGGAATGGAGTGAGGCAGTTTGCTTTCATCAATTGTGGAGGACCCACTTATGTATAAGCATTGGCTACTATTTGTCTCACGAAGATTTTTCAGAATAATATGAAAAATGTGCATAGTGCTTACACGACGGTAATTTCAAAATTTTAGGATCCAAATAACTAATAAAGCTATACTTTTCTACAGTAGCTGCATGCTGTTTATGGTTAGGCTTGGTTGAGCTCGACAAAGTAGGGGATCCGAAGAGAGGACCTAACAGATCTTTCGACAAAAAAATTCACATGAATTCTCTATGCAATGAATGGCAATTTTCTTCAATATGAAATCTTACCAGCATGTGTTTGAGCTGGCGGATCCTCTTTTTGACCTTGTAGAAATTCTGCTATTCAAAGCTTTGTTTTCAACTACAGGCATGGACATCATCCGCTGCTGTTCCCTATTTCAACATCACTCTTAGCGAATGTGATGAAGCTTGGCGTTCATCGTTCAGCGAGGAATGTCGTCGGAGAAACATTTCCAATGCATGCATGGAATTTGCTTCTACCGTTCTCAAAACAGCTCATGTGAAGGTTGTTTTTGTGAATGTAAGTCTTACCAATTCGCATTTGTTAACAACTGTCTTTCACTACTTTTATAGGATGCGCAGCTCTGTCGTATGTGGCCAGTTTTCGATGTGCCAGCTCGAAATGGACCAGAAATTTGTTACAATCGGTATTATAGGGATTTTTAGAACTAGCTTTTTGAGAATGCGTTTCGACTACTCCTTCAAAGATTGCTAGGTAGTATAGTATGTGTTGATCTTTATGTTAGGGAAAGCCTTGAACGTGTTTTTATATCACGAGTATGTGCCATTCTTGTTGTCGGGTGATTGAATGTGTTTGATAGAAAATAATTCATCATTTATTAGAGGAGAAATATAGCTTTGCTCTGGATCAAAACGCATGCGTGGAAATTTTAATGTTATCGATAATCCTTGATGCTTCAAAAGAAGGTTTTGTATATTCCAGATACCACACTGATACTATCGTTTTTTATGTTTTGTTATATAAATCACCCATAGATTTTGCGATAAATCCGCCTCCAAAAGCTTTGAATTTCTAACATCGGACTTATTTGTTTCTCAAATCTGTAAAAATTAGGACTTTCCTGTGCAAATAGGAATCTTGAAGCGCTTTTGAAAGTTGGAAAATGGACGATCACGGAACACAAAATGGCTAAGGAAGAAATTAACCACTTTAGCGATAGGGAAGTGCTTGCTGTGGTCATTAAAAAAATTAAAGAAAAAAAATTGAATTAAATCAAAGAAAATTAGGAATTAGGCCCTGGTTTTACAGTAAGAGCTCCTTAGCTTTCGAGTGATCATAGGAAGTGCAATACTGAGCATCCAAGGGATTAATACTAAATTATAAGTTTTATACCTTGAAAACTACCATCTAAGTCTTCCGCATATAAATTCGTCTAAAGATAAGCCCGTCTAAGATGAAACTGCTTTTCTTTCAAAAGAAAGTGAGAAAGATGCTTTGATAGAGATAGGTTCCCATACAGATAACCTTTGTAGTTAAGATATGCTAGATGGGGTAACAACGATGAACATTTCAGAACAATGAATTAAAAACACGGATCTATCAGAACTTTGTTTGTAGGCAATGACAGGATTACCTGTGATCTCACACTACTGATATTGCAAATTCTGTTTCTCTTGGAATAAAACGAAGTTATCAGTCAGTAGGACTTACCTGTGTGGCGGATATATTAGGTTGAACCGAAAGTTCGTTCGCACAATTTTCAAAAAATCATAATTTCTTTCTTTCACAACAGTTCTGCGCATTCCAGTTTTTATTAGAAAGCGTAAAGCATGTAGTTTCCAAAAGTCCCCTGCGGACTTTCCAACATGCTCAGATTGCAGACATAAAAATGAAAGAACGAGATCACCGAAATTCGGAAATTTTAAGCAAAAATTTTAAAAATCTAGAAACTGTGCGATAAAATCCAAAACAGTCATCATCTTAAGTTTTCTTATATTTTGTCACTAACTGAGTCAAATTTGTGCTAATCGAGCTCTTCTTTCAAAAGTCATGATTTTTTGAAAAAAGAATTCTTAGGAAATTGATTTTTTGGCATTTTTTTCAAAAAATCATGACTTTTGAAAGAAGAGCTCGACTAGCACATTTTATCGCACAGTTTCTAGATTTTTAAAATTTTTGCTTAAAATTTCCGAATTTCGGATGATCTCGTTCTTTCATTTTTATGTCTGCAATCTGAGCATGTTGGAAAGTCCTCAGAAGACTTTTGGAAACCACATGCTTTACGCTTTCTAATAAAAATTGGAATCCGCAAAACTGTTGTGAAAGAAAGAAATTATGATTTTTTGAGGGTGCGAACGAACTTTCGGTTCAACCTAATATCTGCAAGATTTTTGACAGAGCGCTTGCATTTTCTTCGTTCTTTCTTGTAAAAAAGCGGCTTATATGTTATTTTAAAGTATTCATTGATTAGTGTAACATATTAATAGGACTCGAGATCCATAGGATGACAGCAGTGGGAGAAAGGGGATTAATCGGAAATACCACTTAGGAATGACACGTAAATGTCACAGTATATATTGGGACTTTGAACGAAGTTTCTGGTATGAAAGCAGGGCTCGGCACGAGCTGGCACCAGGGAAATTTCAAAACGAAGTCCCGTTTGATATTGAAAATTTCGTACGAAGTCCCTTTTGACCTGTTTTGAAAACTAGTCATCGTTTTTATATTATGTAAAAGTATGTAGTAGTGTTTTCATGCATTTCTGATTTCATGGAACAAGTTTTCACAGCCTTCTGAGCTTTGTGGTCGAATCACATCTTGAGAAGCAGAAAAAGCCGATTTTTCGACTGCGGAGCAGACCGAGTGGTTTTCAAATTGCTATAAAACGCTGAAAAGAGAACATTATGAAACTGTTTCTTCTCCGTATGTAATCTTTTACAGTGTAGATACATTTTATGTAAAAAAGTATGAAAACTTATGTGAGCAAAGTGTCGCCAGCTCAGCTGGCACCCAGCTGGCACGGTGCCAGCTAATTCAGAAAAAAGTTGGGCACAGCTTTCATTCACATAAGTTTTCATAAATTTTTGGGCCATAGTTCCGGTCCACCAACGCGCATGCACACACCAAATTTGGTGTCATATTATTGCGTTTTGGCTGAAAACAACGCCTTTGTTTGTTGATGGACAGCTTGCCAATGGCATGCCGGTGGCATGCCGGCGGCATTTTTGCAGCAGTTCTCCGCCTCGGCCCCTGTAGAAACGATATCCCCTTTGCTTTCCGTCCTTAAAACGATATCCAGCTTGACCCGGTGCCAGCTGTGCTGAGCCCTGTATGAAAGTGGTTTGAAATAGGGTGACTAACCAACAACCGCTGCTATATTAAGCCGAGTATTACGAAGATTACACTGCTGAGAAGGGACCAGGAGTTCAAAGGGGTGATAGAAATTTTCTGATTTCTGTTAATGCAACCCATGTTGACCAAAGACCAAGAGAAGTGGGCGCGCCCTTTGACTTACAGTAATACGCAAAGGCGTTTGCTCTGTAAATTGTATAATATGAGACCTGAAACAAAAAAGAATTGTTTGATAATACTGCAAACATTTATTCAATTCACCCGTGAAAGAAATTAACGCTTCCTACATCGAATTACGGAAATGTACAATGCATATGATGGCAATGAGATCAACTTCGAATAGTATGGTCGACAAAATGTGAGCCTACCCTTCCATAGCATGAGCGACAATTACAATCTTACAGAATGCGAATCATACAGCTGTCACTAACACCGGAGAGCTAGAGAAAGCTTGATTACAAGTAGATTTTTGGCAGAATTGATATAAAAATAAACTAGTTAGGCTTCAGTAGAAAATGAACACTCTAATGTCATAATAAATTGCGATGCACATCATTTCTGACGTATGTGTAGTCATGCTGATTTATGTCCATTGGGCTACCGTACTCATTCGGTGTTCGACTAGAACGAAATCCGTCCTGTACTGTGCTCGAGTTGTCTCTGGAAAACTGTTAGTTTTTTATTTACACTGATCTTACAAGCAGAATAACTGACCCTTGCGGAATTTTTCTCGGAGTAAAAGCAGTCGAGGTTGCTGGTAACGGAATTTTTGGTGGAGACGGCGGATAGAACTGTGGGGGCTCGGGAGGTGACGCTCCTCCACCGCATTCTATGGATTCTCCTAAATCAGCTGATTACTGACTGTTGTTTTCTATTTCGAGTTCCTCCTCACCTTTATATTGTGGATGAATAGTTTTGAGACATCGGCAGCAGATGCAGAATGATATGCAGATACATCCGAGCAGGAGAACAACACCTCCTGATAGCAGCAGCACAAGGAAGCCAGAGACAGACGCAAGCGGATCAATGTCTAAATCTGAAATTGAGTTTGTCTTACAGATCTCTGGTTTTACATATCTTGACCGGCTGCTTGTGGAACTACATCAATTGGTTCAATGCAAACATGAGCTTTGCTAGGTTCTACGAAAGTAGATTGAAGCATGGACAAAAGTACGACCACCAGTTCACAATGTTTGTTCACTATGATCACAATATTGTGAGTTTAAGTCAAAATACTCTATTTCGTTTTCACACAATGTTATCTTCGCCAGCTCTGGTATACCTTCAGCGTATTGGTCAACATCTAACACCGTTAGAAATTAGCTGAATGAAATTCCAGCTCTTCTAACATTATGTTGTTTTATCCTTCTGATTAGCCGTGCACCACACACCTAGAAAAGCTTGAGAAAGACTTTTGCTTATCTAGCTGTAGAAAAGGTAACGAATGGTTCACGAAAAGCGTTGGCTGATGTACAATACATTACTCGACTATGTAGTCAAATATTATATTGTCGAAATGCAGTCATTCTACCGAATCAATTACGATTTTGGTCTACAAGAATCATTAGGGTAGTGATGAAAAATTTGGCACTGTGGCGCATCGCTATTAGAGAATTTGGGTCCACTGCGTAACCCGATTTTGGAAATCAAGAGATAGAACAAACCGAACTCAATTTGAAATCAACTCTTTCGAGAATTATGGCGGTATGGTAAGTTATAAGGAACATAAGGCGTTCTCGGAAGATACGAAGACGACTTTAGGGATAAACCTTCTGCCAAGAGCCATGCCGCAATAGTTTCTTTCTGATGGTGGCAAAGTCTCACTTTCACAGTTAGCTGCGAACTGTCTCGTATAGATGACGTCTGATTCATCGCGACAATCCGCAAAGCGATCGCAGGCCAGTTGAATTGGGATGCACTCATTTCCTCCGCACGCGAACTCCCGAGAAGGGGAGCATGGAACTGGAAAGTGAACTATGTTCTACTTTTCTTACTGCTCAGTAGGCGAACCATTGGCTGTAACTCGGAAGGCGTTCCACTGAAGCCGGAATCCTTTTGCTGGATGTTGTTGTGCGAGCAGAGGATCAGTGTGCCACCAGAGTGTGAGCGCATTCAGAGTGCTTAAGCTCAGTTCGCTAGCATTTGTTCGCTTACCGCAGAATTGGCCTAGAATGGCAAAGTTTTCTGAATTTCAATCATTTTGCGGATGTTCATAACCCACCTATTATAGGTCCTGGAGTGATGGAATCGCTGTTTTGGAAATGGGGAGAACTGGGATCAATCACGGTCTCGTGCTAAAGTGCGCAGCTTGAGTTTAGGAGCAGATCTTCCACATACGCCTACTTACATCGAAGACATGCAGTGTGTCCTTCTCGCAGTTTGAACTTTGGCCATTCACGTCAAATTCCAGAACTCTCAACCTAATGCGGTAACCGATAGGGGCTATGAGCATCACAAAGCAATTCCTGCTCGCATTGTAGGGAACTCTGCCGTAGAGCGAATGCGAGTAGATTACGCCAGAGAGACCTGAAATGATTATTTAACGAATTTAGCCTTCCATTATACAAGGTTTCACAATCAATCTTCGAATGATATTTCTAAAGAACTGGGACACCTACGCGGGCGCAAATTTATTACAGCATTACTGAGCGAGTAAGCTATATAAATACATATGTGGGACGAAGTCAGAGTCGTAGGAACGAGGTTTGCTAATCTATGCACATCATTTTCTTCTTTATTTCCGGACATAAAAAATGCAGCAGGTGCATGTAGATATGTTTGGTTTGGAGGGCATATGGGTGAGCAGTGAGAGTGTGGATTGGCAAGATTTTTTTGAACTGAAATGGGATTTTTTTCGCTTTTTTCGGAAATTTGATGCTTTTTATATCTCGGCTTGTAACTTTATGCGACATGCTTAATACGAGGTCCAAAACGCCATCTTGTAGAGCTTGCTTTGCTTCGAAAGATACTCGAATACCTTAATGATGCAAGAATGAATGTTTTTCTCGAGGAAAAGATTATGAAAAGACTTCGACAAGCCAATATTTTGTAACGTTGAAATTCGGTCTTACCGGTGATCCGACGCTCCAACCTTGTCTTGCACTGGTTCATATAATCATTGCCATCGAAGAAGCCTTCAAATGAATATTTCTTACGAGGATAGTCATTATGACTCCTTAGGAGATCTAACTCACTTATAGTTGGTTCAACCCCGACAACAGCGATAGCCCCGAATACATGACAGGTCGTAATCACTGCTAGTATGAGTGACCCATTCCACATTATCTGCAAAGGTGATAGATTTTGTATTAGATAAGATTCAACTGTCAACATTGCACTAATTTTATGATGAATGCGACAGTAATTAATTTTCAACGTGACTATTAGTGGTTTTTCACAAAGCTTAAAAGTAAGGAGCTAGCTTAATAAGGAGTAAGTGGGATGACTTCAAATTCATTTCTGAGATGTTCAGTTCGTATTATTTTGATGGAGGACAACGCAAAGTGTACTGGCATTATTTCAGTTGACATTTAAGAATATCAGCTATGAAGATTTGAGCTGCTCAGTGCTAGCAATAAGTCAGGAGAGATGGCCCCTGCGTGGAGGCATTAATCATCAAGACTTACAGTTAGTTCACAGCTGATTGAAAACAATAAAGAAGGAAACATTTCAATGTCACAAATTACGACGATTGCGTGTAGTCATAAATCGAAGCACAAGCGGTGCATGAATTTATTGGGTGCAAGCGACAAGCAAGATAAGCACTATCAACGCGAGAAAAAGGAACACGAGAGATAAAGCAGCGGAGACTGAGTTGAGAGGAGTTGTGAGAGTGAAATAGTGAACGTCACCGCCAATTCGATGATATCGTCGCCAGCTCGATTTGTGGATGTGAAGTGCTGGAGTCGCGAAAGGTTAGCACGATATCTCCACTGGCTGTGTAAATCATGCAAACAAAGCGCTTAGTGGCAGAATGTCGGTGACTGATGAGCTCAGCTCAAGCGAACGTGTGCCGCCAATCGAGAGGCGATCTGTTTTCGATTGAGAATAGACATGCGATATCGCGTTGCTCTCATAAATATTTCGAGATGATGATGATTTTCCGACAAAGCTCGTGTGATTGGAGATGATTATTGCGTGGTTTGATGAGGTGGCCCGCTGAAGGGAAAAAATTGGCGCGTTTTCTACGTAGGTGGTAGAAAAGGAATTTGGAGGTCATTTCGTCAAGTACGAAGTGTTTTGTACAGTTTCTTTCTACTAGACATGGGCGAGTCGACTCGAACGACACGGATAATTGATTCTTCGAGTTGAGAGTGCGCTAAATAGCAGTGGTCGCTTAAATCATGACATGGAAGTAGTTGATAGTCGTGAAAGCGGTCATAAGTCACGGACGCACATTGGAAACGTGTAGCGCCGCGATTTATGAGTTGTTGCAAAGGCAGTCCAGTGCCTCTCTACACTCCGCCTACACTCTCGCACTCACTCAGTGGCCCCCCGTAGAATACGGTATGCGGGGGGCGGACGGGTGAGGTCGTCGAGACTCGGGGACAGGGGACTGGGATCACCCGGGTGGGAAGACGTTCCATCTGAGTCTGAGCTGTCGTCGTCGTCCGCTTTGCGGGGTCATGCATGCAAACATTTGCATACGTGATCAAAAGGACCGCTGTTAAGTGACTGACTATTGGAGAGTTAATCTCGTACGATTCGGCTCATCTGTCACCACATGTACTCGCTGCAATAAGGGAAGAAGCGACTAAGAGCGTTGTGCGTGTGAAGAGCAGTCGAATTGGTTTCTTCATCTGAGAAGAGCAACTTCAGCAAAATCATAACTTTTACACACAGAACGACTTTACGTTGAGATTCAAGGATTTTTGTATCAGAAGGGGACTAGGGAAAACGCACACACTGAATAAGACTATTATAAGCAATTTATATAAGTTCCGTGTTTAATCCAAGCGGTCTGTTGTATCAGAACGGGACTAGGGAAAACTGTTCCACTTTCGTAGCTCTAAAGCTACTAGGACTTTCAGAATTTTACACCAAGTGACTGGCTCGCGACTAACTTTCAATACAAGTATTCTGCAATATTTATCTGATAATCATTCTAGGGTCCTTGTCTAGTGTCAGCTAACTCTTCCATCTGAGTGTGTTCAAGAACATCGCAAAACAAAACTTTTCAACAATGTGAGAGCTTGCAAAAACGCATGAAGAATTTATGACAGATTTTGTTTTTAAAAGATTGCTTCGCGCGATATGATGTGCAGAAGCCGGCATACGTTTACGTCCTGTAAAATTTTTGGCTAGTGTGAATGTGGCGATCTTTACGTGTCCTCGTCCACGAATGAGGTTGAGGTTTATGGAGTGCTGGGGGTGCGACGCTACGCCATCACTCACGAGCCTCTATCTATCGTCTTTATCAGCTCATTGTCACTCCGAATTTCGACCCGCCTCACTGCGTCGCATATGAATCACCCGACAAACAAGCGCCAGTCACATAAATAGTAGCGGCTACTACGCGATTCCTACGGTCGCCGCGATTCCACTGTTGGGCGAGCACGATCGCAGTCGGGGTAGGTAGAGCTTCTCAGCACCTCATTTTGCATGGTCCAGCGCAGCCTTTCTGGAGTTCCCCACTTCCCCCTCCCCTCTTCTTTGAGGTTGCATATGAAAATCTTAACCGCTTTCATCCTCAATGATAAGCTAGAGGTAAGAATGCAAACGAGCAGAAAATGGTCGTGTATCGCGCGCGGTAGTGCATCGAGAAGATGGATTGGCTAAGAGAGAGATGAGACATACGAAAGATGGATTGAGGCAGGGGGAAACAGACGGCAGACGAGCTCTGGAACGCAAAACCAGCCGGAAAAGATTTCTGCAAGATATGGATAATCGCTAAATTGACTTTTTGTTGCTAGCAAACTATGTAAACGTCGTTAAAGGAAGCATGCAGAAATTAGAAGAATTCTTCTGTATAAACAGTTTTGTAGTATGGACAATTTTCCCAAATGAATGTTAATTACACAGTTTACTTATTTCTTAAGTTTTTTAATGCTGAATATAACATGTTGGGAAATCCAGAGCATGAAAGTAAATTATGAACAAATGCTAAAGCACTGAAATTGTTGAGACGAGACTGGATATGGCGTTCAAAATACCTCTGTCAATAAAGATAGATAGAAGAAGCTTCTGCTTTATTTCGAGCCACTATGCATTTTCACAGTTCAAAATATCATCATGTGGAAGCACTCGTTAAGCCTTCTAATATTTCACTTTGCATCGAAGAAAAAAGCATCTTCGACATATTTTCAGCATTGTTGTGACTGGTGCAACTCAAAGAGGCATGTTTTCAGTGTCTCCTCCTATAGGCTTGTTCTTTCTGTCCAGTTTGCACCGATTATATCTTAAAACACTACAATCACTTCATTTTTCATTCACGATCAGCAAAGTGCAATAATGGGCCACTTAGCGTTTGCGGTTCTGAGATCAGGTCCATAAATCAAAATTGTGCTCGCTATGTAATAAACGGCTGTTGCGAGCGCGATGCGTCGCGAGGTCAGGAAATACGGATAACAAGCTCTCGGTACACTTCGCAAACAACTATTGGCATTACCATCACGTATTCTTGTCTGTAAGAGAGGATTTTCACATTTCTGTGGAAACATGGCGATAATTCTCTTGGCGAACTTTTTGGAATTCAAATTGCATCTCGAAAACATGAAGTTACGCAACCTTCTCGCAGACCCATCACTGACGGGTTGGCAATGATGTATTGCACGAAGAGAATCACTGGTGCAACTAGCCTGCCTGGAGGCCAAGCACTGGCGAGAAGAAAACGAAAGTTGAATGATAGACATTGAAAAAAAGCACTCAGTCGAAGCAAACGGTTACCTACAGCAGGCAAGAGATCGCTAGATGGTTGAAAAGTAAGAAGCGTTTTTGTTATTTGTTCGAGAAAGCAACAACACTCACCGAGGAGCACTAAATCACTCGAGATTCATTTGCTGGAATGCACAAAATTCCGCATAATCAAGGAACAATTGTTGCACGGAGAAAGTCTGAGCGTGTGAGTGAAAGGCTGAGACAGAGGCAACTCTTGTGGAACAGAGTGCGGCAACCATAACTCATTGCTGACGCCAGAGATATCATCGAACGTGTTCACCGAAGATGAATTGATAGGTTGATTCCGCATCGCACCACATAAATAAACAACCCTTCACGAAAACAACGGCATTTCTATGCTTTGGAGGTAGGTTCTGTTGGAAGGGGAGTGCTTTGGAGTGCAATATCCTCTTCTCAACGACATGAAGATGAATAAGATAGATAAGAAGTGAAATAAATATAGAGTAGCTGATTGAAAATAAGCTCAGTTTGTGCTTTATAATTGCAACATACAAATGAAAGCTGCAGGAAAGATTATAAAGAAAATGCTTGGCGGATCTGGTGCATTCGACATCGCGATTTTCACCCTGGGGAAATCGCAGCTCATAAACACGACTCTTCTCTAGCGCTCCTGTCAATCACCATATATGCTAACACAAAATTCTCATTCCTTTCCGACTTTCTCCCTGTCTTCCGTATTGAGGGACAGACATTGAAGTGGATACTGAAGCTTTTTCGGGGTAAGAGAACGTTGAAGTATGAATTCTTATGACGGAACGCCCCAGAGCCCAGTTCTTTATGTAAGTTCTTTAAGAATCATTTTTGTTTTGGGGGGAAGGTTATGGAGGAAATATCAGAGCATCATAGGGACAAACATGCAGCTTTTTTTTTGAGAACAAAAGAAAAGAAATTGGCGTTAGCTCTCTGTTCTTGAAAATGTTAGTTGCTTCTATTCTAAGTTAGCGCTGATTAGCACATTGCAAGAAAGCTGCACATGACTCTTCCTCCAGCATAGTTTTTGCCTAGGCAAAGTTTAATCTCTACTTCTTAAACATTTTTCTTCCCTCTTTTTTGCCTTAAGAGTTATAAGATGTTAAACTCTTTGAAAACGAGCACAAAAAATTTACTCCTTTTGTTGTAGGATGTTTACAGCTTAGCAGGCTATAAGCGTTACTAAAGAAGAGACAAGTGATGAATTCTGCGGGTGATACATCATGAGCTTCAAGTCCGCAGCCATTCCTTGTCTGTTTTTCGCAATATATCTGCCTGTCGCAAACATGACGCCATCTTTGGGATTAACTAGTCTATCGATAAATCGATTAAAACCCACCCGTATCGAAGTTCATATTTTGAAGTTTGTTGCGGTTCTCCATGTTCCTTCAAATATTTTAGACATAACTAAAGGTGCTAACAAGGAAACGATACTCGGTGGTGGCCTTTTGAGATGAAAAGTCTACCATCACACTCGTCTTGGATCGCTGTTTCCGAAACTGACTTCCGTTCCTGCTAACCGTTTCTCTATAAGAAGTTATGAAGGGTTTTCGCGTCAATCGCTCAAGAGAAATACGGTTGAGGATGCATACTTTCAAATAGAAGCTTGATTGAGGCAATGCAAAACTGAAAAACACGAGAGGACCCGAACCTAAGCCTGCACTGACTTGTGAGGCTACCGCACTATCCGCTGAACCACATCGCATCGGTACTTTTGTCCTTCCGATACTTCCTTAACGCAAAAATCCTTCATAATTTTTTCAGAAAAATGATTAGCAAAAACGAAAGCAGATTCGGAATCAGCGCTCCAAGACGGATGTAATGCTATACATCTCATCTCAAAAGGTCACGGACACCAAGCATCGTTCCCTTGTAAGCAAAAATCGCCAAAAATCGATAAATCGACAGCGCTCATTGATAATTTTTGATAAAAGCTTAGAGACATCCATTCAGCCCTGAAGTTCACATATTTGAAGTATTTAGGTAGAGATCACAATTCCTTCAAGCAGTTTAGGCCGGACATAAGTAAAAGTGCTAACAAGGTCAGAAGTCGAAGGCCAATCCAAGCAAGCTGAACTATAGGCGATTCATAGCACGCAAAGACTGCGGACGTATCGGCGTCTCCCTAATCAAGCGCTCTTTCGCTTCTCTCACCATCTGCCGTCTCTCTCATGCACAAACTGTCTCGGCCGGTCGCAACGGCGCCCAGTCTTTGCGTGTCTTGAATCGACAATACCAATGTAGCAACTAGCTGATTTCGAAACTGTATTCAATATCTGCTTAGCGCGTTTGTGGACGAAGTTGTGAGCACCTTTATTGCGAAAAAATCGCACATGTAAATCGCGAAATTGAGCATATTGTTGCACATTCGCTCATCTTTAGGCTTCAAGAGTATAAAGTAAGTTAGTTGCATTTTTGTCCCAGCATTAAGCCGAACTTGGCTCCGTACTACTATATGCCAAATTTGCGCTTTGCATGCACGATTAGCAAAATAACGGCCTTTAACGGCTCATAACTTCGCCAAGGCGCTAAGCAGATTTGGAAAACAAATTCGAAGTCAGCGTTTTATGCTGCATTTAATGGTGTGCAGCTTGTTTGGATTGACCACTTCGATTTCTGACCATTCCCTTGTAAACAAAAACGCTGAAAATCGATGAATCGATGGCGTTCAGTGATGACTTTCGGCGAAAAAGCCTAAAGACATCCCACCCAGCCCCGAAGTTCATATATTTGAAGTTTTCAGGTGATTATTGCAATTTCTTCAAGCTTTTTAGGTCGGACATAACTAAAAGTGCTAAGAAGGACTTTTTCCTTGTAACAAGAATACCCATAACCACTGTAAATCCGCGCCATCAGGCTGCCTTTCAATGAACTATGTATACTCGTTGGAACTCGAATGATTTCTTGTATTTGAGCGCTCGTAAGTCCGTCCAGACAGTCGCTTGGAGATAATAAACATATTTATGTTCAAAATCAGCATTTCAAGGAGTCCGGAGATATACAGCTTGTTTGGAATGGCTGGGTTAAGTTCTGACCATTTCCTACTAAGCAAAGACGCTATAAATTGATAAATCTATAGCGCTCAATAACGATTCTCGGTGAGAAACTTAAATACCCCACCCGCCCTGAAATACATATATTTGAAGTTTTTGGTGGTGGTCACAATTCTTTCCAGCATTTTAGGCCAGAATAACTAATAGTGCTAAGCAAAAAAAAACACCAGGGTCATCTTGTAGAGTTTGCTTCGCTTCGTCGAAATGTATCGTATTGTTGCTTACCATCAGTTTTTTTTCTTTCCAATCCAGTATCAGGTTCTCAAATTAGCCAGTATTGCGTACCATGATTTCAGCCACGCTTCACTTCCGTGTAGATCACTTTCAATTTGGTGCGAACTGAATGAACATTCAGTTAGAATTTCTTCAAATGCATCTCGAGTATTCCAATTTGGAAGCAGATGACATGTAATTATGAAGAGCAAATGTGCTTATTACGAGTTCATATACATATGTTGTCTGCTGACCCACGGAAGAATCTTTATCATTGTTATTCTTGAGCACCATAAACACCTTTTCGCAACTGCACTCCATACTAAAACAGCTAATTCATGCAATATTTATCATATAGACACACTAATCTTCAATCATCGTGACAAAGCGTAGAATCTCTTTATGTCATGACTATGTCATAACCTGCAACTTCTATGTAATGGTCATGTATAGATGTTAGGATCTAGAAGAGACGAGATATTTGTAATCAAAAACCCACCGGAAGAATAGGCTTTTTAATCGAGCGCTCAGAATTGCAGTTTTTATCTAGTCTCCCATTATATCAATTGCGAAAAACTGAGCTGTATCGCAAATTTTAGCTCAAAGGAACGCTGAAGAATATGAGATTGTTTAAGCTAAGTGCGTCACACTGTTTCGCAGAGGCTCGCACTGGCTCTACTGTCTGAATGCCCTACTCATTCTCGCATAATGCTGGAATTGAAACTCACCGCGCAATGCCGATTATCACGAATCAAATGTAAACAACTACTCATTCCGAAAAATTTTTCATGTGAAATCGGTGATTTCGCCTGGATGAAACATTTCGCAGAAGAACAAACGCAAATTTGAATAAGTTTTTGATCTTTTTATTGTGTTGGTAGTCGCCATAAGAACAATAATCACCGTGTGGTACAATTTTGTGCAAAAAGCTCGTTGAATGCTTCGGAAAAATTCAATTGACCATTTACGCAACCAATTCTTTTTAGCGTCGTTTTTGTAGAATAGTAGACTTCTAATCCTTTTTGGGCCTAAATCCATGGCTTCCACATTCACTAGCCATACACATCCACGACTCTGCAAAAAGGGGAATTTTAGAGCCAATTTTGCGGGCCAAAAGGCAAATGGATCCATTTGACGTGCAGTTTCTGAGTGATCCACTCAACGGTTATGTCCTCGTGCTTTTACTTGTTGAACTTTCATGCTATAGTATGCGCTAGGATTTGAGCTCAGGACGTTGACTGCATTACGTTCTACGAATTTCGCAACAGACAAACAGACACGCACAAAAACGTAAACATCCTTAGCCCGTTTTCACAAGTAACGATATAAAAACGTTAAGGTTAAGGCTGTTACCCCCTTTTCTGACAGTTTTTGTGTTCAGAGCTTCCAGTGGGGACCGCCATCCTTCACTTTACCATGACCAAAATTCCAGATGCAACCGAAGGTGTGGAAACAATTCTTCAACACTTTAAGGTAATCCGCATTATAGATTCATTTACAAAACTTTCTTCAACTAAACACAAATCTCAGGACTATTTGCTGCAACCGAGTTTAAGTAAAGTTGTTAACCAGGGAAAAGTACATAAACAACAATTAAAAAACATGACAGCACAAAAAATTACCAAAAATTGAGGTGTTCATAAGAGGGGCCCGCATTTGGGAGTTTTAGAGTGAAGTATGATGTTTGATGGAATTGTTACACAGATGAAGCCATCGTAAACAGAAATATCTACATATAATCAAATAAAAGCGTTCCTAGTTACTTGTGAGGGTTCAGCCAGATTGAATCCAGCGGTCGAGAGAATGCTGCAAATCTGTCTTAGAAGGCAAAGCAGCGAAGACCACGAACGACAGCGCACCCTACGCTCTCTGACTTGCTCGTTATCCGTAGTTAGTAGAAGGTGATCACGCAGAGGAGGTTACAGGATCAAGTACTGCTAGTCTATACAGGGTAAAAGGTGTCGAATACTTGCTTAGCGACATATTATGTACCAAAGCGACCGACAATTCATCTAGGTGGAGTGAGTCGCGAAGATGATATGCGTGGTGAACATGTACTTCTCCATACACTGAGTGCCACACAAATTGCATCTCCACGGGTCGCCTTCCGTGTGCAAACCCTTGTGAAGGAGATGCATGGTCTCGTCGAAAAAAGAGATCCCACAGTGAGCACAGTCCTAAAATTGGTGCATTGAGTTTGACATAACTGAATTAACAATACTTTATTCCAAATTAAACACCCAGATACTGTGAAAAAAGTTGTTTCTTTGAAAAGGCTACTTGATGGGTGCAGGCCTTTTACAGTAAGTTGTGGGGCTAGCCAGTTGCCAAGTCAGTGCTTCTATCTTCCCATATTACTCTAATGCCAACTGAACGTCCCGAAAGGTAGAGGGCTTGGTTGGCCTAAGGGTGGGACTTTGATCCGACCTGGTCCTAGCGGCCCTCATACCACTATGTCACACCCCCCCTTCTCAAAAATACAGTCGATGTTTTGATTTGTGAAAACAGCTGTGATATCCATTATAAAATTACATTTCGTGAAACAGCTATACAGAGGCATTTTGTCACCAAAGTCGAGAGGAAATAAAATCGTTTTTCTGCTACAGCTTTTTCATCTTACAAGTGTTCGACAATTCTTCTTGTGAATGTAAACAGAACAATCTTGAATTGATCTCATTTTATAAAAAAATACAGGTATAGAAAAAATAGATGCCTAGATGTTGTAGCGTCTACGTCATTCATGACTAGAGTATAACGGTCAGTAAAACCTGTCAACGGTTATAATGATCAAACAGCTGCGTTGAGAAAAAAGTCAGCTGGAAGATTTATCATTAAGTTATTAAATACGCAAGAATTTCTTCATCCTATGGGGATGCACCCTGGACTCAAATCCCAGTCATGTCCACATGCTCAGGTATTCCCTTAAGTATAGCCTTTCGTACAAGAAACTACATTTTCTGATTCAAGGTTTGTAGATTTGCGAAGTTATTGAGGGCTTAACACTTGTAGCGTTTTGATTGTAGATAAAATTCGTTCTGAAGAAAAGGTAAAGCGTATGTTGTTCTCGAAAGTGGAATGCTACACATTTGAGTACGAAAGTATCAGCGCTTCTGCATCAGGAAAAATGCAAATTTATTGTAGTTCACTAAGCTATTAGCATACGTCATTTCAAGACTTTCACCCTGGAACACGATTCGATGCGGCTTATTTGTGATGCGATCCCGCTGTAACAATGATCAAGGTCGGCGAGATTCGCAGGTTGTGAACAAGCAGCCATTGCAGCATGATCTCATACTGATACGAATCCCGATGAGCCTAAGGGAACTTAGTCCAGATTTTTTCTGGGGGTAAAAACCGCCTTTGCTAGGATCTTTCTATTTAGCTTACGAACATACCATGGTCTCTTTCACTTTCTCTATGTCAGTTGTTTGACTACCACCGCTTGTGGCCGAAGGTGAGTGGGAATCACACTGTACGGCAGGATCAGCCGCCCAAAGTCGCATCGTTTGCTCAATCGAGAACTTTGCCTGTAAAGGATACACTATCATTATCCACGATGTTTTGCTGTAATTTCCGGTAACAAACCGCCTGAGACGTCGTAGGCAGCTTAAGTGCCGGATTGAGACACATTATTAGCAGATCCTCGCTAGTCATTGGATACGAAGGTTGCTGTAAAAATTTACTTAATAGCGATGAAGTAGTGTTGTTTTGTATGCAGGTGCAAAGAGGAGAACATTTTCTTTTCAATAGCAGTACGGAATCATTCACTATTGTTTGCGGCGCTGAAGGAAATAAAGCTTCCGGACCGTGAATCCCTGTTATTTCCCGATAGTCGCACAATTGTCCGTAATGATCATAATCCATGTAACAACGAATTACGAAACTAAGCCGAATAACAGCGATATGTTTTTGGACAAATCCCATACTGTGGTATGTAGAATCGCTACTGTGCAGGAAGAGTTTTTCATGTTGCTGAGCTAGCAGACCAAAATTCGTAACCTACCAAGAACTCAAATTTCAGTCATTGCGCTAAGAATTTAGAAGAAAATGTGTTGTGCTCATGCTACCAAAAAATTTATAGGATTTTTTCCTCATGGTCAAATAAAAATAGCAATACGTAGCCAAAATTTAATAAAATTCTGTAATTGAAAAGTGCATGAACCTGAGAAACGCTCAACGGAAGGAAGCTTGTATAATTAGAACTGCTTACGCCAAGATTTCCAACTTTAGACTCGAGAAGTTCAAACCGACACTAATGGCAAAGCGCTGAGGTGAAGCTGGTTTTCTTTTCGCTTTCAATCGCGAAATCGGTCGTTTGTGGGAGAGCTAATTGAACCCAAGGATACCCAAGCAAGAGTGGTCTGCCGAGTGTAGAGGACTCGAAGAAAAAGGAGCAAGTTTTGAGTGCATGTAGAGAGAGAGTGAGAGAGACCTTATAGACTTGTACCGTTGAATGACTGTTGAGCATTAGAAAAAACTAATTCTGGTTATATATGATATCTCGCTGCGCAGACTGCCTTTTAAAGCCCTTCAACCCTATGCTTGTTTTGTGCTTTCGTAAAACAACACTCAATCGATTTGCAATGACCCAAAATAGCAAGTAAGGACCTGGTCCCAATCCGGACTGGAAGATATTTCAGACGAATCCGTTTGATGTGGGCTAAATTCCTTTTTGCATGGACCACGAAGTTGTGAAGGTGATGCTGATGTCGACAATGGCCGTCTCTTCTTCAGTGATGCGTCATTGTCTTTCTTGGGTACAGCTCCGCTGCACTGTAAAAATATCTTCAAATTTTTCGCAAATGAAACGAAATGCGTTGGACCATACCTCGCTATCATCATGTCTCGTCTGATAGTGAAGAAGAAGACGTCGCGAATTAGCAAAAAGTAAAGAGCACCGTTTGCAGGAAGCTGGAGACGAGGCGCAGACATTATGAGCTTCGTCCAAATGAGATCTATAAAAATGGAGAATTCGCTTGTTAAAGTGAAATCAATCACCATCCAATCACCTTAGCGTAGAGTGTTGGCTAAATTGGTGAGTGCAAAAGGCAACCGGGCAGTCAAAGTCTACTCCAGTCTTGATGTGCGTCATCGAATGCTCTTGCATCTGAATTTGTTCGATCTGTTTCAGAGCGACCAAGTTTGTGAAATGAAATTTGCATCCCGAATCTTCAGCGGGAGAACCGCTTGTCTTAACGAGTGGATTTCATCGTCAAGGCCTTTCTTGCGCAACCGGCGCTCTAAAGAAACAGCGACCTTGCAGGTCTGGAAAACGTAGTAATGGATATCGTGCCATCTAACAGCGATCGTCCTTGGATGTAGAAGACGCAGAGAAACGAACGAGGCGCGTAAATCGTATGCGTGGAGCGAAAAGCGCGAAAACTCAACCGCTCTGCCACTTTCACCCCCTTTCTACACTCAGACACGTACCTGATCCTTACGAAAGAACCGCTTTTTGCAGTACCGACACTCGTACGGCTTTACACCACTATGTCTCATCCGATGGCGGTGCATGTTGGCCTGAAAGTCGTTTATCTCGCGATTCATCAAGTGGTCATGGATTCTGGGTTGACGGCACCTTCTGACTGAACTGCATTTGACAAATGTCGCACTGATACATCTGTCCTTGGTGGCGTTCGTGGGCATCCTGAAACGAGAACGCTGGTTGTGCGAGAGCAGTCATATTCGGTCACTTGAGAAAAGAGTGAGAGGCGCAGTGGAAGAATGAGGAAGGGGAAAGTCAAACAATTGCTCGGATGGCGACACGGTCAAAAGTGTGTGTGTGTGTATTGACCTAAACCGAGGATGGTAGTTGACCGCAGAGCACAAACTGATATAATACCAAACTTCTACTATGCAATGTACTTCCTCAAGAAGAGCAACTTTCAGATTATGCAGTAAATACTCACCAGATGGCTCTTCATATGCTGAGACATGTATGTTGTAAAATTGCAGTGCGGACAAACATGAGCAGTTTTGCTAGTTTTTGCGCCGGCTGCCGGTGGCTCTTGAATTACAGACGTTTCTGGAAAAATGACAAACTGTCGAAAGATGCGCGCATTCAAACCCTTGGCCAAACCTTCGAAGGAGGGGTTATCGTCTGCAGCGGCTCGTGGAGAATTCTTTTCCGTAACAGAATTTGGCGAGGGCGTTGGAGAGTCACTTTCCGTCCACTCTATCGTCTAGAGAAGAACATTAGTGGAAGTCATACACAGATTCAGATATGAAAGGTTGCGATGCGAAAGGATACCAGGCATTCTAATCACTTCCTAATAAAAAGCTCCGTCGATGAGGTAATTTGCAGGGTTAGACAATCGCGGCAGGGATTGTTATGTATCCACTAATTGGCCTCTAGAGATCTGCGGCTCCGGAGCGCAGCGCCCATTTACGTAATCACAGAACTCACCTAGTTACAAATAACATAGGTGTGCGGAGTGGATAACACCTCAACAGTATGTGATTGATTGGGAAAAGATAGATACATGAGATTTCCAAAAACTCTGCTAATGTTTCACTTAGATAAGAGCGCAGTGACTGTTGACCAGAGGCGATAAAGTGAGTGAAATAGAGTGGCTAGAGTCTATTACCTGTGTATGAGATAACTCTCCGCTAGAGGACCTATTGTGCTCTTCTTCGTGGTGCTCTGAAGAAACAACGAATCATATGTTTCCAACAATTTTTTGAGAACATTTTTTATCAACTTCGTGTATCCCACGTACCAATATGTGATGTGAATATATCGATGCTAGGGGTTGTAAATCCACACTCTGTACATGCATTCAGCTCGTCCATAATATGTCACCTAACGAGCAATCATTAAATTCAGGAAGAGAGTACTAACTTGGCACGTTTAACACGGTACTATGTATGACGATTAGAGAATGTTAACGGAACTATTTTCCACAAATTGTACGATTATAGCGATCCTCGAATAACAACTGCAAATGACTATGAAAAACGGAAATTATTGAAATTAGCTCTGCTCAGCGGAGCATGGTTTTATAAAACAAACCAGACAGTGACAAAAAAACCTTGAAGCGGATATGCAGGGAGACGTATTGAGAACGGATATGTTATTCGTAAGTATAAGTAGAGTCCGTGGTTTCTGTGCAATTATACATCTAATTATATATAAATGGCGCTTGCCGGAGAGGTAAATCTAGGCTGTTGTTAAGGATGGAATCTCAAAGGATGAGCTAGAAACAGGTTGTTTCATGATGAAATAATCTGATAATGAACGCTACACGACGGAATCTGCTAATGGCAGTAACGAGAATAGGTTAACGTATGGCAGATGAGCTTGGGTAAACCAAAGTGGATGAAATAGGACCGGATGTGGTTGGTAGCTGATTGCTGGGTGCGAATGTTGACTGTCTTAGGTCCACGTTGGAGTGACCCTCTCCCATACCCGAGCCTGGCTGTTTGTCCTCCGTGAGTTTCCGCGTACGGCCAAACATCAGTACAGCACTGCTAACAGAAAAGCGGGTCCACATCCTCGTTTGGAAGATATACACCGTAACCACAAGGCCCCCGGTGGCGCGCCAGGGGAGCGGAGTCCACGCGTTACAGTGGTGGAATGCTAGCCGTAACTTACATACCGCCAACTGCGTAATTTGACGAAGAAAACAGGCGCAAGAGATGCTTAACGTAGTTATTATGCGGCAATTAGAAATTTGTTGCCCGTTCTCGCACCTCAGTCCGCTCTAGTACGTCCATTAAGTTAAACTGTACGGGTTTGAGGTTGATCGCCCCGAGGTAGACTTTGCTTCGAAAGAGTTGTTTGCCGGTACGAGGCTAGTACAAGGCCAGGTGCATTGAAAATCCGAGCACGGATTGGCGAGAAATCTGATTAAGCTGCCATGTACACACGATTATGACTTTTCCGAGCAACTAATTTCAAAACCAATCAAATCGAGGACTTTCGCTCTCCATCAAAAGGCGCTTGGAACAACGCATACAGAATTAGAAATGTCGCGTCATGAAGTGATACTATACCTCTCTTTGAAAAAATTAGGATATCGAAAATTTACGATGGAAATCATGAATGGAAAAATGGAGATGCAGTCATCAAGATGTCATGCATATCAGATCACACAGTCATAGCTCGCTGTTCGGATTAGAAAATTATTTGCACCTGCCTCAAATAACCTCTACGAACTAAGTCAAAGGAGTATTGCAGTTATCACCTGATACATGATACGCACTAATTGGCTTCAGGCAGTTAATTCATGCGAAAATTTATGCTTGATGAGTCCGGTGAATGGGACTACCGGAACGAGGAGGCTCCTCAGAGCTCTGTTCAGCCACGTTCGGGAATATTCTTCAATAAACAAAGTGTTCACGAATGAGAGGCTAGACTTAATATGTACGACTACGAAAAAAATTTGACAATGTTTGTATCCAGAATGGAAAGGGATGTAGGGAGGACTGGTACGTGGGATTGAGGATAATCTACAACCCGCGCGGGTGCCAGGATTTGTCGCTGCCAAACGGCCATTAAAGGTGAATCGGCCCAGCATTTTTACACAAAAACAGATTTCTGTGGTTTAACAAGAGCATCCGCACAAGCTGATAGGACCTGTATGGATTATGGATTGATTACCACTGTGGTACTTCCAACAGTCACGGACACAATAAGATGAGGCCCGTGTCGAAGGAACAGATACGGGTAATCTGGAGGGATCAGCGTAAGATGGAGGCTAACCATCTACGAAGCGAGGTAGAAAGTTATGGCAGAGCGAAATTGATTGAGCGGCAGAGAAAGCGGGCATCCTTGAACGCGGCGAAAGTTCTGACCTTGTGCGTCCTTCACCTCTCTAAGCCGTCCGGATGGATTGAAATGGGCTGAAACTTGTCATAAAACCAAAATGAAAAACTCTCAACTTTACTGCCATGGATGTCTTGACTAGGGGCGAACCCTTACATGGTGGTAAATCGCCTGCGCTACGGTAAGAGGCTAAGCGTTTTGAAGTTGGGGAACTTGTCGGAAAGACAGTAAGAAGCGTTCAGATCGTAATTCACCTAAAAGGTTCTCGGCTAGTATAGCATCAACAGGAAACTAGTGTGCATGGACAAAAATCGTGGCGCCTGAGAGCTTTACCGGAACGCCTTGGCAAAACATTCTTACAGTATTCGCATGAGTCGGAGATGAAAGAGATAAAAGTCACAGCAAGGAATCGACAGACGAGCAGTAGGCTAGCTAACAAGAGCATCGGTTGAATAACACAACATGGAAAACTTCGTAACATCGGCCAACATGCCAAGGAAAAAAACAAAGAAAAAAGGATGATGAAAGTTCAGTTAAATTCTAAAATCTTCGGCACCGCTTCTAGAAATAAAAAATTCATGACAGATAGTAAATTGAGCTTTGCTAAAAGTCTACTAATTTCAAAAATCCCTGGCTTGATCAATGGAACTGTGTGACTCATAGATTTCTTTCGGTTGTGATCCAACTTGATCGTGCTCAAATGACAGGCATTTGAATGAGCTCAGATAGCAACTGCGATGCGGTGTTCTAGTCAGCCAAACAAGACTTTCTGTGCCGTACACTATCAGCGGCACAGATCTGTGGTTTTGTCAGAAGCCAGCGAAAACTCTTCACTTAGCAATAGAAGCCACTTGACCGCAAGTGCATGCGACCATATTTGATCCCCAAAAACTCATTTAACACGTACTCTAGGCGTATCACATAATAATCCATACACACATGCTGTTCCTGTGAAATCAAGCGCAAAGGTGAAAACTCGCTCGACATTGATTAAATGGCGGATTGCCTGATGGATAAGCTCAAAAATACACGATATATGCCGGACAAAATCGGACGTTGGGAGTGACAAAGCGAATTTCAAGCGATAACCGCATAATTATAAGCGGCTTGCACGAATTTCATATCTCCGAATCCAGATTCCAGTTCCGAATTAACAGCGCAAAGCTATTGCGCGATCGGCAAAAGGCCGACCGTCGACACCACCCATGAACAGGTAGAGAAGCGCACGACGACGTATGCGGCTTCAAACTCGTCTTATTCCTTGAATGTTGAGGGCTCATCCTTGAGATTTTCGGGTGGATAGAGAAAATTGGGGTGGAAGCAGAGTCAATGCCAGTCTCATATATTGGGCAAACACCTTCAATATCTCAAGTAAAGACAAAGAGATTTGACGGACATATTACCTTATGGTTATGAAGTCTTTCGAACTTGGACTTTGGACGATAGCATCATAATCACCAGGAGTTATCAGAGAGACTTCTCAGTTATGCAAGAATTCTAAATCCTTTCTTCCCGCTTGTGCCTGATTGTTAAGTGCAAGTATATCGTGAACTTACAAAGCAGGAAATTCTAGTTGACTCTTGCTTCCTAAAGCACAGAATACCCTAGTAGCAGTCCCAACTTTACTGTGTGAGAGATAGGTAGCAATAGGTACGACAGCAACGTCTCATTTTTGTGGTGAGGATATGTATTCCACACTCAACTCTATTCTTCAGTTCCACTGCTGTTTGTCTATTCGAAGGCTTTTCTCCTGATGAACTTCTTCTCAACACTCACCCACGGTAAGCTCAGTGTCACAATAGCACACCATTTCTCTTCTGATTATTATTCTACAGTTAATTCCCAACATCCACATGCACCTCAAAATAAACGTGAACTTTCCTTTTCACAAAATGAGATGAAAAACGATGATGAGATCGTGTGCTCGTCGCGCACAAAGAATATGAAAACAATGTCGTCATTGCGCTAAGACGTTTGGCTACCTCGTGTCCGTAAAGTTGAAGAAAGTTTGGACCATCTGCGACCAGAAATGGCTTACGAGCCTCTTAAAAAGGACATCTCACATTCTTCATAAATCCTTCTATTCTAGACGGGAAAGGCCTATAGTTCCAGACTTGCTGAAAGCACTGTGCTAGCCACAAGAAAGTGGTGTACCGAGGAGGATGGGCGAAGTGGGCGCGCCTCCCCCTCCCAGAATGGGTCGCAAATTTTTTGAAGGTTTCTTATATGTGTTATAAAAATGTGCAGAAGACTTGTCTTTACTTGTAAATAATTAAAATAATTTTTAAAAATTTGAAAAAAATCAGCCTTGTAAAAAAATTTTTTTGGAGGCATGACGAATACCATGTTTATTTTGCACAGTACAATGTCTATTCGAAGGAGGCATACGATAATTTAAGTCATGTTTAACAGAAAAGGAACAACGTGCAGATTGTTAAGATACCCTAATAAGCGCATCCAAGTAACGGCATAAAGAGTATTCCTGGAGGCCAAAGCTATTTTGTGTGAAAATCGTCCGATAACCTCTCCCCTGAGCCTACAGATTTCTGACCTCACACTCAGCTGCTTTGAGCCAATATGTTCACTACAGTAATGTTATCTACAACTGTAGATCATTTTGGTTATGGGCACAACATCCGCTAAGATGCTCAAGACACACCGTGCTGGACAATTAGAGAATGGAAAAACAAACGCACAGGGACACAAATTGTATGTCCGTTCCGTTCTGAAGTCGAGGTCCGCCAAGAAATCTGTTCGTTACCTAGGCTGCGTTCATACTGATCCTTAGGTTCGGGAACAGTTTCAGCAGAATGCTCAGTTCGGCGCTGCGCTGGAACTGTTCTCGAACTTCGGGATCAGTATGAACTGCTCCTTACAATCTATTTTGGAAAGCATTCCCATAAGTTGAGAATCCTCGGCAGCAGTTTGATTTCGAGATTATGTGCTTTACTTGACTATCTCCTCAACACTACCTTCTTCCTTTGTTTTCAATTTTGCTTTATTTAGCAGAAAAGCGTCGAGATGTGCAGCTTCGACACTTTCAAACGAAAGAGGGCGCAGAATTGTGCTGTTCACATATTCCGAGCTAGGATGACCACTTCTATTTAATTAGTTCATCTGTTCTGAAAAAAGCGATGCTTTGCTTGATTGTTCCATTCTTTTCAACTTTCCACATTCCACTGCCATCAACTACAGCAAGATCCTATGCTACTGATGTTACCTCTCAACTCTCAATTTGTGGGATTTGTTAGGCTGCGAGATCGAGCTTCGTTATCTAACGAACTTAAATCACTAGTTGATCCCAATTACCAGTAGTTGCTAAAATTGTGCTATGGTTGCAAACTTTTATCTGAGACCTCCTTGATAGATAGAGCAATGATGTGGGTCTGGTCCAGGCAACAGAAGTGTGATATTTCATGATATTTCACCAAGCTTACCGCTTATCAGGCAGCGGTCCACAGTTTATCGGGATACCTTTTCGAAACGGAAATACACTTCAATCACATTTTTGATATTCGTTATACAGTTTCTTCCCACTGTTTCTTTTACAGAATGCTTATGCGACTACAGTCGCTTCATTTCATATGATCATGTGTGTCACTGCACACACAGCTCACCTTTGGCGCCCCATCCTGGATTCGTGGGAGAAGCAGCCTTCAGGTAAGTGTTTCCAAGGTGTTCTTAGCATTTTCTTTCCTTCTTAGTTACTAGTCATCTCAAAATGATGTAATCGATAACAATCGGTAAGTCTCTTGCGTTTTTGCGATTGCAAATCCAGGATGAAGATGCCAAAGTGGACTGTGTGTGCAATGGCACACATGATCATATGAAATGAAGCGACTGTACATGAACTTACAAGGTTCAAAGCGGGCGCAACATTTAGTCAACAGAGTTAGTCATGAACGAGAACTCCTTAAGAAAAAAATTCAGATTTTCAAATAAAAATTACATCCAAAGGTTATCAAAATAGGCTGAGCCCCACCCAAGTCCCCGGAAAAAATGCTCTAGTACCTGAAGGAAATTGAGGTGCAAAAAAAAAACCGTGAAGGACTATAAATAGAAAAACGGAAAAGAAGAGGATTTTCACAAGCGGCGGCCTGCTGATTCTTTTATGCGTCAAATGGCAAACTGCAGATGAACACCTAATCGCGCTGCCCGTGATGAGATAAACGCAAAAGCATTTTCTGACCTACAGACTAAAGATGCTCGTTGTCGCTGCTTCAGATACTACTCTAGGTACCCATTCTCAAACTACCCCTTTGATCGAGTTTCCGATGCAAAAATTGAAGACTTTGCGATCATCTCCTTTGTTAACCTATTATTTGAACAGAATCAGCACATCTGAAAGTGAAGGAGAGTGGAGACCTACAGCATATGTATGGCTCATCTGTATGAGCTGCAACTTCATCTCTATGAGGAACATTCTGATTTGCTCACTGCATTTCGGTACTTGTAGAAATTCTATTTCTTGCAAAGAACTGGCATAATCTCACGAATCAGATTATTCGGTGAAATGTATGTACAATCAAATTACAATTCAACACCATAACAAAGCAGAAATGTTTGTCTCCACATTTTATCATTTCCTAACATACATGAGAAATCGAACAACAGTGAGAAAAAAAAACGGTAAAAATCTATCCTTCAAAACCGTACTGCTTCTAGTCGGCGAACCTATTGAGCAATCAACTACTGACTGCCTTGACTGCTAGTCATGGCCGCGCTCAGATGGCCGCTCAACTCTACATTGCTTTACATCTGAACATTGAGTCCCTTCAGCGTTTGAATGGCGCTCTGGAGATACTGATCCTTGAACGCTTTTTCGGATGCTTGCTTTTCCACCTGAATAAATTCAATAAAAAACGTGTGGATAGCAAGAATGCTGAGAAGATGAGAGGAATGAAGAGAAGAAGGCCACAATTTGGAAACCTTGGGCAGTCCTCAAACAAATCATGCTGGGAGTTCAAAACCATTGTCTTGGAGGAAAACGGAGATTCATAAAAAAGACTAAAGACTTTTCGCATTGTTGCCGATAGAAGCGGAATGAGCAAAATGATTCCCAAAGTAAAACATGGTGAGAACAAAATCAATCTTGGAGAACAGAGTATGACAACAAAAAAGATATCGACGACTAGCATATATATGTTGTTGATGAAACTAATGATGGACGCAGAAGATTTAGGAAAGTGACATAAAACACGCCGCGAAATCCACAAAACAGCAAGAATACTATTTTAAGAAAACAAAGTATGAAACAAAAAGTAAAGTAAAACATCGTACCCCTTCTGTGATGAATTTAAGCATCTGCTCCTTTTCGAAACGCTTTCTCGTCTCTTCGGTCTCCCTGAGGTAATCAAGACGACGCTTCAGTTCCGTTGCAACAGTCTGGACATTCTTCCTGGAATAAGACGCAGTAGCAGCTTGATCTCCAGCAAAGATATGTTGAGACAACAAATACCGTGCCCAGCAAAATCTGGACACATGAGTTTAACACAGTTGAACGTGAAGTTGTAGCTAAAGCACTCAGCGGCATCGGTAACTTATCCAAGGCTTAGAAAATCTCTAACCCGCACCAAAAAACAAAAAAAAAACAGACCCAATACCGTATCCAGCGGACTATCTGGCTCGTGCTTGCGCTTTCGGGCCAAACTAGATGGTCTCAACGCGACATGCAAACACGACTCAAGAAGTTAAAAGCTTTCGATCTGATTCGAAGATTGTAGACTTTTTTCAGCCGTAAATGAGCCATTGACGTTGCCTCCGGGGCAATGCTAATTAGGACTAGAACATCATTTGATTAACCCTTGTGTCCAGATTTGCCTAGACACTCCTTTGAATGTACTTCGAAAAAATTTCGAGCAAGATTCTGACAATAGAAAGGCAACTGAGAAAGGCACCATCAGAGGATATAACATAAGTCAGAATGAAACGCAATGAAGCTGAAAAGATGGTTATACCTGTACTGCGCTTCGAGCTGTAGTTGCATATTTTCCTTCATTATTAAGGGGAAGTTCTCTTTGACTAGCTTTAGAGATTCGGTTTCAGCAGCAGAGGTCTGAACAACAATTCTTCCCGCATTAGTTAGAAAACAAGGGCACTCACTTTTCTGAACTCGACAGCGTCCTTGAGATCTTCAGCGATCAAACCTTTAAAGTACTCCATACGCTTCTGATACTCTCCGTACAACCAGTTGTCAATTCGGACTACAATTCAGTCATTTCAATTCATATTCTTAAGCTGGTAAATATAGATAATCAGCATGGACAAGTAATTATGTAGCAAGAAATCAGCGACTTCGATGCCTTAGAAAAGAAGTACACAAAAACAATCTGATTTGCAAAGCATAATACCATATATAATAAAATCCTGCAAAAACTCACATCCAACAGTTCTTGATATAAGCAGATAGAACAAGATCCATCCCACGGTCATGTGCCCCTGCTCCTCGTAAACCCACAATTCTTTATTGACCAGAAAAGCGAACAGGCCACCAAAGAACAAGTATGGCCCTAAAATAATGATTGTATACTTCATGCTGCAAGCGCTTAAAGCAGATGGGAAGGCCGATTTCCTCACCAGATACCCCAGTCACTTTCATAAATGGTTGGAACCAAGAGTCAGGCATCATCAGAAGACGAGTTTTCGGCGGATACATTGGCCGAGCGGGATAGGGATAGTTCACCTGTTCGAAATAATTTGCGAACTTTGGCAGTGAAAACTAGGAGCAAACTGACCAAGTCTCTATCCGGATGTTCTTTGTAGTCCTTAGGCATTTCAGGGAGTGGCTTAGGGGCAAACCATTCTTTTCCACAATCAGAAAAAATGGATTTCGGAGCGTGGAGCTCTCCTTTCAATGGGATTCCTATGATGTACTGATATTAACTCAGCGAAACTGCATGATGCGGAGACAACGACTAAGTTACTGCACATTTGACTCTGAGAAAGAATCATATTACCTTGGAAGCGGAGCGATATTTTCTGGAAAAATGAAGGATTATCGAGCTCTTCTGGCCTCAGATCAACTTGCGATGCCGCTCCTGCCTCTGCAAACAAGAGAATGAACATTTATAAGCTCTGAACGAATGTAGTTACCAGCAACTTGATGTGCACTGCGCAGCGGTATAATCACGAATCGAGCGTTTTTACCCGCTGGCAGGATGCGGCTGAGCGACATCCTTGCTACCTAATAAAGCTTCAAATAGAAAAGCAGATTAACTTGGGCAATTGAAACAAATAATCGCGAGTACTGACGATATACTAGATTCTTCTCAAGTTTATTCAAGAAGAAAACAAGCTCTTAGAAGAATAAACATTCCACTAACCAGATTCGATGAGCAAAAGTCAGGGAAGATATGCAAAAGGACAGGACAGCGAGAAGAAAAACCAAAATAGCCAAAAATGAGGCTCCGCAACGAACGAACATACGCAAAACAGATAACATAGCCAATGTTGCAGGAGTCGAGACAATAAGCGGAAATTTAAAGACGCTTTGGCCACAGCTAGAGGCAACATAACACTCGAAATTTGAAGTTGGTTCAACCACAAAACTTTTCCAAAGATAACAATTATTTTCACTGGAATGAGGACTACATGTAGGATATGTTTCTACGAAAAATTAACTCCAAGGAATTTGGAGGCCGCCCATATACCGGAGAAAATGCACCGAAGTCAGGTCTCCACGCAGGACGCAAATTCGAATAGAGCGCACCACGTTTAGTAGATGCCATGAGTTCATAATCTAAAGTATTTTTCTTAGAGTCTGTGCATGATATAGGCATTAACTTACAGATCGTTAATACCCGGTATTACTTTTGAACCTTATTCCTTATTGTGCAATCGAAGATGAGTCGGAAGTGCATCACTATAGGGCCTATAGGCATAAGGACGCACCGGTCACTTGATTAGAACAGATTTTCTGAATTTTGTGCAGATGCTAAGGCATAAAAGCCATGTTGAACCAGATTCTGCATGGACAAAATCGTTGGGGCATACTGATTGGCAACGTTTACTCTAGGTCTGAGTGATCGGAAAGCGGTGAGTTTGCGGCCATTGCTCGTGCATTCTTTCTCTCTTCCTATTTTGGGACGCTTTGCTATTTGTAGTTAACTTTCGATTACCTGTAGCGATTTTAAAAAGTACGGGGCTTAGTTGCTTTGAGGTTCTGTGGCCTCCCGCATGAACAGTGACCGCAGACGCACAGAACTTCACGATGATGCGGAGCCCTCCAGGATGTAGCGCGTAACTACGCGGTCTACCATCAACTACGCAGCTTTTCTAGATGAAAATGTTACTTTTAACAAAAACATTGTACTTGTTTGTGGTCGAAGATGAAGCGCAGCGTTGAGCCGGGCAGGGCATAAAAAGAACTTTGGTAGATTGCTGGAGCAGTGGTGCCAGGTAGCCAATACTGCTCCAGCGATCATTCTCATTCACTCCTAGCTATTTACAAATAACGGGTGTCTCCTTGAGATTGTTTTTTTTTGTTAGGACTAATTATTCAGCTGTCTTCTTGCTAAGGCCTGAGGGGAGGGTGTGTCAGGACAAATTGCGGAGATGGCCTCAAAACGTTTCCTATATGAGGAGCTGAAGCATGACTTTTAAAGCGCGCTCGGAGGCGTCCCGAAACTTGCTCTCACGTATGGGGCAGGACCTGCACAGATCTCATGCTTTCTGCACAGGTATCAGACCGAGAATGCGATGTGAAACGCTCGTTTGAGAGCGACACCCACTCAGGGCCTCGACAGGAGATGAATCTAGGTTCTTTCAAAGTGTATGCGCGCGATCTTCGCTTGCTGCATTGGGCGGAGGGAAGAAGTAGATGAGTTCATGAAGGGAGACATTATGATTTGAACATATACCCCCCCCCCCCCCCATCGCTACGACGAGCGGTTCAATAATGCCGCTTCCCCTCCCCAATTTTTATTCGAAGGGTGCAAAGGTCCTTCTGAACTTACATTTCAGGGCCATATTTGAGCCCGGTTCATATGGTCCATATAGGTTGGAAGCTTGAAGCAAAAAACACAGCCTTTTATTTCTTTTCACGTTGGAGTGCTATCATGCCAAAATAAGAAGATTTATTTTCAGAAATTGTATTGTTTTATCACAGCGACTGTCTGGATCGCAAAGCTTTTCCAGCTTTAAAATGAGCCAGACAATAGTCGAAGCCTTTACTAAAAAAAATTATGGTAAATCACTATATCACTACAAAATTTGTAAACAAAAATTCCAAATTACAAGTCTGTTACATACACTGAAACATGCATTGATAAAACAAACAAATTTATTAACACTGTATCATGTGTTTGATTTGCATTGTTCACCTGAGCCAGTCCACTCCCCGCAACGCTCTTCCCGCGCAGTATACTTTATCAGCCTTTGTCGCATTCGGGCATATGGTGTACGGTGCACAAACTTCATCTCTTCTGAAGCAGTGTGAACCCGCTCCACACATATAAGTATTCCAGTGATGCCCTATGCACTCTGAAAAAGACTGTAGGCATTGATCAGTAGTGGAAGGGTTAAGTTTTTCCCGTTTACCTCGGCATGTGCAACCAGCCTCATCGGAGCCGTCTTTGCAATCCGCTATGCCATCGCACCGTGAAATTTTCGGGATACACTTGCCCTCTTGGGCGCAACGAATAGTATCGTGTGGACACTGGATCGAGTTTCGGTCAAAGCAGGAACGGAAGAAGCAGAAGGACATACCGCTTTGCACTGCATCTCGTCCTTTCCGTCCATGCAGTCCCATACCCCATCGCAAACCTTGGTCTTTGAGATGCACTTGGTCTTCCCGGAAGCAGACCGGCATTCAAACTTGTCGAAACCCTGAAATGGGAATGTTTAGCTCAAGGTTTGATCAGTTGAACACCTACCGCACAGGTGCAACTTCGTTCATCTTCTCCTTCGGCACAATCTTCGATTCCATCACAAACCTAAGGGGTAATTTGGAACAAATCTTTCATTATCCAGTCTTCCAATAAAGCTGTTTCTTACCAACATTTGCGGAACACACTTCTTATCCTTGCAAGTGAAAGCTAAGCGAGGATCACATTTCGTGCAATTGTAAGCGCATTGTTCTATTGCTCCAGAACATGCTTCCGCTTCCGGATAGGTTCTTCCGTCAGCACATCGCACCATAGGTATCTGAAGCATAAGATCTACTGCGCTTCGTGTCAGTATATTTGTTGGCCTAATCACTCATACCTTCGCACCTTCCTCCAGAAGACAGGTTCCCGGACAATCCTTTTCGTCCATACCATCTTCGCAATCCACTATTCCATCGCAAACTTTGGATCGTTCTAGACATTCTCCGCTGGCACACAGTGCCTTGTCAGATCCACAGCATGAGCGACAGTTACAACCCTAAATAAGGACAGGAATTTGAGCTGTTCTTAAAGGATTCTTTGCCTCACCTGCTCGTCCGACTTATCCGGACATTGTGGAATACCATCGCATAGTTGCCCTGCTGGAATGCAACGCTTCGTCACTTCACAGAACTAAATAAACACTTTGGTGTTGCAGAACTCTGACGGAATATTACGGTAAACCGCTGTTTATCTACAACAAAGGAGATGCCACCTTTGCTCCACGATTGCATTCTTCGCAGTTGACCTCATCATCTTCTGTATCACAGTCAACAATCCCGTCACATATTGATGATGGTGGAAGACACAGCGCTGTTGATGGACAGCTCATCTCACCTTCATCACACGTTGTTTCTGAACAATAGTCGAAAGGTTTCCTTTGAAAAAAGAGCCAAGAGATAAATTTGTGCTATGTACATACTGCAGACCACGGTTGCAAGAACAGCGACTTAGAGGTACAGTTTGTGTCAATCACGTGCTCTCTTTTTCTCACGCAAACGCGACACGACAACTTCGCGCCAGCTTCGCTGGCGTTGATTTATGCACTGAATTAAGCCTACTGATTGGAGCTTTGTAGGTAAGGCCTAAGTGTTGCGGAATGCGCACTTTCGTGCGATAGGATTACGTGATTGACACAGATTGTAAGCTGTGATATGCTTCATTGACACATGCTTTTGCTCTTGACCATGGCAAGACGAAACCATCAAAAGTTGAACTTTGTTAATTAATGAAGATGCAGGGCCTACTACAGTGCTTCTCCTCATCGTAGCCATCAGGACAGTGCGTTACGCCATCGCACATTTGCTCCGCTCGTAGACAGACTCTCACTTTAGTCTTCGGAGAGATAGAGCATGAGAATGCCGATTGGCAACCTGCAAGTAACGTAAGTGTTTGCATGGATATAAGATTTTTCAATGCTAGGTAAAAAAGAGCGGTAACAAGGTAGGTCTCACGTTTGCAGTTCAGTTCATCTGAACCATCGGGACAGTCGCTTTTTCCATCGCATCGCAGTGCTGTGCTTATAACCACACTCTGAAGTAAGCGGTGCAACTGACGCGGATCACAAGCAGTTCACCTACCGGTTCGTTCGTACAAGCAAACCCGTAACCCTCACAGAGGGACACATTCGGAGGGAAGAGGGCTGTGGATGGAATTCCATGCACTAATCGAATATTAGAACCTCGCAGCTTGTCCATGTCCTCCTCATCAATTTCTATGGGATCAGGCTTGGGGAAGAAGTGGTTGCCACGAATTACCTTAAAGTAAGCCCTGATTCTACCTCCATATAGCAGCTTAATCTTCATATAGAATGAAATTAATACTCATTTTACGTGATAAAAATAATGCTCCAATTTTCCGTGGCTACCTTAGCTTCAAAAACATCCATGACTAAGCTTATAAATAGTTTTGATTTCCGAGCCAGTGACTCTCAACAAAACTTATGAAAGACGCATAAACCCTGAGAATATCTACAACATATTAAATTTTTTTGTTCGAATTCTTGGTATAGATTATATGAAATGCGCATCAACGAAAGGAACGACTGCACATGGAAAACATTTTATGATCTTGCATTTAGCAAAAGAAAACCTGTTTTGGAATATCGTCTCTTAAACTCTCATTTGCGAAGAATATTGAGATTATAGGAATATCTATTTTATAAGGAGCATACCCCAGCTTCTAGACCGTCCGACTGGCGCGTTTGCAAACGTTCCGAATTTGTTAGAATTACTATGGTAGGTATGAGTGCCAGCAGTAGAGCCAGTATGATGCATATCGCGACAATGATCACGACAACGGGTAACTGAAATCGCTGGTAGTTATACAGAGTAAAAAACATCAAACAAGAGTCAACTTACTTTCAGAAAACACGAACAGCACGTCCGCCCAAGATAGTCGCGAAACCTTTCCAGCCTTCCTTTTGGTGGCTCTGGACTATCCATTACTCTAAGAGCATTGTCTTAAGTCTGTTCATAATTGTAACCTGCTTACTGTTGCTGCTGTTCTTGACCAGGAGTGGCAGGTGCGTACATGTTGGGCTGCGCGAGTGCCTCGGCTGGAGTTTGTACCTTCTGAATCGAGCCCATCTAATGTCGCGTTGCTCTACTCTACAAGAGAAAACTCACTGAGTTTTCAAGAAGATACACGGCAGCGCTGCAGTCGAGAGTAGGGTCGACTGGTACTGACATACAAATAAAAGAATCAAATGTATTAGAACCAGTCAGCAGAGGACCCTCCCCTAGGTAAAGTTAAAATTAATACCAGATCAAAAAAGTAATAAAGAGCTTTTTAAAATTCAGAAAGAAGGGCAGGTATACAGCCACACATCGATAGAGTTCTGGAACGTCTGTTCGCGCTCAAAATCGAACAATCAGAAAATCCGATAGTCATGCAGATCAAACATATTCTGAACATAAAAGATGCTCATCCACATCGTCGTAGTAGCTCTCCCTATATTTGCCTCGCTTTTCTGTAATTTTAGTAATCTAAGCATTTTTTTCTAATGAAAAACACACAATGCTCATCAACCCTTGCTCCTCTGGATGGCCAACTTGATCTCCACGCTCATCGATGTTCACTGCATTTTTCCAAAGACACATCATTGTTTCCCCTTTGAGACCTAATCTCATTCGCTGAGTTGTGTTTGATCTAAAAAGAATGTAATATTATTCGTGCTTCATAGAATAGTCAAATGAACCTTGAGAAGATAATGCAAAGCTGATGAAGCAAAACCAGATATTTGTATCTGCACCAATAGAGCTTTGCATGTGCCGCACTACAAAAAGGTTATGTTGATTTGCTTATGCGTTCTACTCGCAAACCATGAGTAGCCTGCTAACAAAACATGCAGTCCAGCTTGGGAGCTATGAGAATGTGACTGGAAAGAGACCGGATTTATCCATTCTCTACGTTTTGAATGTTTTGAGGGTGTTATGAGCACAGTAGTGGTGGTCCAAAATATGTTTTCAAAGGGAAGGGGGAGGATGGGAGGCGAAATTTTGTCGAATGGAGGTGCTTGGCATCGCGCACTTCGAGAAATTTTTTGGGATGCTTTCCAAAATTTTTGCTGACACATAACTGCGAAATCTAACAAAAAGATCCTAATTCAAATTTTTAAAAATTCGAAAAATTATTCCAAGTATCTACAGATTGAAATAAGTCGCTTGCATGGTTTTATAGTTGATATGAGTAACTTATATCAACTTTCGACTCATTCTTAGGAAAGGAATGGGCTCAGCCTCATCTCCGACTTAAATAACTGAATCCAAGGTTCAAAGATTCACATTCACATAACCATACTTTCACATAAGTTTTGTGTACATTTTACACCCTTTATGGCCGCCTTAATATTCTCTAAAGCACGAGCAGCCAATCCAGACCTAGAATTTCGCGACAACGAGTGTCCCCAGAGTGGTAGTGTTTTCAGAGTATGTAAAGGGCTTTATTGATGAAAGATGCCTTTTAGCGTAAACTTCTGATAGGCCTGTGTCATTAAAGCTTCGGCTTCGTTTGAATTATTGAATTATCAAAAATGTCATTTTATTCAAGCTATTCAGGCTTTCAATACAATGAACAGCAAAGCAGATGGTCGAAAGGTGGTTATTAGATTGTTGGTTGGGTTTAACTTCAGGAATAGTTCTTTGAATCTGAATTGTTCCAAAAATTCGATGGGTGCGACAAATTTGATTCCTTACGTAAACAAATATTCTGTGATTATCACTGCTAACTTCACAAGCGCGTGATATGTATATTTGGTCTACATCATTTCGAAGTGTTTTCTTTCCTATTCTTACCGTTCCTTTGCACTTTTGTTTTACATCCAGGAGGATAGTAGATCGAGTAAGTAGTGTCCCTGCAGCGCCAAGATCTGGAATTTGCCTCTGAACTAATAACTAGTTTTATGCCTAAAATGCCGGAATTTTGCTCGCGCAAATTGTAGGTTTTACAGGCGTAGTACAGTCGGAGTATAGTGTGTACAGCTATGCATAATTTATTCAAACGCAGATTATACGGCACAATCCCGGCATCGCAAGGGTTTTGTATTCACCGTCAGATCCGTCTACTATACAGGAACTTCTTTGTGATTGAGTTCTGGCTTATTATCTCAAACTACTCCGAGCGCACTACTTCATTGGTAGACATTCTTAGAGATAGAATAATATGATGATGCAGCAGTAATCAGAGAATCAAGCTACCATCTCTTAGATATTATGCCTACATTGTCATTTTGAATTTCCAATGCACGATATTGCAGATAATGTCTCTGTTTATTATTTTAAATATGACTGTAGATTATGGCGTTTTTCGTCAGTTTTTAAAGTTTTCTCCTGATATAGACCTAGTCTGATCTGATCTACGTACATATCAAAAATGCCAAAGCTAAGGAAACGGCCATAGGTTGCCGGCAACAGTTGTCGGTGTTGTCGATGTTGTCAGGGTTTCGGGGTTGTTGGGGTCAGAGACGGTTTAGGGAAGCGGGCGAAACGTGGAGGCTATCATAAGGTCCTACAACGACTGGCAACCTCGGCAATAGCGACAACATCGACAGCACCGACAACCGTTGCCGGCAAGCTATGGTCGTTCCCTAACAGCCATCGCGAAGATGATGGGAGTGGGACATATTATGTAAACGATCTCCATGATTGCGCAAGCCACCGCAGTATGAGCCGATACTTGAGAAGGCATTTAGAAAGACTTTGAAGTTATTGTAGAAAACAGAAGCCAGCGATCAAATTCAACTGTTTTATTAGGAGACGATCACTTTGATTTGTACAATGTTCGGAATGTGACAATCAAAAAGCAAGAAAATTGTGCAAAATAACATAAGCTCCGCTGATCTTTCCCCGCAGAAACATGCTTCACCATCACTGCGGGAATGTCCCAAGAAAGCGACAAGAATTAGCTCTTTGACATCTTTGAAAACTGTCGAGTCCATTTTCGAACTCAGCACATCCAGAAAGCCCTACAATCATAAAATGGCAAAGGTGCCGAACCCCTGCTTTGCACAGGATAAGTATATGTCATGGTAATCGTTGGCAAGATGTCTATAACAGTGTGATACGACAATTTTCACCAGAGCTTGGGTGGGAAGGAGGTGATTTCTCTACCGCACTTTTACAGCGTTATTCTTGAACACACCCTTTGCTTCAACCAGATTGGCTGTCGGAAGGCGGGCTTCATGACCTAAGGCGATTGCCCCCGTCCGCGACGCAGTCTCCGCCTCCCTCGTGAAAGTGCTCTCTGATCATTTTTGGCCTCAATTAGGTCACAGCTCGCCTTCCAGCAGCCGATCTGATTGAAACAAGGGTACATTATCCTCGTGGAACAATCGCCTATTTCAATTGCACTTAGGTGTCACTCGGATATCATATCATACAGCTTATCGGTGTCACTAATAATGCAGTCCTCCAACTGCACAAAATCTTGTGAAATGATAATCCAGTACATAAACACTTCATTACTATTTCAATGGAAAGACTCATGAGACACAATCATGTCACAAAAATCGTAAGTCCCAAGCACATAAAAAGTTGGAGTACAAAGATCGAAAGGTCGAGGTGCAAGGCAAAGTAGGAGATCCTCTCAAAAGCAAAGGTTAACGGCTAAAAAAATTATCTAGTACTGCTTACTGACTTTCTGGATAATTTCACTTTTTTCTTCGTGATTTTGGCACTAGCGACGCTTTTCGGACGTGATGACTGATATGTTGCTACAGGATGTTGAATAAATTTCTCAAGTTGCTGGTTGAACAGCACTGCCTGGGCCCAACCAGCATAGGCTCCAAATTTTTCTTCATAAAACTGCACTGGAAGAATTCAAAGTAAGGAGCTAGCACGTAAGGCGAAAAGACAATTCAGTGAAAACCAAGAATCTGCTAACTCACTGAGGCGACGATTCAGATTTTCGGTCAGCGAGGACTCCTTCAAATGTGGCAAAAAGTACCTTTTGGTGATCTGCAAACGATGTGCAACATCATCATAGAGGATGGGGAAGACCAACCTCAAAGACATGGCGATCAATGGGGACACAATGGTTTTGTCCCATTGACATCAACGCTACACATTCAGCGACCTGTATCGTTGAGTAAGAGTATAAGTAGAAGTAATGTCAGAAACTATCGTTACCTTGGGTCCCACTCCGGAAAATTCGCGAAGTGCCTTTCGAATTTCCTCACATGGAAGACGAGCGAGATCCTCAAGAGTATCCGAAGGCATCTTGCCCAGCTTCCGGACAGTCTCACTGAACATAGAAGTTGACATCCTTCAGGAACCTGAGCTTCTCCTGCTACTTACCTTACATAACTGGCTCTATATCCAAACTGTTGCTCTCGCAGCACAGCTGTGAGTTCATCCTGAACGGCTATCAGTTGAGGCAAAGTTGGAAAAGCGTAGGCCAATTCGGGATACTTTTCTAGCACATAGCTGTATTGTGATGGTGAATCAAACACTATCGGATCGCCATACAGCTTTGCTAACTTATTAACCATACCTGAATTTTTATGCTGATCTGATTCTTCAGGCAATTTCCATGGGTTTGACCGACCCGATATTCTGGGAATATTGTTGTTAGCAGAGCAGATGAATGCAATCAATGTCTCTAGTGGTTCTTGTCTGAGTATTCTTATGCCATGCAGATCTTGTACCCCTCTAAGTTCACTCATGAATGCATCCTTCGAAGACCAGTCGTCCCATAACTCGGAAAGAGAAACTTCTAACTGAAACGAGTCTCTTCAATCAAAAGTGAGATTACAAGTGATCACTCCTACCTGCAAATACTTGCAAAGTTTTGTTGCCGGGTCTATGTTCAGACTTCTGGCAGCTTTACCTAGGCAGCACCACTCAATTGAACTTTCATCCCGACGTTTCAGATAAAAAAGGACGCCTTCTACGACTCCATAATACGACTCATTCAAGACCCGCCATCTGAAAGAGATATTTGTAAGCTTGAAAAATGAAACTTCTTACCATCCAAAACTTTCACCTGAAAGATTGCCCATTGAGAAGTACAGCCTTCAAATTCAATTCGGCTGGTGTGATTCTCAGGATATTCATGAGAGACAGAGAGATACGAAATGAACTATATGGGCATCTAAGACATCGACGGTGCCAAAATGAATAAACGAATCACTTCATATAAAAGAATCGTAAAGTACAGTAGGATTTCTTGGGTGTAGGCCGGAAGGCGACAAAACCCAGTTGGAGCGAAAGTATGGAGGCTATGCCTCCTCATGATGGCCTGTGACGCTGCGGCGAGGTCAATTGTGTCAGAGACTGACGCTCTCTTGGCACATGCGCTGGCGCACAAATGGTGACAGCATTCCTCAGACAATTCTGCGCGCAAGCGGCGCGCACTCACGGCCAGCAGGGCAGGCGGCGGGCCGTGATTTTTGGGCGTGACCTTGCACCGCACAGGCGGCGCGCACTGATTTCAGCCAACAGGCGGCGCGCAATGCATGTTCGCAGGCGGCGCGCAGACACAATGTGCGTGCAGGCGGCGCGCAATGAACTTTCTGTAGCTTCACGTAAGCGGAGGAGGACGCTGCTTCCGCGCGCAAATGCAGAATTTTTTGCAGATAATTGTTTCTCCTCGTTCCTCCTTGTTTTTTCATACAAAGTATTGTGTTGTTTATTACCTCACTTTTACTCTGCTGTTTCACCTCTTTTTTCTGTTTCTAAATTGTTTTGAAATCAAGTATGCGATTTTTTTGCCTTTTTAGCACGTCTTCTTTTATTTAATCCATACTCACTCTTGTTTCTCAGTCAGTTTTCCATATCTTTTATCCTACCTCTGGTTCCTAATCATATTGACCCCGTGACACAGGGACGCTCATTTTCAATCAATAAGCTTTCTTGCGTCGTTGCGCCTCCTTCGTTTCTTTCCGTTGCTATTTCTTTCTCTTCTTTTTTCACAAGATAAAAGCAAAGTTTAATTCAGGTCACAACTGCCTTAGTACAATGATGGCTATGTGCGAATGCCGAAAAAAAGTCGACCTCAAAAGAGTAAGTCTTGCTTTTTGAAGCCAAAGTAGGCATTTTGTTTAAAAACATTATTGTGTTTCAGCTACCGATCTACAATGACTCCAAATACCAAGAATCAAGACAATTTATGGTCGTGGGACCTCAGCCCTGACTTTATTTATCTTGAAGAGGTGAAAAAATGCATTTTTTTCTGCATTCGTCAATATTTATTGCTTTTTCTCTTCAGTTTGTTAATAGCGTGTATTTCAGCGCCACAGCATGCGCCTAGACCGACTGATGGAATCAACTCTTGATAGAACAAAAACCATTACGAGAACTAACGAGGACGAGGCTGATCCAGATTATTCATGTCTTAGATTTGTTCATGTCTCATCATTCATCCCAATTTTCACGCTTACCCATCATATCCCCGTCATCCAATTGTTTATTCCTGTAATTGAATTGAGTATATGAATTCCAGGAGCATTCAAATCTGGCTGATCAAGCATGCCCGCGTTTTGTTCATTGCTATCGCATTTTCATATTTTATTCCTCTAAGTCTGTGCATATATTATGCATTCATATCTATGTATACTGTTCAGTTTATTTATCAAAGTACTTAGTGATTTTACTGGCAGTTATTTCAAGTTATCTCGTCATACTGTTGCATTAGTTACTATCAACTTCATTGTATTCATTACTTCATACACACGTCTTGTTAATATCACATTTGAATGTAAATACCTTGTTGTTGTACTTTGAGTTTGTGAATTTTGAAAGTACTACCTAAGCTAATAGTATTGAATGCCAGCTGTCAAAGACAGCCTTATCCTGTAAATACTGTATTTTGTTGCAATTTGTGTTAAAACCTGTCAAATTTGAAAATTGTAGATATTATTCGTTAATAAAACAGTTGTGAAACCATATTGTCCAACAAGCATAAGATATTCAGACCGACAACAAAAATCCGAGCAGATTCCTGCCAAAATTCTCCTCGTAGCGCGCAGGCGGCGGCCCTTTAATCCGTAGGCGGCGCGCACTGCACACACAGGCGGCGGGAAGGTACATCGCTCGCTGATTCAGTGCGCGCCGCCTGCGCGCAGATTTGTCTGAGTCATTGAGTTGTCAGCGATCTCCCTGGTTTCGTGGGCAAACTATATATCATAGATGGTGAACACGGAAGAAGGTCACACTACACACCTGTTAACTCGTTGTCGCGTTAGCTGATTACTCCTCCATAAATTTGGTAGTGTGAAGTTTTTCTCAATTTGTCAGAACAGAACAGACAAGAAGAGGAACGATCATACTGTTGCAAAGCCTTTCGCCGCAAAAATGCAGAGTCGTTTTTGTCGGAAACACTATCTAATTATCGACCCAAAGCTTGGCAAACTCGCAATACTTTTCTAGACAAAGAGAGTTCGAGGTTTTCCCTAGTGGCAATACTTATAAAAGCTGCGATTACCTTGTTTTTTTGTCCAGCAAAGCGTTGAACTGGAGCATATTGATGCCACTTTCGCATAGATTTCGAAACGTTTCAGTTTTTTTAAATCTCGTTCAGCTTTCTCGTGCTCTTTAGGTTGTCTGTGCTACAGTTTAAACGGAAATACTTTATTCTCAATCAAATGAACAGGCTGCAATACCAAAAAAAAAAGGGAACGGTCATTGTTACTAACAAATTGCAGCTGGAATAAAGAAGATTTGAAGCTCAACAATATCAAAATTAAGACTCTACTGCAACTGGCGCCCTTGTTCGAGGTGCTCCAAATTTTCTTCTATTCAATCTGAAGAAAGCTCAAATTTCAAACAAAGAAGACGCAAGTGAACGAACAGCTGAAAACAATTCTCGTTGTAAGCATGAGCGATAGAAAGCACATATCAATGGAAATCCAGCAAGATTGTGATGAAGAAAGGGGAACAAAGACTGTGCAGTCCATTTCGCAACTGAGAATATGAATTTTGCAAGTGAGATTCATAAAAAATTTACCAGTACATAAAGAAAACTACACAGATGTGAACATGAGATCCAATAGATTTAATCACAGAAAAGACATCGCAGTTGTAGTGAAAGACAAGGCAAATCGGACTAATCAACACAAAAATATCCTAGTGGTATGGGTGGTGCAAAAAGCGAATCGGGCCATTCAGCAGCGGTTCTTATTCTCGAACCAATTGATAATAGAGCGCACTTTCGACTTCTTTTTTTCTTCTTTTTCAGACTGATGGTGCTTTGCAATGAAATGCTGAAAAAGGAATAAAAAATTGGGCTTTTGTTGATTCACAATCCAGTACCTTGATGGCTCTGAAAAATTTGTACGATCTGTAGGCTCGCTGGATACGTGTGGCAGCATCGTGCAGCTCGCGATTTGTGAACAGTCGCGACAGATAGAGACGGGCAAAAAGTCCCAGCGATTGATGTAGACCCCATGGCACATCAAGCTCGCTCACTGCCTGAAAAATGCACATTTTTGCACAAGATGGTTTCAAGTCAGCTACAAAACGACTTACAGCATTTGCAACTTTTACCAGTAACGTCTCTCCTGGGTAAAGGCGAATATCCGGAGCTCTAGGATTGTATATACGCCACGCTCCCGCCAGCAATCTTCCATCTCGTAGATCATTTAGCGTTGCAATCTAAAATGGGCAACTTGTTGCTGAGAAGCTGAGCTCGTGCTTCCCTTATCTGGGCAAACTTCGAGTAGAACATTATAGAAACAGCCATGAAAGACTGCACCGCAAAACGCGCAAGTTATTGAACTCACCTTCAAGTTTAGCCGATTTCCGATTTGCTTGCATACGTGAAGAACAAATTGTTCTCCGCTGATGTGATCAACGGCGCCAAGATCGAGTTTGTTCTGACGAGCCAGTGCTAGAGAGACTCGTCTTAGGTTGCATTCCTCATCTGCTCCCTATAAAACAGAAGAATTTACCTTCTCAAGGACTTTTCAAAAATGATTATTTGGTCTTTGTGTTGGGGGCAGGGTTGAGCAAGAGGTCAGGCAGAAGCCCTTCAAAAACGACCCCCCCCCTGTGAAAGCCCTTAAAGACCCTCCGCTTCATCTCCAAGTCCTCAGGGTGTTATATTTTGAAGAAGACCAGCCTTCATTGCAGGTTTCTATTTTTGAAAGTCCGTAGGCCCGCCTTTCTGCGATTGCACAACCACACGCAACACTTGACGGCAAGTTTTAGATCTGGATAGTCCTTTTTTCAGAGCTATAATTTTCACAGGAGTGGAGTGTTTGGCTCCAAATATTTAATATAGCAAGAAGAGGCTTTGCGCTCAACACTCATATTAAAAAAGGGGCTATTTCTGAATTTTGAAGGCAAGTTAAAAGGGTCAGGCGCAACCCCTCAAAAGCTTAGGCGGCCTGACCTTTTGAGGGGTTGCGCTTGACCCCATTAACTTTATTTCCGAAAGAGCTTTTCTATCCAAGTTTTATGTTGTTCGCTAGCTCAACCCTCGAAGATTCCACAGTGAGTGTTTGAGCTTGATTCGAATTGTTTCGGCCTTGTGCTAATCCGAGGAGTCGAAGCACTCAACGTGAAAAACGCGCCGGTTAGAATTTTGGCAGCACTTTTTACTTCACTGTTTGAAAGCGATAGAAGCCCAATTTGTAGCATAGATTTGTAGAGAACATTACTTTGTTATGGGTGTACAAAGCATCACCGTCACTCCTTCACGTGATCGCGATACCCACCGGACTAACGCATTTCTTCTTCACCTTTGCAGTATCTCCCCAACTTGACAGATTCGATTCTCAATTACGACCCCCCTCCTCAGTCTTACTCTCAATACGATCCCCCAGGTCGGACGCGCCTGACCCCATGCTCAACCCTGGTTGGGAGCGCTTCCACAAGATGGGCAATGCAGAATCATTTTGAGAACGCCGTAAACATCAACCGTACCACATGTATTCCCATCAGCTTCCACAGAACTTCCAAAATCGCCTCTTTGTTTGCTCCCGTAATCGCTTCTGCCTTTACCGCTTAAAGCCACAATTGCAAGCTTGTTTACAGAACCACAAGGGAGAACAAACCTCCTACGTCCACCCCTCTGTCGCGAGCAGTTTGCAAGCAAACTTTTACATTGCCAATTTTTCTCAAGCGGTCTCCCGCTGGATCGCGTAGGCGAGAGATAAGGCTGCCAGGCGGACATCCAGTCACCAACTCGATGATTTTACTGCAATTAATATTCATTTCCAAAAAACACGTACAGACAACAGACACTTACCCTAGAATTACTCCGTCGGTAAAATCTGAAAAATCTTTGACCGTATAATTATAGTCATCAGCAAAACCCTGAATGAAAAAGAGAAAAATCAATATATTCATTCTTCTCAAGTGCTTACCTGCTTATAAGTTGGCCTGAAGCCCATTTTCGCAAACGCTTTGTTCAGTGGTGTCCCACTCCCAGACAGAACTTCTCGGCTCAACTCGGCGAAAACATCATCCATACACTGAAGTCAAATCAACACAGTATCGAATGTAGAGTTATTGACTCACCTTGAACGATGAAGATTTTGCAAACATTCTCGGATTGTGCTTGATGATTGAATTTGCTTTTGCTGTTTCCACAAAATAACAAAATAAGCAGGTGTGAAGCAAGAAGTGCGAGTGCAGTGCTTCACGTCCCGCATCTGTTACAATCAACCTAAAAGAAGACAAACAAGATCGTTACTTCAGCAGAGAACAAAGTTTGCGCTTACTTCCCGCTGCCAATAGCATATTTCTTATTCTTCATGATTTTGGGGTCCGAGAATAGGCGCTGCACGATGAAACGGCTGATAACTTGCGCGAACACTTCGCCTTCATTTACTCTGATCTCGGTGTTGTATACTGGAATACAAAGTTCATAGAGGAAAGAAATTTATTGTCACAGGTATAGCTCACCAGTTTCTAATCCAAGATGTAACCAGGCTGGATGAAAAGAAAGGAACAGACGAAGTAGTGTTGTTTGCAGGCCTGAGAGTTGAGAATTGATACACGCGCAAAAACCAACACAGCGAAAAAAACTTACGCAAATCGGAATAAACGCAGCAATTCGCACGCACAGAAAAGACTTTGCTGCTTACAGCGCCTCGGATCAGGAATGGCACTTGTGATGAGTTGAAGAGACGATTTGCACTAAAAAAGACCATGAGTGTATCTCAAAACTTCCTAAACAAAATAACAAAACCTTTCTCGGATGGAATCTCTCTTTTGTTTCTTAAGATAATCAGCATATTTGAAGGGTTTGCTGTTCTCCGTTGTTGAGCTAGCCCTGCGTGTCTTTGACTTCGCAAGAAGGTCTTGCAGCATTTTATTCGCTTCTAAGCAAAACATTATGAACCGACATGCAATGGAATCCTAAGAAAAATCAAAGTGTACCACATACCTTGTTTGGTGCTTCCTATGTCAAACTCGTCATCCTCGTACTGCGAGCGAAGTATCATGGCGCACCAAACCACCATCGCTTCCATCTGACGCTGAGTACGTTCATCCTTCGTCATCAGATAGTTTTCATCAGTAGTTAGCACCATCTATAAGTAGCTTTTTGATGGAATCCAACTTTGTGGATCATAAACCGTACTTCTTTTATGGTGCTGCTAACTTTGGTGGCAGGTAAAAAGTTCGAATCATTTGCAGATTTCGTTACTGCAGCATGCACCCTTATAACTGGCGGTGGATAGCCAAAAGGTGTAAGGCACACTGTAAAAGCCTGCATGAATAAATGTCAATTTATTCTCTGCGACAAAAATCGCTCAATTCAACGATTGAAGACAGACGGAATTCTCAACTATAACGCAATAATTTTCACTCAGATAAATGAATTGTAGAGGGCATAGAATCATTTTTGAACGGAATGAATTAGCGACATTTGGCGCAAATTTTAGACCATCAATTTTGCTATTTGAACTTGGTGATGCATGTAAAAGAGGATGATTGCTCTGCGAAAAGACATTTACAAAGTTAGAAAGATGCAAATGCAAAGAAATACGACAGCGAAGGCAAGAAAGGTGCTCAAAAAACTCATCAAAACGATAGTAGAAAAGTTAGACCTACTAGACTGACTGAATTCGCAACTAAAAAACTGACAATGCCTGCGACTACTTTGACTTTTGAGTCGAATAGTGTGTAAAAGAGTAGATTAATAGAGCTGAGAAACATTATAACCATTAGCATTTTGATTTTGCATAAGCAGAATGGTACAGGAAAAGTGAATCACGAGTAAAAATCACTCACCAATGTTGCCAGCACCTCCTTGGTCGACAGAGAAAGTTGCATCGCTTGGACGTATGGAAGATATATCGGAAAATCTTGGTTCAGGAACGTTGTAAGGGAGCTTTGGAGGATGCATGACCTTCTAAAGGAAATTTTGAGCTAGAAAATGTGTGAGGTTGTTTCGAAAGACTTTACTTGTGCACTAGAGAGCCGCGACGAATCCAATTTCGTGCTTCCTTCCATAAAGGAACGCTCCGTTTTTGCAAGGTCAATCTTTGGTGTTGGGAAAGAACCTTCTTTTTGCCATGTACCTAAAGTGTACTAGAGGTTAAGGTTCAGAAAAATGCCTAAAATAACAAGTTCTTAGGCAAAATCTCACTACTTTTGCTCTGTCGATTCTGCTGCATCTCGCGCAATTTCCGCAATTTAGCTTCACGCTTGCTTTCCGTTGCCTGCGTACCCGGAGAGAAAGCCATCTAGAACTCTATTGTTGTGATCTGCTTCGAAATGCGATAGGAAGGCCTACCTTGACGCTCTCCTGTGCAGCGGAACGAAGTTCTTGACCGTTACAACCGATATTAGCGTACGCGGCGGCAGTCATGTCCTTATCTCTTTTGAATTTTGGAACTCGAAATAAATTCTAAATAAAGAATCCGAAGATATCTAACATCATGATACAAGTGGTACCTCATCTCCAACAGCTGAGGTCGAGTGAGTAGTTTGAGATGCCGATCGTGAGGTGTCACGTGAAAATAGGAATTCTTCTCGAGCGCTTGAGAATCTGAAAACTATGTTCTTACTCACAAAAAGGCATGGAATTCGAGGAAACCGTCAGCAACTCACCGAACGGATTTGCGACGTTCAGCAGCGAATGGATCACCCGACTCATTATTAGCCATTTGGTATATGAAGGACGACTTCCTATGGGAATGAACAATAATAGAACGAATGCAAACCACACTCCGTAAAGCTAAATGGACTGGATGTAAACAACTAAGTAGACACTTTATCAAAAAGCTCGAATTTCTGATGCACAGGCCCCAGTTGAAAAACTGTGATTCGCGCTTGTGAAAGTACAGATGGAGCGCATTTGCCGATGACATCACGGTGGATCAGCAGCTCGATTCTCACTCAGGGATTCCCTCTATGGTATAGTACAAGGTCTGAGTCCTTATGCCCTGCTAAAGAAGGGGGGGGGGACAGTCAACTTGTGAAGAAGCACTTTTGGGGAAGTTTGTATTACTTGTAGTGCTTAGCGTGCCATTTGTGCTGCATTTCTTCACATTTCATGGTTCTGCATCGTATAGCTTATGAAAGAAGGAAATTTAGTGATGGTTTTTTCGTAGCTCAGCTAATAGAATTTACAGAGAACAGTCACTCTAATCGGGTTTCTGCTTGAATTTTCCGGCAACGAGCATTTGCTCCACAACATCCTAGAATTTGAGCTGTGTGGTGGCAAACACTATTTGCAAATTTTTGTGCAGTCGCTCATAAGATACTACGTCGTTAAGTTTTTCTTATCTTTTTAAGTCTTCTTTGAACAACTCTGTAAACTCTGGCAAGTCACATATACGGCGAATATGTTTGAGGAAAAACAAAGCACTATCCATTAAAGTCAGTTTTACTCTTACGAATTCGTTCGGTATTTACAAATGCAATTCCTATCAATGGCATTTCAACCTTTTTCCAAAAAATCTTTTCATTTTTTGGAGTTTTTACGGAGTGGGAGCATCATATTATGAATGCACTTCGCAAGTTTAACTCTTCAATAACGTAATTTGGAAAGTTGCTAGGAATAACTCGAGAAAAAATTCAAAAAATCCAAAAGTTGGTTTTCATCTGCATTGTATGCCCAGTTCTGGCCATAACTGGTCCACTAAACCTGAACTTCAACTTGAAATAATTCCTCAAAATCTCACTTTCAGCTTTCAGCAAATAGATAGTGTTACTGAAAAGGAGGACCTCGAAAACATAAAAATCCCAATTTTGGCCGTGACTGATTCATTGTGATTACTGAACTTCAATTTGGAGTACTTTTTTGAAATCTCAGTTTCAGCATATGCGAGTGCGGGCTGCTTTACTTCCGTGGTTGGCGAGAGAAGAACTCGGTAAGACATTTTTAGCGAAGTTTGTGCACTTAAGCGGCTACGCAATCCCTCTACGCCTGGTTTTGCTACGGTACCAAGTCAATGACCCGTTGAGGTCTATAATTTATAATTTATCATTATTATTATATTATAATTATTATGTATTATATTAGGTTGATTCATAATTAATGCACGTTTTCTATACCTTAATTTCAACCGAGATAGTTCTTTTTCGAAAAGGCATTTTTGGGCGCAATAAAAACTACTGTAACCAACAAATCAGTGGCTATAAAACAGATATTTTTGCGTGACAGTATCTATCACAAGAAAGATTTTCTGGCCTGAAGATTGCCAACAACTTTTTTTCAGAAACCTCCACTTTGAGAGAGCATAATTTATGCTGAAATGAAGTAGGATAAAGCAGTCTTCGCTCTTCGTGTAGCCATGTCTCTTGAGCAGTAATGCCAAGTTTGGGTTCAACGGAAAATTTTTGAAAGAAAATATCGCGAAAAAGTCGAAAGTACTCACTTTTTTCTGGCACCTCGGCGAGTTCAGAAATCGGTCATTTTTGAAACTATTTCAGTTTTCTCCGCTGGAAAGTGAGCAAACCCTAGCGCTTTTCTACCATCAAATTAACTAGGTCTACCCTTGCTGGATAGTGCAAAAGACCTGCAATCGCCTTTTGCTTCAAAGTTTTATATGACACGGAAGGGCCGTGACAATCATTAAAGTTCGCAATTGAATTTCTCGGCTACGCTCCTTTACCAGTTGCCACCTGCTAGTTCGCAAAAAATTTCTAAAAATGGATAAATGCGATGGATAGTTTTTCCTTTCAAATGTACTGTCACTTTGTATCACCATGCCATTTTTGAAGATGAACGAATCGGTAGAAAGGGGCACGCAGTTGATATAAGATGTAAGTCTGATTCCTGCGGCCGATGCTCATGTGGGGAGCGCACGCGAGCCACCAGTAAATAAGTATCGCGGAATCGCGATCTGTATTTTGGTCGCAAGTCATCAGAAGACATGAAAAGAAGGCGCAGCTGCGCAACTCGCAGCTGCGCGAAGACAGCTGAAAAGTTAACATGTGTGCGGTTGGGTGGCGGACTTTATGAACGATAGCGCGCGCTTAGGCAGGTGTGTGTCAATAAGGTGCGCACCGTTAGCGCCGCCTATCGTAAGATGGACGAATTCTTTGCAGTACAGCTCTAGCACTGGTTCATGGCCATGTTTCCTAGTCAAGTGAAAGTAAGTTCTGATAGTGAGCTATAAGCTTGTTGCAAGCTGGGGTGAAGCTTGACTATTTACAGAATTATGTTTTGCTTTCTTGTTTATTTTTTTGCCACTCATGAACAGCTAATGTGTTGATTGTGAAACTCAAGAGATTTGCTGATTTACCTATGAATGACCGAGCGACTCCTGGACATTTAACTTTGAAGTGTGGAATCAATCTAGAACACCTAAGGCATGATTGTCTTAGTGACCTCACATCTTACGACTAGTCCACACGCAATTTCTATTGAGTTACAGATCAATTTAGACTGAGGCTAGCAGTTTTTGAATGCAAACAAAAGAATTTTGTGAAGCGATTCGAAAAGATATAAGTGCAGCGTGATTTTTCTTTTTTTGAATCTGAAGAAGTTTGTGTGATATGACCGCATATTTGAAAAACGAGTGATATCGTTTTGCTTGAAACAAAATGCCTAATGGTTGTTTTAAATTCATGTCGCAACGAAATCCGTTTTTAGCTATGATTAGGGTTTTAAAACTTACTTTTCCGTTAAAAGAGAAATTGTGCTGGTCATTTCAGCAGTAATAATAATATTTCCCGATAAGCTGACTTCTTTTTGAACTAAACTTGAGAGTACACAATAAATAATAATCAATATAGTAACAGATGTGAATGAAGAGAAACACTTTTCCAAACATGAAAGAATTTCCCCATACTTACAATGAAAAATCAGTTTGGACAAACCTACTAGGAACAAATAACTGAAATACATTGAAAAGGGCTTGCGAACTAATTTATGATGAAAAAAGACCTGAAAACTGATTTTCAATTTAATTGAAGTTTTGTAATCTTCTGTTATCCAAATTGCAACCAACTGAAGAAGCATGAACGAAATATTAGAGAGTTTTCCAATGGCTGCAACGCATTTCTACGCTAATTAGCAAGGGGCGGAGCGATCACCGCACCGCGTACAGTACCCAGCTGGCGGCTGGCACATGCTATCGTTCATAAAGTCATACACCCGTGCGGTTGGAGGGCCGGCTTTGTTAACTTCACTTCCATCCAGACAGCGACCGCGACTCGCCTCGTTTGAAGTATCGTCTTCCCTTATCGCCAATTAATCTCATCGTCACATATTTTCGCCTCATTTATTTGTACTGTGGTATTCGACGCAATAAATCGTAAAGAAGTCGTGGTCAAGACAACGGTAAGTGGTCAAAGAGCTAACACAATAAGGTCTATACTTCAAAGTGTCGCGATCGGGCTAGGCTGGCTGACGGCAGCATGATGGAGCCAAAACTGACACAAGACCATCTCGTGTTGTGCTCGAAACGACGAACAGGCTGCTCATGATATACTTGGATTTTGGAGCATGCATCGTAGAGCAATAGCAATACGGAAAGTGGATATTACTACACGGGAGAAAAACAGGCGGACAGAACTCTGGGGAAAGATCTGACGAAGAGTGAAGTGGCGTGCTACATTCTCTAACAGTAAGACGTTTGTTCTCGGAGTGAAGACAGGCAGATTTTTATTCACATCCTAAAAACTAGGAGACAGTAGGCTATGCAAGTCCTCATCACTTTCCAGACTAACGATTTCTATGCACAACATCAACAATGAGAAATTCTGCCGCCAGATTTGACCTCAGCCCCCGCAGTTCCAGTACTATCTATACATTTATACATGTGCTATCACAAACCGAAACTTTAGCAGTTTCTACCAATAGCTGAGCACCATGGCTGATTACACCTAGCACAAAATCTTCATACAATCATACTGTAATCAAATCACAACAAATATATCAGGGCACAACACTTGGATCACATAAAAATTGCTCACAGCCTCGAAGAACCTATTTTTCGGAAGTATCTGTTAGAACCTGCATTATGCATCTTCTTGACAAAAATGAACCAGTAATCGATTGGGGGCTGAACAAGAGAAGGCACTGACTTAGCAGCAGAAACGAGGCTAAACCTCACAGAAGTGCAAAATAAGTGAGCAACTTCAAGTCATTTTTGAGGATTGCATGATGAAGGCTTTGAAAGAAGAAATAGACATTGGGCGATGACCGTTAGCTACACAAAATGCGAATACCACTTCTTCTGCGGACGGTTGAAGTGATTCTGAAAATGTGAAGGAATCGATAAATATTGTAAGGACGACCACTTTGAGCACTATGTTTCATCAATACGCACTTACCTTATCGATGTACTGACACAAGCAGAGCTGCTTCGGGCAGTGTTTGGGAGTATAATCACTCACGCCCAACGCGGGTCTATTGGGGAATACGAGGCGATACTGGAAAGAGTTCCATGCAATCATGCAGAAAAAATTACTGATATCTCTTCGGAAATGGAAATGTCCACACTTGAACGAATAATTTCTATTCGTTTGATTTCGATTAGAACGTACGATGCTACCTGCCAAACAGTCACTCCACAGTTGCTACTACACCCGCTGTGCGTCTCTGACCTATGGCACATACGGCTTACATGTCTGCAACATGCAACATGTTGGCAACATGCAACGGCATGATATCGAGAAGTTTTGGCCGTAAGGCATGACCACAAGTTGTTGCATTTGGTCGACATGTTAGCTGTGCGTGCCGCAGGGCAGAGACGCAGAGCAGGGGTAGCAGCAGTTGTGGAGGGGATGATAGTAAGAATACAAACCCTCGCAGAATCCTTCACGTAGTCTTGGCTGTACTTGAGGATGAGATGTCGAGCTTTTTCTTCAATCTAAAAAACAATTTGATTTAAGAAATCTGTAGCTTGAAGTCGATAACAGCAAGTGAGAAAATCAGAAACTCAACTTCTACCTCTCGAAGAATTTAGTTTGTGCTTCAGTTGAAAATACCGTATGCACAACTCTTCTCAATATTAAAAGAGCTTTTCAAACTAAACTTATGAGTGAAGAAAGAAAACACAAACACAGCTACCTCCTTCTTAGTCATCTCTTTTGCGGGTGCTGTATGTGCTCCACCACCAAACAAAACAGCTCCTCCACTAGCTTCGATTCGAATCAGTCTTTCGATATCCGGAAGGCAATCCTCTATTCGAAACCACATCATGTGAATCTAAAAGTGATTTTGAGTCTGACTGCAGACCCCACTTTGAACGATTGCTATCAACACAGCGATGTCAAGTCAAGAATACAGCGGGATAAAATGCGAAATAACAATAACTGAACAAAATACTCACAACAACTTTGTGACAGCTAAGCTGTCCTTTATCCTCGACACCAGCTATCATATTACTTTTTATTAGTACCTTATTTGCAGACTGTACGCAATGTCGAAGACCGATACGAATCTAAAACTAGAACGTTGCTACTTGACTTTTCAAGCACATTTTCAGTATAAAAAACATTTTGATAGGTAAACAGATTCGGCGATGCACTTTTGACTTTCCGATTTTCTTTGTACAACAAAGGCAATTACAAACAATAGTCTTTAACTCAACGCGTTAACTGGATTATACTGGATGCTCACAAAAGTTCGATTGGAATATTTTGATAGTCTTTTCACACTTTACCAATCAAAAAACCTAAATTACGAATTTTGAATCGCATGACGGTATGTTATATCGAATAGTGCATCTGACGGTCAACACAGTGTCCTTGCGGTGACCACATTTGCAACCAATGTTTGCGCGTAAAGCATTTGCCAGAGTTCGCAAACTTTTGAGATATGCGCTCCATGGCAACCACAGGTTACCGGCGTTTCAGGCATAGAATTCCCTCACGCGCAAATGTTATCGGCAACGTCCGTAAGGTAGGTGCCAAAGGTAGGTGCCAGAGTAAGCGAATATTTTATTCAAGTTGGGGTCCCGCGCAGAATTGACGTCACTTGGATTGACGCCAGCATGGTGAGAGATCAATTCTGCACCCCAACCTGAACAAAATATCGCTTACTCTGGCAGCTACCTAACGCAGGGACACCACAGGGCCATACTTATTTGGTTCAGATGGTTTATTTGATTCACCCTTTCGCTGTTGGTCAGCTGATTTGACCAATAGCGAATGGGTTAGACCAATCGAACAAGATTAGTATGGGCGCTCCACCTCACATCTACTACCCTATCCATGTCATGCAGAAAAGAATGTTGATCACCTGTTTCCGAATGACGGCACAAGCAATGATGCCAGCGAACAACATCACGCACCAGAAAAGGCAGAACGACATCACAAGAATTCCACCTTCAGAGTTAGCGAAAAGGACAATAAGTAGTATAACAATAGAAAGAGTCATCCAGAATGCGACTAGCCGAGAGTACAGAGATGAAAAACTAAAGAAAAAAAATACTCCGCAAGAATTTGCCTTGGAATATGAGATTTTTAACTACCCAACGTGACCGTAGTTTGACCTCGTTTCTTCCGCAGTCCTACCGTAGCTTCACCAGATAGTTGTCACTGTGCTAATAGATGAAATTTCTTATCAGTCCGAGAACGAGGTTTTAGCAGAATTAACTATTTTCATATTTTTTGGTCAACTAATGCGGATTAGCACATAAGCTTCAAATAGTAAGTGAAGCGTAGGTAGCAAGATTAGAGACCCAAAATAGACATTCGCAAACTTATTCTAAAAGCATGCGGTGTAGTAATAACGCGCTCCGGAAGCGATACCTGCTCAATCGCATTTTTGTACCAAAGGTCAAACTACGGTCGCTCCTACACGATAATTATGAACTGGAAAGTGAACGCTCTCGCGTTCGTTGTGTTACGATCACGTTATTTCATGGCAGACTGAAATAACTAACAAAATCGCCCATCAATCTCAACTTTCTGAGGCTACTAAATGGGCTACTACGGTGCATTAAAGCATCTCGCGAGCAAGAAAGATTTCAAATAGAGATACCTACCTTTTCTAACAAGGTAAGGATGAAGAAACTGTATTAGAAATCTTCACGAAGCAAAAAGGAGCGGATGTTTACCTTCTGAATCGGTAATCATTAGTGATAAGTTCCATGGCCGTCACGTAGTCCTCCGCTGACATCTAGACTAAGAATAAGAAAGGACTTAAAGACTCAAAAAATAGATACTGACCGTCAGACCTTCGGCAGCCAAGATGGATGGAACTGAATATGGATCATAGCGAGGAGGAATGACCCAAGAACACATAGTATTCTCAGGATATATCGTGGCAACAATTTTGCTGTTCACTAAAAAAGTAAACATTGAGTAATCCAGTTGTGTTAGATAGTAGATGCATGTGACCTAAATGTATTCCTCCAGGTGTGAGGATTCCTCGAATAGGGTCTACGTCCCTTGTCATGATGACAGAGCGCTTGTCATGATATTCTTGTGAAGCGTCAACCACGGGAGCCTGACCAAGAGAAGACGGATCTGAATGAGACGTTGAAGCTGATATGAGTTAACAGTTTCAAACAGCCTTCAACAAGGAGTAGCTTGGCTCTCGTTTATGAGCCGATGTGGTAAGAATAAGACGGAAAGAGACGGAAGTCTCAACACGGTTTGCGGAACTTCACCTGCGATTACTTCCTTAGTAGGCAGAGGAGTGACAACCGCCCTTTCGTTATCTTCCAGCTCCAGCCTCTCCTCCGTGGCAACGCTGTTCCGACCATCATATGGCTCCACACTTCCGGCGCGAGCTACGGGATCCGCTGGCGGTCCAGCAATTGGTGAAGTCATGGAAATTTCGTCGAAACCAACCCAACTTGCTGGTCTGCCATTCGCATGTTCCGCTGAGAGCGGATCCATAGCTTTGAGGAAGCTTAAGGAAATACGCTGTAGTGAGACAGGAAAATTACCATTAGAACGAGATACAACAAGACAAGTGGTCATTTTCTGCTATTTCATCGGCCAATGCCGAGCAATCTCGTCAGCCCTCGAAGCGGGTAAACAAGACGGGCAAAAGTAAATATTCGGAAAAGGAAATCGTAGTGCTTCCGCCATTACAGGTAGTTCGAGTCAGCAACTCAACATGATGCTACCTGCTAGAGAAGACCGAAGCAAGGCACTGAGGACCGGTCGATATGTGTAAAGACAGTCCTATAGCAATAAAAAAACTAGTGCAAACAGTAGTTGTTACAGTTATCACCGAATAACATCTGCGAATGGTTCGAATAACATGGAAAAAAGACCGAAAAGGACGCTTTGCATCCAGCATGCAGTGAGAAATGAAACTACTTTACATTAAAAGAATATCGTAACATGCCCACACGCCGCTCGCACATCATAAGGTCGCGCACGATCGATTGCGCTCCACATTTCTGGACTGACACCTGGACGAAGAAGGTGCAGATTATTGGACACCTTCGAAATTCAATGGTTCATGCAGTTATCGTACGATGCTAGTATTACCAGTGCTCGCGGAACGATTGCTAGGTGCTGCTCAAAGGTCCAAAGCGAAGTGCAAACTTGAGGCGGAAGTGTTCGGCAATAGAAATCTTTAAGCAAAAGAGTCTGCCGCAATTTTCCACACGCCCTACCGGACGACTACTTACATATGTATAAAATTGCAGCCTTATGGTGAGCAGATCGAAGACGGCTGAAAGGTGGAGTTTCCCAGCGGTCACTAAAAAACCCATAACTTGTCAAGACACCTTTCCCAATTACCAGAGAAAGTGCGGATTAGCTATACATCTCTTGGTTGTTCGGTTTGTTTATACTTCATGGACTCCTAAAGTATTCAGAACACCAAGTTCTTGATTTCAGTGTGTCTGAACGCTAAACTGGCGGTAGTCTGACAGAGTGCATCCCCCAAAATTGTTCCCACGTGAATCATCAACTTTTCTGTCTTTCGATCATTTTAACTTGTCAACTTCGAATGAGCGTCTCAAATTTGCTGGACTTAACGTGTTAAAACGATCGAAAGGCAGCCACGTACAGTCATGTAGATTTTCCGCTTAATATGGTGTGCTTGCACTAAAGGTGAAATGCGGTAAAATTTGCGCGCAAACAAATAGCTGCGCCTGTGACGCCGGCCAATTGCGCGCGCAATAGGCTAGCATTAGTGGCGTGGCTAATTCTTTACGCGTAAATTTTACCGCATTTCACCTTCACTGTAAGCACACTATATTAAGCAGAAAATCTACTTTACTGTAGATGGTTCATATGGGCATTCTACGTTGGCGGTGTAGCAGAGTCTTACACTATGGTATGTGATAAAGAACTACATATCACCGAAGAAGAAGGTCCTGATTACCTTTTCTACATGCAAGAGATGCGCACTTGTTGCAGATGTCCGATGGGATCCTCCTTTTCGTCAACATGTAGTCCTCCACCCACAGTATGGCAGAATCACTTCAAGGTATATAATCAGCAACGTAAAATCCAAATCTCTAAAGCCTCGGAAATCAAAACTTCAAACTCTGCTCCCGCCCTGCGGAGATGTTGACGCTTCCGGCTTCGCATTACTGAGACCATGAGGAATCCGAAAAAAAAACGAGTTCGGCTTGTAGTTTCTCCCTATCTCGAAGCCCGTGTTGTATATATGTTCACCTTGATCACACAAGGGACACGTAACAGTCAATTTTGACATTGTCTTAAAGTTGGTCAGACGTTGAAATGCTGATTTTTAGCTGCTCAAGGGGCTAGCCACAATTTTCGAAACTTAACAGGAAGCTTCTATTTTCGCAAGCTTACAGTGTCTTAGAAGGCAACGATAAGTGATAGAGGCTTGTTTGATTCTTACAGAATGAATAAAATTGTCTCAAGCATTTATTAATGTGGACCACAGTCACGCTTGTTTCTAGAACTTATGAAAACGGCTGCTGGAATTTCCGAATCTTTGCCGAAGCAGCGTTTGTTTCAATTTTTAGCGGTGCAGGCAAAATGGAAAATCATGGCTTCGTGCTATTCTCTTTTTTTTCGATCCCTGTTAGTGGAGGTTATTCGGATCTGACTGCTGTCCGAGCATGAAATATACAGCAAAATGTTCTCGCAGCTTGACTGCATTGTTCCCTGTTGATACGATTGCTTTATCTGAAAAAGGGACCAAAAGTCGCTACTGATAGGAGTTAATGAGTTCCTTCAAGTGTCGCACATGCTTCGCTACACTTGGGTATTGCTTATATTCATAGCTGGACTGGAGCCAGGTACTTTTTAGAAATCATTTCTGTTATTATTCTACTATTCATTTCTGTCTATTAATCATATGGGACAAAACAATCAACAGAAATCAGAAAATAATATAGTCACCTAATCTGATGTACATCAGTTCATAAGCAAGTTTCGCTATATGCTGGATGTGGCTATGGTCGTCACCATCTGGCTTACCAAACCACTAAACGTGGTTGAACCTTAAATGAGAAAATTTACTTTTAACTTTGCTCTTGGCATCGTCAGTCAGCTCCCTATCTCCACCTAGTGCTAGACATTCTAGTAAAGCGACCGTCAATATTGAGCTCAAACATCCGAAGCATGATTCTATTCCCCTCTGTTATATCGATTGCGCGTCCTGTGAGATAACAAAATTTTGAGACGCAGACTGCAAAATCCCATGTGAAACAGGTTAAACACCACATCAAATTCCTGCTCAATGGAATTGTTTCGCACCCTCTCAAGAGAAAGTGAAATAACATTTGATCGAGAGGATTACTTGTGCCTGTGTGAAGCACCTTGGTTCATTGGCGCGGAATCCAAATACTTGCATGAGAGTTTATTTTTCCAGCGCTGTCGGATACCTGTCAAGAATGTAAGTTCGCTGTCGACCTTCTACATGATGCTTGGGGAGAGAAGACAACAGAGGAGTGCGTCGGTGAGAGATTTTACAAATGAATATTTTCTGCCAAATTCCGTACTCTACGCTAGGGCAGATTTTTTTTTCGGCCTATTTTTTGTCTTATCCAGTGCTTATGAAGGTGCTGACTAAATAAGGATTGAAAAGCGTAATACGTCAGAAATCGAGATCATTGTTTCGGAAACCCAGATAGCTGCCACCCAGTCAGGGCTCGGCGCAGCTCGCGCCAGGTCAAGCTGGATGTCGTTTTTGGGACAAATAGCAAAGGGATATCGTCTTTTTGGCGAAAGACACGTAAATTTTGACTTTTTCAGTCGTTTAAGGTTTTTTTCAACGTTTAGGGTGTAGGATCCAAGGGGACTTCGTAAGAAGTTTTCAAGATGGCTATGCGGATTTTTGAAATTTCTCTGGCGCCAGCTCGTACCAAGCCCTGGCCCCAGATCAGCTTACGGAGGACAAGCATAAACGGAACGAAAGCAATTTCAGGAGATCTCGCCATTTTTATCTGCCGTACATTCAGAATAGAAGACAACTTCATCTGCAAAGGAATTGTGGGTGATTTTTCGGTAAGTTTGACCCACCCATGTGCAAATGCAAAGCGCATTTGCTTTTACACAATTAGTATCATATATATATATTTTAGGATGAGTTTATGTATGTGTTGGGACAGATAATCGTCGAGCCGCATCAGATATGTGGGCTGCTGTTGGACGGTAGATTATTTGAAAACTATGTTGCTTATTTCTCTTTACTCCTGATCCTCAGTTTTTGCTTATCAGATTGTGGGAAGTTCATAGATCCGTTCAATTCCACTTGGAGTATTCCTATTCCGAACGGGCAGCCAGCTCCCGTAGATAAGCAGCCTGTGCCGGTAAATAAAAAGCATTTTTCTTCATGAAACGGAGATATGGTTGCTTTCCAGGGCGGCAAGCCCGTTTTGAAAGTCTTGCATTTGACTGACATCCATCTGGACATGCTGTACACTCCGGGACTGGAAGCGAAATGTGCAGAACCTCAGTGTTGCAGACCACAGCAAGATCCTGATGTGAGACTGAAAAAATACATGATCAAACCAATGCTAATCAGCGGCTGCTGTCAAGTATAATATCTGATTTGTAGGAAGTGTCGGTTGCAGCCGGTGTGAAGGAAGCAGCAGGTCAGTGGGGTACAGTTGGAAACTGCGATGCGCCCTATTGGCTACTCACAAACATGCTCGCATTTATTCAAAAGAACCATAAAGATGTGAGACCTGCTTATCAACTCAGATCTCTCCCATACAGTAATCTCCTAGCTGGACTACGTCATGGTCTCCGGCGATCTAACATCTCATGCTGACTGGGACTACACACGTCAATCGCACGTGGCCATAGTCAAAAACATTTCGGACACAATCAGATCGTAAGCACTTAAATTCAGACGGCAAAATGGATGTTTGTCAGATTTTGATTATAATAGTAGTAGATCCTTCAAGTGCACCGTAACTCAAATCCTCCTTTCCAATCCTTGCTAGATCCTGAAAATGAGCTGCAAAAGCCTCGATAAAACTAAATTATTGTGAAGAGTAGGCTGGGATTTTGAAATGCGTTTTCAAAATTTAGCGCATGAGTAGGAGGGTGGAGTTGGGGCTACGGTGTAATTGGGGACTTTACTACCTACCAACTAAAACCACAAAAATCTCACATCTGCAATCTGACAGACAGCCAAGCCCAAGAAGAGGGTGAATGCAAAAGGTGTTATGCTGCATTTGAATGATTTAAATATCTAGCCGCATTTACGAAAATTTACCACCGTTCAGTATGCGACACACTTGGGGCCCTCACCGTTTTTTCAATTCTCATTTTTTTTATCGATGTATGGGTGCGGTTGTGATGACTTGTGTGTGTGTGTGCGTGCCATCTTTTCAAAATAAACCAATCGTAAACAGAATACAATTAATAGTGGAGGAAAAATAATCGATCAGTACGAAGTGGTTTCCAGTCAACGATTAAGCAAAGAGAGTTGTGCGAATTCGTTTTATCATTGTAGTGACACTGCCACAAAAAAGATTTTTAAACCTGGTCAGCTGTATGGCATCCTTACCCTGAAGTGAACCATCAAATTGATCTATTAGCAAGAGATTAGTTAACAACATTTGTGTGCATCATCGGATCTCATCGATGGTAAAAATTTGTAAATTTCTTGTATTTTTCTTGCATTTGCCAAAATTCGCCACGCAACAATCGTTTCCGTCATGTTGGCAAATTCCAAGCGAGAAGGATGCTATATACGCTAATGTGTGGAATTTTTTTTCTGTCTGGTTTAGACGCACCATACTTTGAGCGTAAAATTTGCCATAGCTCTACAACGCAAACTTCTAGCGCGTTTAGTATCTGGTTGGTCAACATTTTCCAACTAGTGAAAATAGGGAACGAGTCTTGTGTGCCCTTGAATCAGAACTTTTAGATATTTTCCCAATATTCCATGCTACTTCGCTGTAGGAAATCATGAAGGAGTGCCCATCGACAAGTGAGTTGTTTTCCTTTCTGGCTGTCTGTAAATAAGATTCGTCCCACTGTTTTACTTTAATATGAAAATCCCTCCAGTTTCGCACCTCATTTCACTCCGAAACAATTTCATATGGATTGGCTTTACGATGCTATGGCAGAAGCTTGGAACGGGTGGATTCCCCAAGATCAAGTTAAAACAGTCCAGTAGTGAGTGAGAAGCTATGTAGACTTAATAGCGCATAATGAAAATTTTATTTTTTAGCATGGGATGCTATATGAAGAAGATTTACCCTGGATTACGACTTATTTCAATCAACAACGCACTTGGTGGAGACTCAGTAAACTTGTAATTTTTCTGCATTCGCTTCTTGTTTCCTAAGTGCACGATTGCCTTCAGCTTCCTATACGTGAACCAGACAGATCCAGACGGGACTCTAACATGGCTTATCCAGCAACTGCAAGCTGCCGAAAATGCTGGCGATGTTGTCAGTTCTAGCTCGATCACGGATGTACCGCTAAGCTCAAGTTAACATTTAGGTACATATAGTTGCCCACATCCCTGGCGGGAACGGTGAAGCTTTGGAAGGCTGGGCTTTGAACTATTACAAAGTCGTCAATAGGTTTGGAGTGCCTTCACCTTCTGGACCAATAATTTCTACCTCCTTCAGGTTCCAAAACACGATAGTCGGTCAGTTCTTTGGTCACACCCATTCGGAGGAGTTCTACATGACCTATGAGGACCCAGAATCTGCTTCCTCGCGTCCAACGAGTGTCGTCTATTCTGCGCCGTCACTCACTACCTATTCGGAATATTTTCCAGCCTATCGTGTTTACAAAATCGACGGTGCCTATAAAGGATCAAGCTATGTAGGTGCTATGTCGGAAGGAATTGATTATGAGGGAGCCAGTGCTAATCTCTGGCTATCTAGCAAGTCATCGATTTCGAAGAGTGGTATTTCAATTTGACTGAAGCCAACAAAAATCCGCAAAATCCACAGTGGAAGCAGCTTTATGCCAGCGTCAATCAGGAATACGGTTCGTTCGAACTCTAATAGCTTCTACAGCAAAATATGGTGCATTGCGCACGGCCACAAAGCGCACACTTTGAAGCGGCTGCGTTTGTGAAAGCAATTATTATGCTTGTCTTCGCACTAAATTTTTTCTGAGCAGGTTTGATGAAGGAAGCTGGGAAAGAAACATCAAAATAGAAGATTCATACTATAATATATATACTGGAGGACGGCTAAGTCATTCAGTGTGGAAGTGAAGTTGGCTGCGCAACCGTGCCATAGTATCTTCAAAACCTGTTAAAGTCTACTTATGGCGCTACACATGATGGGGGGAGGGGGAATTAGCCTTCTTTCCTAAACCTATAATCTGTTTCGACTGGGATCAGTTGTGAAGGTGCATGTGATGCCGTGGAACGCCACTTGCCTCTGTGAACAAGCACTGTACTTGACTGGAATCAGTTTAGTGTATAGTCTGAGTTGCACGCACTAACCTGTATGCACATCGTTAGCTGGCGCCGCGTAAACTTCAGGGTTGAGTTGCACAGACTGATCATATATTGCAACTATTAGGTTTGTCCCGAAAGTTTTGTCGGTTTATTTCATCGCTTACCAAACCTCACAGAACACCAATCCATGGACGACCTAGGTGTCATTCTATTCATTTTTGTATCCTCTTTCTTATAGCTATATTTGTTCCCTGGTCTACCACGTCTTTACGATGTTATCGCCATGGCTTTTTGAGCACCTCAGCAGTAGCGCCAAAAATTTCCTGAATTTTCAAAATTTTTATCTTGATATTTTCGATGAGCGCTGGTGACTGTTATGTAGGGCAAACCTTTGGCTACATTGTTCCTATTTTAGATTACGTGGGCCACGTTTATAATGTCCGTAATAATTATTTATTTGAGAAAAACCGCGGCTTTTTGAACACGTTTTATCACGTAAAATTACCGAAAATTCAAAAAGCTGATTTTTGAAGCAGATCAAACTTGGTTATGTTGCATAAATAATGTTTAATAACAATCAAGTTTGAATTCGCAAAAATTCAAAAGCTTTCATGCTTTTGCTTCAATTACGCGTTTCATGACTTTGCTAAAAACCAAGGCCTCCGGAGAAATGATTTTTTGAAGTTAAAATCAGTAGATTAGGGGAATCTAAAAATATGAACTTGTAGCCTGAGAGTTGCTCTATTTGACCCATACTTAGTCTTTTTCGAAAGTTTGTAATGAAATTTTTGAAAATTAGCTCAACTTTGAGCAGGTAAAATTGAAATTGACAGATGGAAAATTTTGGCAATTATCAAAAAAAGCATACAAGGTTATGGTATGAAAGTGTCTCCTTAAGAAAGAGAAGGAGAAGCTGCATCGAATGCATGTTGAAACTCACTCTCTTCACTGTGCGTGGTTTCACAGTGGTTTGAATAAACCGACAAAACTTTCGGGACAACCTAATATAGTGAGAAAGTCTAAACTAACATTTTATACAGCCAATGCGGCACTCCATACCTTCGCCTCTAGAAAATGCATTCATTTACTGCTTGTTCTTTGCATTTTCCTCACGCTGAATTCTCACAGCCATGTTAAGTATGGCTGCAGCCTTATCGCGCGAAGATGCGCAACAATTTCATGATAATCTGCGTGCATCCAATTTTATACCTTATTCCTATGAAGGGCTCAAGTCACAAGCGCCTTCGGAGTGGAACAACATGATCGAACGGATGAAAACCGACGACGGGCTTTTCGAAAAATACAGAGAGTATGATTTGATTTTTCCTTGAAGTAATAAACTGAAAAGCAAAGAATCATTCAGAAATTACTATCGTCGCTCGAAATTTGACGGCATTGGTGAATGCGATGAGCGATGCAAGAAGGGTTGGCTGTGCAGCGCTCGACAAATGCACCACTCAAAAAAGCTTTGTGCTGATCTCGGATGTGCGAGTTGTTGCATTAGCTGAGCACTTGTAAACGCAAATCATGGTTATTTAGCTTTTGAGGAAAGACAAGGTCGTAACAGCTACAGACGAAAGCGACCAGTACCTGTCCGAATAGGTAACGAGGAAATCCGACAACTCGTTCTGTCCTGGAAGAGTCGTGCGAATGCAAATTGTCCATTATAGATTCGTTGACAAGCTTGTTATCGTTGAATACTCATCTGAGGAGACAGCAATAAAGTGTTATAAATAACCGCTGGCCATTGCAGAATTCGCTGAAAGTAATGTTAGTAAAGTCTGAGTAGCTACACCTCTCTGCCTCGTTTCCACTGCACTCAGACAATCGATCGGACCCCTCCGCCGGACCCTCGGAAACTGCCAGGGTCGCGCCGGACCCAGTTGACCAATGAGAGAAGGGCAAATGGGCGGTCCATCGCGGTGGCATCACTGGCAGACAAATGGGAGGCTTCTCCGGCCCTGCTGCAAAGGTCCGCCATTTCTCCGGCGCGACTCTGCCAGATTTGACGGACTCCGCGCCGCAGAGGTCTGCGCGGCGCGTGTCCGCCAAATTTGGAAGACACGCGCCGGAGAAAATCGGAGGGGTCCGGAGCAGAAATGGGAGGTATCCGGAGCAGAAAATGGGAGGTATCCGGAGCAGAAAATGGGAGGTATCCGGAGCAGAAAATGGGAGGTATCCGGAGCAGAAATGGGAGGGCTCCGGAGCAGAAAATGGGAGGTATCCGGAGCAGAAAATGGGAGGTATCCGGAGCAGAAGATGGGAGGTCTCCGGAGCAGAAAATGGGAGGTATCCGGAGCAGAAATGGGAGGTATCCGGAGCAGGCTGCGTATCGATTTGGCGCGTAGCAAGCAAACGTCTAACTCCACGGTGATGAGTCCTCTGTTTACGCTCTTTGTCCGTATTTTAGTCGCCGTTTCTTTGATTTTGTTGTTTTTGCGCGTTTCTTTACCGTTTTTTCCTTTTCCTCTTCGCTCTTCGTCGCGTTGGCGTTTATGTTGCTGTAAGTTCCTCGTTTTCAGGTTTATGTTTGAAATTTTCGTGCGGTTGCACTCAATCACCTTCAGTGTTTGGCTCTTTCCGACTTGCTGAGACATCGTAGACTATTGATGGAGTGGTTTTTGTGATTAATTCTGGATTTTCGAAACAATGAGGTTAGTTGCGCGCTATCTAGTGTTGTTGTGATGAAAGTATCGTCTAAATAATCCGTTTATTGCTATAGTGTGGACCCCGGCCAGGTTCCCATAGGTACCTCCGCGGCGCGCCCGCAGCGCATGCCTTCAGTGCGCTTTTCGTTTCGGCTCTGAAGGGATTTCTTTCAATTTCCTCTTTCAAGTGTGTTTGTTCTCTTCTGTAATCTCTACTTTAGATGTAAACGACACACGTCAACTGCTGGTGATGGATTTTTATGAGTCTTGACAGTCTTGCAAGCATTTGTTTCGAAAATCTTGTTTTTTTCTCAATAGTGAAGATTTCGGTGTAGTTCAGAGACATCTCTCCAAAGGTTGTTCAGAATAAGTGTATATGCAGTTGATTTTGTGGAGTGTAGATGCTTCTAGCCTTTTGTTACACCATCAGAGCTTTGCAATCGTGCTCTTGAGCTCAAACTTTCTGGGTTTTTTTATGACCAGAAGGAAGACTTTTCAGAATTGTTCTTCGACTTTTCCTGTTACTTCTATCATCCATCGCTGGTAGTGTCATACACTACTAGCGATGGATAATAGAAGATTCCAGTTATCTATGAGATTGACTGGAATCTGAGCGCTAGTAGTAGAAGTTGTGAAGGTTCTCCTATTGCCTTGGCTTTTCTCGTGTTCGGATTAGAGGCCTCCACATCTCATTTCACTCCTGTTTTCGGTTATAATGCTTTTTTGTTCGTAAGTGAAATGAGAAGCGTTCAAGTCGGGCGCGCGTTGCGTGTGCGCCGCGCTAGTACCTATGGGAAGCTGGCCGGGGTCCACACTATCTCTCTCGTACGTATGCTAACCAAGTCGATCGACTTTTCATCAGACGTTGCAGATCCTCACTATATCGTTTCTGGCTTGAAAGATAGGACAAGGCAAGAGATATGTTGACAAAAGTCTTGGAGGCAACTCCAAACGATGTTGAAGTTTTGTGACTGTTACTGTTGCTTAGTCACATCACATTGCTTCCAGTATTGCTTAGCGAGATTAGGACTGACTGATAAGGCTAGGTAAGCATGTAAATGTGAAATGTTTGAGTCACATAGCTTCTTCTTTACTGTTTATGTGACTTTCAATTACAATTTGCAGAATCGCTTTTGAACGAGCGTTGGAATTGCAAAATGACAATGTTTGTGCTCTCTCAGCACTTGCCATTTTGGATTACAATACGCATACTGTCGAGGGAGCCCAAAGTGCAGTGGCTTGTCTAGGCCAAGCGTATAGTCTGGAGCCGGAGAATCCGGTTGTCTTGGTCCATCTTGCCAACCACTTCTTCTTCAAAGGAGTCAGTGCAGAAATTCTTTGAATTAATTACGAATTATCTATAAAAGGGACCTTTTAAATTTGTCCAAGCTGTTACATCGAGGTGTTTATCGCTTTATCTGAAGGCATCACTTTTTCAGGAAATGAACAAGGTTGAACGGTTAGCGTGGCATGCAATGAGTATGACGGAAAGTGACGAAATCAAGGCCGAAGCTTGTTACATTCTTGCGCGGTTTTTCCATTTCAACAGAGACTATGAAAAGGCGTTCAAGGTAAGTTGCATATGCAAGAATTTCAATCCATGTCATCATCGTGTCCTAGTACTATTATCAAGCAACTACGTTGAATCATCCTACTTTCGTTTTGCCCCAGTATGGCCTTGGACCTCGGAATTCGAAGATGTTTGGATGAATATAGCTCATGTATATATCGCACTTGGACAATATGTCCCTGCTTTGCAAATGTGAGTTTATGGCGTTCCTCGCTGTTTTGTTTCATGTTGCACAGAATGCTTTTTTGATCTTTTTGTCATTTTCTTACCATGTTAAAACCATATGCTTATACTGTGGTGTTACAAGGTTCTTTTTGCAACTAGGAAATTAGTTTTTCTTTGAATATTCTTATCACTCCTAGTATGGTTTTTGTAATATGAATTAACTGTTGTACGTATGCTGGAGATAGATAGATAGATTTTTCGAAAGTTTGATAAATTTGAAATAAATGTCTTATCTCTTCGTTCTTTCTTCTATCTTCTATCCACAAACGCTAGGGGTGAGAGGGAGGGGGTAGAGTACGGGGTGAGGGTCGCGCTAAACTCCTACCCGGGGGGGGGGGGGGGTCCTATTCGGCTTATTTGGGTGGGGTTTAGAGACAAAATTGGGGTTTGGAGCTTAAAGGCAGCGTCCAGGCAAGTCTGGACCTATGGGTATTTTACATGGAAAGTACTTTTGGGGCCCTAACTAAGCCATTACCCAACCGGCAGCTCAAGTAGTGCTCTGACGCCTGAGATATTCTGCTCGAAACCGGACCCCGCGACCGTGTTTCGCATGGATTCATGGCGCAAAGCGTGGATCCTGGCGCGAAACTGCCATGAATCCATGCGAATACGTTCGCGGGGGGTCTGTTTCGAGGGGAATATCTTCGCATTAGAGCACTACCTGAACTGCTGCTTCGGCAGTGCCTTAGTTAGGGCCCCAAAAATACTTTCCATGTAAAAGCCCCATAGGTCCAGATCTGCCTGGAAGCTGCCTTTAATTAGGGCTAATTACAGTATGCCGCGATCGGGGGGCTCCGGCGCACAAAATCGGGGGGCTCCGGAGCAGAAAATGGGAGGTATCCGGAGCAGAAATGGGAGGGCTCCGGAGCAGAAAATGGGAGGTATCCGGAGCAGAAAATGGGAGGTATCCGGAGCAGAAAATGGGAGGTATCCGGAGCAGAAATGGGAGGTATCCGGAGCAGAAAATGGGAGGGCTCCGCCGGACAAATGGGAGACCCACCGCTGGGGATACGCCGCGACCCTGCCACTTCTCCGGCGGAGGGGTCCGATCCGCTGTCTGAGCATGAAGATGTGATGTAAAAAGGTAAATAGAAGTGGCGGACGCAGGATTTCCGTCCTGGGAGAGGGAGGGGGGGGGGGGGCAGAAATCTTTTCAAATGAAGGTGCGCGGCATCAGACACGCACGCGGCAGCCATGCCCCGGAAAAATTTTTTTTTACAAGACTGATTTGGAGTTTTGAAAAAAAAATCACTACTATTGTTTACAAAATCAAACAAGTCACTTGCACATTTAGCCAATGTAAGCAAATTTCAAAAATTTTGCGACACGGCGGGGGGGGGGGGGAGGGGGCTCTGCCCTCCACTGGTAAATAGTAATCAGAGCAAAGATTTTGATTTGATCAAGAAAAATGTGGTAGATTAGGGCAGTCCTGGTTATGCGGAGAAATAGTGTGTTATCCGCAGTCGTCCTCTGCTTAAACTCTTGTGCCAATGACGCAGTAGTAGCGAATTACAATGCTTCCAACTCAAGACGTGCACACAGACAGCTGAGCAGATTTTTCTTCACTCCCAAAATTCCATTTTGACCAGGCAATATGTTTTTTGTCTTTCTCAAAAGTTCATTGCAGGGAGGGTTAGGAAAAACTAGCCGAAAATCGAGCAAGCAATCGCCAGTGCGCGTATAAAGTGCTGGGAATTATCAGGAATGTTCAAGAATCAGCGTGACTCAGAATATCGGCTACCTGTGTTTTCTCGGATAGTGCTACTGAGTGATGAGTAACAACGAAAGCTGGCCGCATTTCGTCTTCCCCCTCCGCAACTCCGCCCCTGCGATTCCCTGCCCAGTTCAGCTGGCCTATCTCATTAATACAACATTTCGCTGCTGGTTTCTACTGTCCAGTGATTTTACTCGATCCACTACTGAAGCCGAATGGGACGGCGTATTGTCTGGCGAGATGATGGTGGTCCTAGGTAAGTCTGAAAGTTCCGAATTTCACTGCAAAGTCGACAACCGGTTATAGAATAAAACAACAACAACAACCGGTTATATGTGTGAGCTTCACTGTCCTGATTGTGCAACAACAGTATTTTTCCTCTAAATCTTGCAGTGCTTTTTCTCGACAGAATTAGCTCTATAAAGTAGCCAAAAACAGTTTGAACATGCTTGATAGCTAATTTTGACCAAGTCGTCAGAGAATAACTGCTGAACTTTTAGTTCAGTGCAAGAATTGTGCTTGCAAGTGATACAATAGTACGCATGATAAAGAATTATACAGAATGTAAGAAACTGAGCTGAGCGATTTTGCAGCAACATCTTAACTGCATAGCAGAAATTTTCCATTCAAGTTGATTTGGCAAGGCAGAAGGATTAGCTGCAAGTATTTTATCAAACTCAACAATATTATCATATGGTTGCAAGGCTGTCCATACTCTTCGTGCCCTACCCTCTCCGAGATTTTATGTACCAGCAAAGATATTGTAGTGGAGCGATTTTTATCGAGATTCACATATGTTTGATGTACCAAAGGAAATCATCAAAGCTGGGATTCAGCTTGCATTGTAATAATTCGAAAAGATAGTAGTACGAATATGGTCGCTTCGCCCTCTTTGTTATTCCAAAATCTCCGAGTGATCTCGATAATTTTTCTCTGACCAATTTTCTAAAAACTTTCCACTTGAGAAATGTTCCTCTTGGAAGCTTTCTTCGTATGGCTTCACATGAGATTGTAAGAAAAATACCTTTGATTGCAAAGAAAAGGACTATGTGAGTTATGTCCAAATTGGACTTTAGTTGATTGCCAGGTCTTGAGGGTTGTTCTGGATGCTAAGAATCAAGAGGGAAAAATCTGTAATTGCTTGTGCATATTCATCCTATTGAACGCACAACTTATATCAACCATTTTTTTTGTTACTGGTGTACCAATATTGCGAAAACTCAAAATATTAAGCGAATAGCGGGCTCAGTGTCATAGATAGTTCCCAGTTTTACGACAGCAGCGGTTCCTTCAAAGTTTGGCCTGAGCGTTGGAACGAAACCTGAGGTGTAAAAAATTGAAAAAATAATGATGGAGTGCTCTTCACAGCAGTATTTTCTGTTTGACGGCGATTTCAAGAATGAGCTGAGGTGGTGCTATTGTGCGACTGAATAAGTAGACGCCTAAGGTACATGAGAAATCTAAACTGGGACTAAATACTGAATATTGCGTACTAATATTTCCGTACCACGCAAAAAAGTCTAGTCTGCACCTGTGTCCTGCATTCCAGTGTAGCTCAGGAATGCAGATGAATCACCGCCGGAGTACTAGAAAACACCATAGTACCTGAACGACTTGTCATTCATTTTGCTTTGTTTTTTCACAATGATGTCATATCCTTGTAGTTATTGATTGTTTGTTGATTTGTCTGGAAGGGCGCAACAGTTGCGCGCTGAGCTCACGGCGGTCAGCCGAGCATCAATCAAGTGAACGTTGCTGAATGAACGATGTTGTACTACATAGCCGGTGCAACTATTTTTCCAGAAGATTTTTTGGAACTGAAAATTATCTTACCTTTCCCATCTCCTCCAGTCACTGCTTCAGAAACTCTTCATGATCTCTAAAGAAGTCAGAGAAATTCAAGAATCTGCATACATAGCAAAATGATATTTTAGAACTGCTTTTTTACATTCAAAAGTCACAAAAATGTTTTCCTTATATTTTCTCCTGACACGATTTCCCTTTCAGAAATACTTTGGAATGGGCACCACCGCTTATGGTAGTAGCCGTTGTGACATTATTCGCATCGACTTTGGATCTAATGGCAGATTTCCTTGTTTGTAGTAGGTCAGTCTTCTTGATATCTTTATTGACTCTGCCTTAACCAATGGACAAAATTCCAATCTCTTAATCACCGTGTTTTCAGGATCGCTGAATTTCTGGGCAACTTCCATAGCAAGATAGCCATCGAGGCCGCCTATGGCTACTTCTTTTTCACCGGCGTTTCCATATTCGTGTATATCTTCGAAATGGTAGATGTCTGTCAAACACTGAAGTATGAGGAGGAGAATGTCTTCTTCGCACGATTAGCAAAGAGTCTCGTTTTGGCGCTTGAAGAGGTTGGGTTTTCAAATATCCTATTCAGTCACTCAGTTCACGTCTGTCGACCCTGCTGACGCGTTCATGACGACGCAAGAATTTCCTCCCCTGCAAATGCTTGTTAGTGGGGGCGATGAGCGATGTGTGAGAGAGCCATCGTTCCACAATTCGTTTATCACACTGAGGGCGAGTAGCTGACGAGTTTCTTGCATGCACATTGTTTACTGAGACTGATGTACTGTTTTGCTTTTTCGAACGTAGGAGAAGCTTTATGATATTTGAGATCTTCAGCGGGAGTGTGTATGCTGTGGATCTGCCCTCAACAGCGAACAACATACTGCTTGACTTTTTACGTTGTCCGTTGTCAAAAAAGAAGCTTCGATATTAACCTCTGGTTTTTGACAATATTTCAAACTTTCTGAACAATGTAGAGTTGTTTTCAACAGTGTATAAACAAGTATTGCCTAGGTGATACTAGGTGAACAGAGCTAGCCTACTGATTTTGCGGTCTTGAGAGCTTTTTGAACTCATACATGGGTTGCTTTGATGTCTTTCGTCAAACTTTGAGTATCATTCTGTAGAGCAGGCTTTGATTCTGATTCACGGCATGCGGCATTTTCTATCTCTCTTTACTAGTGTAGCATTACGGTAGGAACTTCGAAAAAGGTCTTAGACTAGTAAGGGTCATATTTTACCTCAGAAAAAAAAAACCAAACTAGCCAGAAGCTTATACTAGGCTGATCAGAGTCCCTGATTTGGATATGGAATTTCCACTTTGCTGTGACGCTTCTTTCCTAACAACAAGTTATCCCAGGTAAACCGTAAGCTGTTCCCAACATTTGTCAGAAATAAGATTATACCGTCAAAAAAGCTGAAAATACTCGTATAATGTTGGTGGGAAAGCAGCATGCTTGAAAAGCCTAGTACACAACTTTGCAGATTTTTTGAAAAAAAAATTGTCGGACGTCTATTTCACAAGGTGCTGTATGCTGGAGGGTCTTACCGTAATCCTACAGTAACGAAAAGCGACCGGTGATTCGTTCCATACTGCAAATTTAAGTTGAACCCAGTACTACAGAATGGTGCCCAAAGATAGGCGAGGGACAACGAAGCCAGAGAGTTATCAACAGTAATTAAACAATGTGTACATTATTTTGGGAAGCCTTGCATATTAAAGCGGGGCAATATAACCTTGCGCTGTCAAGAGACTTCAAAACTCGCAGTTTCCGCTTTATAAATAAAAGAGAAAATAAAATACTATAATCAATGATACATGAGTTTTGCAGGTGCCTTTGCCTTCGCTGATGAACGTGCTCTTCACCCATGAACCGCGACTTTCTCTCGCTGGTCCAGTGTTCTTCTCTTCGTGCATAAAGCTCGTCGCTCTATGCTGGGGTTTGGTGAAGTTCACGAAGCTGCGCTTTTTTTGGCCGTGTCTTCCGCTTAACCCGAAGCACGATACACGGTAGGATTTGATTCAAACACACCTGCTTGCAAGACATTCGTAAGAGCAAATCTGAAAAACTAACGTTATGTAGTATAATCCAACACGTTATTATTTAATAGAGATCAAAAAGTAGCTTGCTTTTCTTGCTTCCTCAGATTTTCAAAAACAAAGTTCCGACTAAATTTGTTCAGTAGAGCTGTGCAAGCATATCTATACGAAAAAGTATAGTAGTACACACTGTTAGCAGCTGCTGAGTGCGTTCTTGCAAAAAATAGTAGTCATTCGAGAGCTATTCTTTTCCCTTGTTTTCGTCAGAACTAATAACTCGATCAGCTATGCATGCACTTAATAGAGGGCGGATGAGAGCCTGCTTACGATGAAAGGGCAGCTCTGACAAAATTCCGGACCAAATTTTTGATCTCCTAATAAGTTCTCTACGGAAAGATCGCAGAATGTATGGGGTGTATTGTATCGAACATCGTATGTTTTGGCTAGAACTTTGGTTCAGTTAATCATGCTACCTTCGCGCAATTTGGTATATCTTTTGATATCTTCTGATCTCACTGCCTTTGACAACATCCTGTGCTATGCACGGCTAGTTACCAGTAACGATCTTTCTGAAGGTTTCAAGGAAACCGGCTATACCTGCATGGAACACTTCATGAAAATTTCTCTCACGGAATTTGCGGGACGAAAGTGCTTGATCCCGGACAGCAAAAACAGAGTAATGTTGTTTGGAATCGTGTGCGGTCCAGTTCACTGACGACAATGGCGTTTCTTATCTGTCCACATGGAGCCAAAAATCTTTTTGTTTGTCAAGATTTACGGCACATCTGCGGATTGTGTTGTTACGAATGTGCTGAGAACAAAAAGCCATGCAGATTCAAGCCTAAAGTCACACCTCATTCAATAGTCACGTTTAAAGGACAATTTCTGGTTAGAGAATCAACGTGCATGGTCCCTGCTACGTGTTCAGATTCACTCGCTTTACGATTGAAACTTATTCACACAGTAGTTTATTGAATGATTTCCATATCTGACGTTGAATATAGGAATGTGAACAAAGTTAGGCCAGTTGTGCTCAAACAAAATACGCCAGTCATACCGAAGGGTGGGGGGGGGGGGGCAGGACCCGAGAATGGGTCGCGAAATTTTTGAAAGTCACTTACATACGTTACAAAATGTGCCAGTGATATGTCTGTACTTGTAAATATTAGGCTGGCGGACATTCTGTTGAACTTTTATTTTTATTTCTTAAAAATCTAAGAAACTTTCAAAAATTCTTATGTTTGAGGATGACGGGGTGCAAAAGTCTACCCGCCGTTACTGTCAGATTCGCAATTCGCGTGCAAAACACCCACTTTATCGGTGAAAGTACTTTTTATGGACATTTTCAGTACTGGCAATCTTCAGGGGATAGGAAAAAGACCGGGCGATGTCGTATACGGGCAATAGGCCCATAGTTCTTAGCGAATGTAGGGGGGATGGCGGCGCAATCATGTCCGCACACGATCACGTGAGCTACATATAGAAAAAACAAAAAGTAAAGAAGACAAGGACCAAAAACTATATGGAAAAGTATTGATTAAAAATAAACATGTCGCGCCGTGCCAGCGCACATTCGCATTCTAACATGAAGGACAATTTTTAAATATTTACAAAAACTATTTCCAATCTCACCGTAAGAAATCTTACACGATGCACACAAGAAGAAAAATTTTTGACTAATTTTTAAAAATTTTTTCCATCCCTTGTTTTTGGCGTGCTAGCGTCAGCAAAGTGCTGCCATAATTGAGACGATGAGAAAATATGTTCTAAAGAAATTATGGGAGAGAAAAAACACAATTGAACGCAAAGAAAAAATCAAAGAAAAAATGACAATTTTGAGTGTGCTCATATAGTTGTCGTAAATTTGCAAGCGATTTCTGCATCTACGGCATCAGTCATATTGTTGTGTACCCCTGCCATGGCCTGGATAGGGAGCAACTTTCAAGAATCTAGAGGACTTATGGAATTTTTCAGAATTTTACAAAAAAGTGTAACAGAAATTATCCGCTAACCTAATACCTAACAATTTTTAAATTTTGAAAATTCATCCAGCCTTATAAAAAAATTTTCGGAGGCGATGCATACATATAAATTTTGTAATATGTGTATTTCAGAGAGAATGTTCGGCGATGCTTTACGCTGAATCTCTATCGCTGCACGATGATCGTCGTGAACATCTGCCACATATTAGCTATATACATCGTCATATCAAACATAATAGCGAGTAGGAACGGTGGACGCCCAATCGTCGTCAAGGATGAGCCAGCTTAAAATTTCTTCAGTATGATATTGTAAAGTGTTCCAGTTGCGAAATTGTTGTCAACGAATACTTGCTGTAGGTTGAATTATTTAGCTTATATTAAGTCTGGATGGGTAATATCATGTACAGGTAATGTATGTATTTTATCTGATCAAACATTTCGTTTTGCTGGACCTCGGTTAAACCATTGCTGTCCAGTCTTATCTTTCTGCTGATGTAGGGAGCTCTGAAAATTGACATATGATGCTTAGGGATTACCTTAGAGGAAGAGGAAGAACGAAGTTTGCGTGTGCATGGCTTCTTAAAAATTGCGATTTTTTAAGCTGTCGTGTGTTATCAGAAATTGAGGCTACTATTAAGTATTAGGCTTTGGAATTTGAAATAAAAGGACATAATGAAAAGATTTACTGCAAGTGTGCATTTGTACTTATGGGTAAGAGTATTTGTTCTTCGTCAGAGCTGTATCTGGCCGCATTGGTCTGATATGGGACTAGGTAAGTCAAATGCTCCTTATCCTGTTGATTTGCATTACATCTTCAAGAATAACGTCCTTGGTTTGCCTACAGAAGCGAATTCTACGCTGAGCAAAAAATCAGATCATAAGGTAATGTTGTGGAAACTTGTAGAAACACATTGTAAAAGAAATAGCGAAAATGATTCACTACAAAAGTCAAAATAGGTAATTTCGTAAAAATTTTGAGAACTTGGTGATACCTAGAGGAAACAAGTAACAATTTTAATTAGAATAAAGATGTGTCGCTTGAGCACAAGTTTGCAAAGCCCATGTTTTTTTGGAGCCTGAATCAAGCTAAAATTTTTTTTTACCATTTAGTTTTTAAGACACATAAATTTCAAGTTCGTAGATGAAAGCTAGCCTATTCTTCATAGGGGCACTCACGCGCATCGTAGATGCTCCTTACGGTAGTTCATAGGTAAACTGCGATCGGGCATACTGACAATAAATCGGGATCTGATATTACAAGCTGTTCGCGAATGGTCTGAAGGATCTGCCAAAGGTTCAGGTAGAACAGTTTTGAGCGGAACATGCAGAAATTGTCTCTGTACGTCGGCATTAAAAAGCGGACCTGCCACCCATTTGAATTACTCCTAACTCAGTCTTCCCAAGAGTGCTGCTCCATTTTTTGTAGAAAAAAACCCCAAACATGTTTCATGACTGCTGCTTTTGATTTTATCTATCCAGAAAACTTATAGCGTTTCTTTTTGAACAAAATATGAGCACATGCTAATAGTAAGGATTCTGAAAGTGGTCGAATTTATTGGGAGCAGTCTTTGGCTGTTTGACATAATACAGTTTTCGCAGAATGTAATGGATATATTAACAATGCCTGCACAAAATAAGGCTGTCAAATTACCAGGTAGGCATTTTTAGAAAACTCGTCTCTCGAATTTCTGCACTTCAATATCGCTGAGCAAATGCAGCTGAAGAAATTTTTTCTGGAAATCATCCTTTCGTGACAATTTAGTGATTTTGTACTTGAGATGATAGGGTGGAGAGCCTTTATCTATATAGAAAGAATCGTTGTGCCTATTCGAAAAAGCGAAGTTGCAGTAAACTGCGCGGTTCCCTCAGCGAACGTGCTTGCAAATCTAGCACCTTCAGGATTGATGGTTCAGGAGTCAAGTGCAAAGACATCTCAATGAGTCAAATTTTGGCCTACAAAAAATTCACCATGTATTCCTGCTGTTCTGTCGAGCGGAGACCAGTAAACAAGCATAGCATCTCTCTGAGCCATTGTCTGAATACGAGAAGCAGACTGTGTTTTGGTGGAGCAGCCAGTTCGTGTGAACTAGTTGTCATCGGTTCTCCAATTTCTCACCTAAACATCTCGCAAAAACACCCATAGCCTAGCAGCAACTGACTTGCCAATACTTTCCAAAAAGGGTGCTGCTTCAGTGTGTAATTTTTCATACAGTTTTTGCGTACCAAAAGCCTATACATACCAGTGCTCGTTTGCAATTCATTAAATTAAGGAGAGCCTCAGCCAGTGGCTTTTCTGCGTCGATCACCAATTCAATTAGTGGAAACAGCGAGAATCCATCATTTCTTCGCATCTCGGTTACTAGTTCGATCTTCTTTCAACGCAAACAATCTTCGCTCTTTGAAATTAATGGCAAATGCAGAATTTCCGAAAAGCATGACGTTCTGTTTCTGTGCGCTCTTCAACTTTTTAGCAACACAGTCTTTCTTGCTTTTCATCCGCATCTGCACCCATGAGTTCCTTCCTTTTCTAACTACGTAACGTTCATGATTAGACATCGTTTGTCCTATGGTCTCCTCAAAGGACGCACTATTAAGCAATCAGAACATCTATGAGAGCAAAAAAGAAAAGACCTAATTCTTTCTCCTTCTTAGAAAATCTCTCAGCTCATTAAATGCTACAAATGGTTTACTGTAAGGGCCCTGATTTCCCCAATATGATTCCTATAATTTGAGAGTGGCCTTGTCTTTCGCCACAGCTTTAACAAAATCACTGGATTATTAACTCTATTAGGCCAACTTCTGAATAATCTGAATTTTTCTCAGCGAAGTCGAAGTTTTTCCTTCCTGAATAAACAAATCACCCTCTGTCTTCTCTTGCTCTTCTTCTTGCATTATGATGCCTCAAGTTTGTTTTGATCCTCCGTAGAAACTCAGATTTTCCCACTTATCTAGTAAGTCTTCCATAAATTCTTTGCAACCTTCCTTGAAGACCAACGTCTTGCCTGCTCGCCATTTGCAAACGCATGACAAATGATTGTGGGAAATCTGATTGGATTTGTAGAAAAGAAAACCGATTGCTATTTGGGTTTTTGTCATACCATTTCTTTCGAGGTTATCAGCTGCAAAATTTCGAGTGCTGAACATGGGCACAAGCAGCAACTACAGCCGAAAATCAAAGCTGTGGTAAAGACTAACCAGAACTTCCTCGATTAGTTCTTTTTGGGAGCCTAGCTATGGCTCTGCCCGATTTTCCGGAAAATCTAAGCGCATATTTTATAATCAGCTAGGAATTTTGTCAAACTGAAAGGTGGGGCGGTCTCTCTAATTAAGCAGCACTTTTGGCGGAATACATATTAGGTGAATAAGAAAGTAGTAGGAAAAAATTCATTGCTGGATGCTCAAAAGCTAATAAATGTAGAACTAGGTATAGCTACTAGAGTTTGCTATGAATATGGTACAAAATTGCTATCCACACGGTCTTTGTTCTGCAGATCGTTTCTTTCCGCTAATGACATTCCACACTTGCCTATCTCAATGGTATCCACTTGTCGAGTTTGGAAATATTCGACCAGACCTCAACCTGATGAATTATTATGATGAAGCTAATATCGCATAGCCCAGCCCCATACGCTTGTCTCCTTGTCGTCAATCCGTTTAATTTGCATACTATTAGATTATTACACAGCATATGTAAGAAGAGAAGGCGCTCATTAACTAAATTGGCTTCGTCGCTTCTGTTTGAGATCTCAGATGTTGCATAACCAATATATTGGTTGCGAAGCTCAGCTGAATCGAGTTAGTGTTTGAAGGAAGTCTTATCTCATAAAATTCGGATTTCGCCTTCAAATGTTCTTGAACAAAGAACTTCGCACTTTTACTGAAGCACCGGCTTTTGATGAACTGCCAGTTTCGTTCTGTTTTCCAGGTCCTAAGGGGCATATGCTTAGTGCATGAGGTTTTTACAGCACTGAGCATTTTCATGAATGGATCCAGAACGCTTTATTTTGAGCAACACCCACTTGTTTCAGGCAGAATATTGCTCTCTAAGCTTTAATCCTTCTCCTTAATTGTTTAATTCCTAGCATAGATTGCAGTCTTGAAGCGAACTTTTTGCAAATGTTTTAAACAGCATTAGAATTTCAGTTTGGGAAAGACATTGTACAAGTGACTACTTTGACGCATCTAATTTGCAGAAGAAGCAACTGAAGTAAGTGCTGCTAAAAGCGTGAGATTCCCACTATTTCCTTCGTCAGCACGAATCAGCCGCTTACTCATGGGAACGATCTCACAAGCTTCATTCTTTTTCTTCGAAATGCTGGCATCAATCTAATGACAAAAATGGATGTTTGAGCAGTATAGAAGTGAAAAGCAACTCTGACTAGACACGCTTTCGTTGTAATTTCTTCAATGATCTTATCCCAATATTCATAAATTTTTCGGTAAGTCAACATTTCTCCAGTTGAGTCTCAACTTAGATTTTGAGCCTGTAGATATGGTTTGTGAATTTTTTGGATGGACTGTTCATATACCCATACGCTGCTGTATCTGCATTCTGGACAGTCTATTACTCTTTCGTGTAGATACTTTATTGTTCTACATATTAGAGGGGCAAGAAAATGCGCGAAAAAGTACCAATCTCCATCGTATCTGAAAGGGCTGCAAATCAGGAATAATCATATCGTAACTTTCAGTGTAGTGCAAGCGCACAAGTTGTACGTTTCTCGAGTGCATATGGCTAAAAAAGTGGGGTTACGGGTGCTTAGACCAGGTGGCACAAGGTGGTAGGCACTTTCGAAAAACGATCTTGTTTGTGAATATATAAAATCTCCTTCTCCCTCCAAAGTATTCGGAAGTTTACACTTGTGTGGTTGGAATTTTGTAGGCTTTATTATTTACCCTGCAATTATTTTTTCAAAATAATCAAATAAAAAGCATGCGCAGATAGTTTTTACACAAAGTTTTGTACTTGTAATTGAGATAGGAAAGGTTTCCTTCTACCTTCGTTGCCATTCGTCGCTTTTCTTGACAATTGAATTTTGAGAAACATCCTGCTTGCAGGAGTGAAATCCTAATATTATCAGTTTAGTGGAGGTCTACAAATTTCATTCGCTTCACTGAAATGGGACTTCTGAAGAAGCAGCGCAACTGCTGCTTTCCACCTTTTGAGATCATTACTCTCAAGAAGAATAGGTCTAAAAGAAGATAAATGATCCGCAACTAATTTTTGAACCAGCCAGTCGTTCTTATCCTCCCTGCCTGATGAAAGCTGAAAATTAGTTTTGAAGGAATTCCACAAGTTTATCATCCACTTTTTGTGACACAAATGTGCATGGCTGAGTGTAGCTCGCATACGCCTCCTTCGCCGAGTGCTTAACTCAGTTTGTAGTTTACATTGCCCCCAAACAGCTGCTTAATTCTGGAAAACATAACGAATGAATAGTCAATGCCTATCAATATTCCATATCTATTTACTTAGTTGTATTTGTTCACGAATAGTGCAAAAAAAAACTCTGGGAAATTTGCTCTTAGAAAAGCCTTGAACGTTTCGAATATATGCTGTCATATGTTTTGTTTGTTATATTAGGTTGTCCCGAAAGTTTTGTCGGTTTCTCCAAACCGCTATAATACCACGCACAATAAAGGCCTGAATGAGTTTCAACATGCATTTGATGCAGCTTTTCCTTCTCTTTC